GGTAGTCGTGTCCGTCGTGAGCGTCCTCCTCCTGTCCCAGGCACTCACTACATGACTCTGCGTCCCTCTACTGCTCCTCGGCGTGTCCCTCTACCGTCTCCTCCTGCGTCCTCTTTGCCTGCCGTTCCGGACCCTGAGTCTGACCGGTATCGCGCTGAGCACCCTACAGTCACGCGTCTCCTCGCTACTGTTGTCACTGACCCTACCTTTGAGTCCTCGGCTGCGTCTGCTCTGGTCGCTGAGTTGGTTGACTTTGCTACTGCCTGTCGTCTAGACTACGCTGCTAGCCTTGTTGCTGAGTCAGAGTCTGCGTCTGTCTGTCCTCCGTCCGTCGGGGGTGAGTGTGCTCTTGGCACGGACGTCCTTGAGGACAGGCAGGAGGACTTTGACTCTCTTGCGGCTGCTGTACCTCATCTCGTGGCCTGGTTGCTTGCCCCTGAGGGAGACCCGGATGCACTAGACATCCCCACTCCGCGCACTTACGCAGAGGCGATCTCGGGTCCCTACTCCTCTCAGTGGCAGACAGCCATGGACGCAGAGACGGCATCCTGGAAGTCCACAGGCACCTACGTCGACGAGGTTCCCCCTCCTGGGGCGAACATCGTCGATGGCATGTGGATTTTCAGGGTGAAGCGGCCGCCAGGTTCTCCGCCTGTCTTCAAGGCTCGTTACGTTGCTAGAGGCTTCAGTCAGCGTCAGGGGGTCGACTTCTTCCAGACCTTCTCCCCCACCCCGAAGATGACCACTCTTCGGGTTCTGCTGCACGTTGCTGCTCAGCGTGACTACGAGCTTCACTCTCTTGACTTCAGCACAGCGTTCCTGCAGGGCAGCCTGCACGAGGAGATCTGGCTGCGCCGCCCACCTGGCTTTACTGGGTCGTTTCCCCCTGGTACCCAGTGGAGTCTCCGCCGGCCAGTCTACGGTCTCCGCCAGGCGCCACGTGAGTGGCACGACACACTGAGGACTACACTTGCGGCTCTTGGGTTCGCGCCGTCTACTGCTGACCCGTCGCTGTTTCTGCGCACAGACACGTCGCTGCCGCCGTTCTACATTCTCGTGTACGTCGACGACTTGGTCTTTGCTACTGCTGACACTGAGGCACTCGCTCGTGTGAAGTCGGAGCTGCAGAAGAGACACACCTGCACTGACCTGGGTGAACTGCGTAGCTACCTTGGCTTGCAGATCACCCGGGACAGAGCTCGCCGCACCATCACCCTGACTCAGTCACACATGGTGCAGCAGGTCCTTCAGCGCTTCGGCTTCCAGTTCTCCTCACCACAGGCCACACCTCTGGCTACCAGCCACTCGCTCTCAGCTCCACCTTCGGACGAGTCCGTAGAGCCGAGTGGCCCGTACCCAGAGCTTGTAGGCTGCCTCATGTACCTGATGACTTGCACGCGACCTGACCTCGCGTACCCTCTTAGCATCCTTGCTCGTTACGTTGCGCCTGGGAGACACAGGCGAGAGCACTGGGAGGCTGCTAAGAGGGTGCTGCGTTACCTGTGCAGTACATCAGGCATGGGGCTGGTGCTTGGAGGACGTGACAGAGTTGTCCTCACTGGTCACTCGGACGCTTCTTGGGTGGACGACCTGGCTACGCAGCGGTCGTCACAGGGTTACACCTTCAGCCTTGGCTCTGGTTCTGTCTCGTGGCGGTCCACCCGCTCTTCCTCTGTTCTCGGCTCTAGTTGTGAGGCTGAGATCTACGCCACAGCCATGGCTGCACAGGAGTTACGCTGGCTCACCTACCTGCTGACTGACTTGGGAGAGCGGCCTAGTTCTCCTCCAGTTCTGTACGGTGACAACAAGGCGGCTCTTGCCTTGTGTCAGGAGCACAGACTGGAGCACAGGACGAAGCACATTGCTCTTCGCTACTTTCTTGCTCGAGAGCTTCAGCAGCGCGGTCAGCTTCGGCTTGTGTACGTGGACTCGAAGGCCAACACTGCTGATATCTTCACCAAGGCGCTCCCGCCTAGTGATCATCAGCGGCACTGTACTTCTTTAGGCCTTGTGTCCACGTTTCCTCACTTGCTCACTGCTTGACATTCTTTGTACTGTACTTTATATATATCTTGTTGCTTGCTTGCTAGGTTTTGATCACTGTGTTGCTTGTCTTGTACTATATCTAGCACTGCATGTGAACTGGCCTTGTGGCCTTTACTTGTGCTCGGAGTGTGGTGACGTTGTGATCCACCCTGGGCTTTGCTTTGCTTTGCTGGACTGGTCTTGTGACCCTTTGTTCTCCCCCACTTTGCCTATGGGGGTGTGTTAAACTGTATTATGCTTGTAGGCTGTAGTGGGGTAGCCAATATGGGGTACAACCCCAACTAGGGTTTCATATTTGTACCCAAACTTCTGCTAGTTCAATCATTCTTGCCTAGCTATTCTGAAAATTGGGAGCAGACATTCGAATTTTGAAGTGACCCTACTTTTCAAGGAATCTGTCAGAATCCCAGCAACTAACCTCTCGGATAAAATGGCTTGTTTGTATAGCGGGTGAGTGCTCCTATAGCCCCACAGGCCAACGTGCTTGTAATTCTTCCCTATGATTTATGGGGATCTCCGACGGACGTCTGACAACCTCCCGGAGAGGGATGCCCCAGGGGCAACATTGGGATTCGAACTCGGGACCTTTGCTCTGACACCATGTCAAAATCCCAACCACTAACCACTAAGACAAAATGACTTGTTTGTATAGCGGGTGAGTGCGCCCATAACCCTCCAGGCCAACGTGCCTGTAACCCTTCCCTAGGATCAATCGGGGATCTCCAACGGACCTCTGACAGAATCTTCTACTACACTACTTCGACCAACACTTAGAAATCTCTGAACTGAGGTGAAGTTGGGTAAAAAGCGTTCTGACATCCAATTTTTTGACCTCAAATCTTTCAGCTATAGCATTTCTACTTGGTCTTCAAATCTGATTCCAACTTCATATGAGTTCGTGCACCTTCTTTCTACTCCCTACAACGTGATTCCTTGGCTGAACACTCTTAATGCTGACTTCTCTAATTGCTCTTGCTTATGCTCTATAAAGTGCAGATAGTTAATAGAGCAATTACGAGCAAGGCAATCATGTGTCCAATTTCTATCCTTTCTCTATTCCAAGCTCTGTAACATATAAAGAGCTGAAGCATCTTATTTCACCTCCTTGGTGAATCCACAAGGCTGCTTGGCTAGGTGGCTTGTACTTCTTTCTGAATCTCTCCTAGGCATATATGGCGGTGTGGATGGATGTGCTGAAGGCACCAGCATTGAGGCAGCTTGATATGAGTTGTGGCGTTCAGTATGAAGCCCCATAGCTGAGGAAGCATGGGCTTAGAGGAAACTGTCCACAACCATTAACCAAGGGCTGCATGTGAACCCAAGTGCTGTAGTATGGATGCCGACCTCCTCCCCTGAGCTTCTTCTTGGATTAACCTCTGAAGCTTGAAGACCGAGTGAAGACTAAGGACGAAGACCGAGATATGTCTGGTAAATACTTTCTGATTTCCATCTCTAGAATTTTTTATGTTCGATATTTTCTTGTTTTAGACCTTTGATTAGTTAGCTTGGGTAAGCATCGGGACGATGCTTCTTAGGGAGGGGAATTCTGTAACAAGACGGGATTCACCATGTGAAATGCATGGGAATTACCGAACGGGTGGTTGCCTAGCTAGCTCCGAATAGCTACACTTGCTAGCCTAGATCACACTCCCGTATCCCCGTCAGCAAGATAAGTACAGCAGGGCATGGCATCGAGGCGCTATGCCAAGATGCCATGCCAGAAGCGTATGTTAGAAAATAGCAGCAGGAATGAATGCATTGATGAGAAAGTTGGTACAAGTACTAACCCTAATTGGGTTGTACCCCATATTGGCTACCCCACTACAGCCTACACAGCACAATGTTCTGACACACCCCCATAGGCAAGGTGGGGGAGTACAAGCAGTCACAGAAAAAGCAAAGCAAGCTCAGGGTGGATCACAACGTCACCACACACTCCGAGCACAAGCAAATGGCCACAAGGCCAGTTCACATGCAGCGTTATATAAAACAAAGCAAACAGTACAGTGATCACAACCTAGCAAGTGAAAGCATGCAGGTATATATATAGATCACAGTACAAGCAAGGACACACAGTAAGCAAGTGAGCAAACGTAGGCACAAGGCCTAAAGCAGTACACAGACGCTGATGATCACCAGGCGGAAGTGCCTTGGTGAAGATATCAGCTGTGTTGGCCCGGGTGGCCACGTAAGCAAGACGAAGCTGGCCACGCTGCTGCAACTCTCGAGCCAAGAAGTAGCGTAGAGCAATGTGCTTCATTCTGTGCTCCAGTCTGTGCTCCTGACACAAGGCAATAGCAGCCTTGTTGTCTACGTACAAAACAGGAGGCGAACTAGGCCGCTCTCCCAAGTCAGTCAGCAGGTAGGTGAGCCAACGTAACTCCTACGCAGCCATGGCTCCTGCGTAGATCTCAGCCTCACAACTGGAGCTGAGAACAGAAGATGAGCGGGTAGACCGCCAAGAAAAAGAACTGGAACCTAAGCTGAAGGTGTAACCCTGAGAAGACCGTTGCGTAGCCAAGTCGTCAACTCAATACGCGTCTGAGTGTCTAGTGAGGACAACTGAACTCCGTCCTCCAAGCACGAGCCCCATGCCCGATGTACTGCACAAGTAGCACAACACCCTCTTAGCAGCCTCCCAGTGCTCTCGTCGGTGTCTCCCGGGCGCAACGTAGCGTGCCAGGATGCTACGAGGGTTCGCAAGGTCAGATCGAGTGCAGGTCATCAGGTACAAGCTCTGGATACGGGCCACTCGGCTCTACGGACTCGTCCGAAGGTGGAGATGAGAGCGAGTGACCGGTAGGCATAGGAGTGGATTGTGGTGAGGAGAACTGGAAGCCGAAGCGCTAAAGGACCTGCTGCACCATGTGTGACTGAGTCAGGGTAATGGTGCGGCGTGCTCTGTCCCGGGTGATCTGCAAGCCAAGATAGCTGCGCAGCTCACCCAGGTTTAATCACGTGTGTCCCTTCTGCAGCTCCGACTTCACAAGGGCCAGTGCCTCAATGTCAGCAGTGGCAAAAACCAAGTCGTCGACGTACACGACGATGTAGAACGGCGGCAGCGAAGTGTCAGTGCGCAGAAACAGCGACGGGTCAGCAGTGGAAGGAGCAAACCTAAAAGCCGCAAGTGTTGTCCTCAGTGTGTCGTGCCACTCGTGGGGCGCCTGGCGGAGACCGTAGACTGGCCGCCGGAGGCTCCACAGGGTACCAGGAGGGAACGACCCAGTGAAGCCAGGTGGGCGGCGCAGCCAGATCTCCTCGTGCAGGCTGCCCTGTAAGAAGGCTGTGCTGAAGTCAAGAGAGTGAAGCTCGTAGTCACGCTGAGCGGCAACGTGCAGCAACACCCGAAGAGTGGTCATCTTTGGGGTAGGGGAGAAGGTATGGAAGAAGTCAACTCCCTGTCGCTGACTAAAGACTCGTGTAACGTAACGAGCCTTGAAGACAGGCGGAGAACCCGGCGGTCGCTTCACCCTGAAAATCCACATGCCATCGACTATGTTCGCCCCAGGAGGGGGAACTGCGTCGACATAAGTACCTGTGGACTTCCAGGATGCCATCTCTGCGTCCATGGCTGTCTGCCACTGAGAGAAGTAGGGACCCAAAATCGCCTCTGCGTAAGAGCGCGGGGTCGGGATGTCAAGTGCATCCGGGTCTCCCTCAAGGGCAAGCAGCCAGGCCACGAGATGAGGTACAGCAGCCGCAAGACACTCAAAGTCCTCCTGTCTGTCCTCAAGGACGTCCGTGCCAAGATCACACTCACCCCCGACGGACGGAGGTCAGACAGACTCAGACTCAGCAACAAGACTAGTGGCGTAGTCTAGACGACACGTAGCAGCAAAGTCCACAAGCTCAGCAACTAAGGCAAACGCAGCAGTAGACTCAAACGACGGGTCAGTAACAACAGTAGCGAGAACACGTGTGACAGTGGGGCTGGCAGCACGAACCAAGTCAGACTCAGGGTCCGGAACGTCAGGAAGAGAGGACGCAGGAGGAGACGGCAGAGGGACGCGCTGTGGAACAGAGGAAGGATGAAGTGCCATAGTGTGAGTACCTGGCACAGGAGGAGGACGCGGACGCGGGACGCGACGAGCACGGCAAACTGGCGAACAGGGGAGGCAGGACGAGACTCAGGCTCACGACGCTCTGTAAGGGAGGCTGGCTGCTCAGTGTTATGAGGTGGGGCAGGCAGCAGTGAGTCCGGAGGAATGGCGGTGGACGAAGGAAGACTAAGAACTTGATGGAGCACCGACTTAGGCGGTCGGTCGGACAGCTGCGGCGGCGGCAAGAAAAACGGGCGCTGCTGCACAGTGCCCACAGCACCAGTACCTCCAGCTTGAGGGTCTCCAGCGCCAGCACCTCCAGCTCCAGTGCCACCAGCTCCAGCTCCAGCGCCACGAGCTCCAGCGCCTCCAGCGCCAGCGCCTCCAGCTCCAGTGCCTCCAGCGCCAGCACCTCTAGTGCTAGCGCCTCCAGCTCCAGCGTCTCCAGCTCCAGTGCCTCCAGCTCCAGCGCCTCCCGCGCGAGCACCTCCAGCTCCAGCTCCTCCAGCTCCAGCGTCTCCAGCTCTAGCGCCTCCAGCTCCAGTGCCTCCAGCGCCAGCGCCTCCAGCTCCAGCGTCTCCAGCTCCAGTGCCTCCAGCTCCAGTGCCTCCAGAGCCAATGCCTCTAGCTCCAGTGCCTCCAACTCTAGTACCTCCAGCTCCAGCGTCTCCAGCTCTAGCGCCTCCAGCTCCAGTGCCTCCAGCGCCAGCGCCTCCAGCTCCAGCGTCTCCAGCTCCAGTGCCTCCAGCTCCAGTGCCTCCAGAGCCAATGCCTCTAGCTCCAGTGCCTCCAACTCTAGTACCTCCAGTGCCAGTGCCTCGAGCTCCATCGCCTCCAGCCCCAGTGCCTCCAGCTCCAGCGCCTCCAGCTCCAGCAGCGTATCTCCGAAGGCGGGTGCGCCGAGCGTACCACTCGCGCAGCTGCTGTGGGGAGAGAGGCTCCACAGTGCCTCTAGCACCAGCGCCTCCAGGACTAGCAACCCCAGTACCACCAGTACCTCCAGCTCCAGCACCTCCAGCGTCAGCGCCTCCAACTCGAGGGCCTCCAGCTCCAGCGCCCCCAGCTCCAGCACCTCCAGCTTCAGCGTTTGCAGCTCCAGCACCTCCAGCTCCAGCGCCTCCAGCGCCAGTGCCTCCAGCTCCAGTGCCTCCAGCGCCAGTGCCTCCAGCTCCAGTGCCTCCAGCGCCAATGCCTGCAGCTCCTGTGCCTCCAGCTCCAGTACCGTGACTCCGAAGGCGGGTGCGCCGAGCAAACCACTCGCGCAGCTGCTGGGGCGAGAGAGGCTCTCGCTGGCTAGACCGCTGCGGCGAGGCACCCGGAGGACTATTAGCAGACGCAGCACCCCCAGGCTCAGTACCCTCAGGCTCAGCACCCCCAAACGCAGCACCCTCAGACGCAGCATCCGAGTAACCAGTGACCTCGACAGGCTCAGCTAAGGGAAGTGGGTCTACCTGAGAGACACCTGAAGGAGCAGGACCTTGAGGGGGGAGGGGGTCTACCGGAGGGGGACCTGGAGCGAGGAAGAGCGGCGGAGGGGGGAGAGGAACAGAGCGGTAGGGGAAGAGACGGTAGAAGGGAACCGACTCGTCAAACGTGACGTGCAGAGAGGGCAGGACACGGCGCAAGGTGGGGTCGTAAAACTGCCAGCCAGGCGCGTCAGGAGGGAAGCCAAGGAAGACACAGGGAATAGTGTTGTAGGAGAGCTTGTCCGCGGAGGTATCGCGGACAAAGGCACGAGAGCCCCAGACCCAGAACACCGACGCATCGCCAACCTTCCCCGTCCAAAGCACTGTAGGCGAGGTCTCCGGCAAGGAGACACGGGGCCAGAGGTTGAGCTGATGCGCAGCGTACCGGACCGCAAACGGCCACAGAAAATAGGGAGCAGCTGCATGGATCATGGAGGTACAAGCGACCTCCATGACTAAGCCAATGCGGCGCTCTGCAATCCCATTCTGCTGCGGGGAGGCCGGAAGCATGAACGACTGGAGGATGCCCTCCCCCTGACAAAAGTCCCGCAAGAGGTCGGAGGAGAACTCACCACCTCCGTCAGAGTGCAGACGCAGGACGGGAAGGTCCGTGCGGAACCGCTCGCGGAGCTGGAGACGAACAGTGCGGATCCAAGGGATCAGGACATCAGGGACCTCCCCCTTGCTGCGCAAGGGGAAGACCGTGGTGTAACGCGAGTAGTCGTCAACAACCAGCAGAAAGTACCGCTCGCGGCCCTGTCCAGTGACGCGGGCTGGGCCCCACACGTCCATGTGGAGAGTCTGCAGAGGAGCTGTCGTCGGGGGAAAGGAGGAGGAGTGAGGAGCGGCGCGCTGCCGCCCCTCGACGCAAGGAATGCAGGGCGGTGCAGGCGAGGGAGGGAGGGGAGGGAGAGACCTGGGAAGACCAGAGACAAGAAGGCGGGAGTGCATGCCACGAAGGCGTGGCAGGGAGGGGTGACCAAGGCGGTGGTGCCAGAGGAGAGTCTGGTGCGACAGGAGGCGACACGAGCAAGAGGCGGCTACCTGACTCGACGCGGACACCTGAGCATACGCAGCGGCCGCAGTAATCAGTATGTACAGACTCGACCCAGGCCGACGGGTGAATGTGGCCAGGTGACGGCCAGTCCGGGAGCACGTGCAGATCGCCACACGCTGGCCTCTAGGGAAAAAGGTATCAACCCCTGCATCCTGAAGGACCGCGTTACTCACCAAGTTCGTCGAGAACGAGGGGAGGTGGAGACCTGACAGTGAGCCGGACGGAACCGCCGGACACGGGAGAACAGTGGAGGCACGTGCAAGAACTGGGCCCCCAGAGGGGTCAGCCAGTGAGACTGCAACGGGTCTAGGGAGTGGTGTGACTGTGGTACTGTCGCGAAAGAAGCAGCGAGAAGCACCTGAGTCAAGCGTGAAGGTGGGCAAGGCCTCAGCAGGCGCAGTACCAGAGAGAGCAGACTCACAAGCACCTAGAGCAGCAGCCTCTATACCAGGGTCGGGCGGCACACACAGGTAACAGTCACCCTCAGTACCAGCAGTCAAAGCATACATGGCAGTAAGGATAGCGTCATAGTCTAGAGCAAAAAAATCCACTTTCTCCCGAAGTAGCTCTAGCCAGCGGGGGAGCTCAGCCTCGTCGCCAAACTCTGCGCACCAGGAGTCGCTCAGATAGGCGAAGCAGCGGGACTGTGTGTGGCTAGGTGTCCTGCAAGTCTGACCTGCCCGAGCACCGGTGCGAATGACATACGGGCAGCGAGCAGTACTCCGAGACGCACCGCGCTGAGCGTACCACTCATTGAGCTGCTGGGACATAAGGGTCACGCGCGGAAGCCGCCGCAGCTGCATCTGGCGACCGCCAGAAACTCCCCACTGAACAGCTCCACCGCGACTGCCACTACGGCCGCCGCCACCACTCCCACCATTGCCACCACCGTCGCCACCACTCCCACCGCTACCACGAAGAGAAGTCATAGCGGGCAAAGCAAGGAGGCGTGTGACCAGCAGGGCAGTAAGTAGGGAAGGGAGGGCGGCGCACGTTCAGATCAGGTCGGCGCGCTGCAAGTAGGGCGGCGCGTAGGCAGGGGAGGGCGCGTGGGCAGGCAAGGGGCAGCGCGCGGGCCGTAAAGGGCGACGCGCGGGCCGCTAGGGCAGCGCGCGGGCTGCCAGGGCCGATGCGCGAGCTGCAGGGCAGCGCGTGGCCAGCAGGGTAGGGCGTACGCGTGGCGCGAAGGCAGGGCAGGGCGTGCGCGGGTCGCGTAACGGGCACGGCAGGGCGTACGTGCGGTGCGCGGGTAGGGCAGGGCGTGCGCGGGCCGCACGACGGGCAGGGCAGGGCGTACGCGCGGGGCAGGGGCAGGGCAGGGCGAGCGCGGGTCGCACGGCGGGTAGGGCAGGGCGTACGCGCGGCGCGCGGGCAGGGCAGGGCGTGCGCGGGTCGCACGGCGGGCAGGGCACGGCGTACGCATGGCAGGGCGTGCGCGGGCCGCGCGACGGGCAGGGCAGGGCGTACGCGCGGCGCGCAAGCAGGGCAGGGCGTGCGCGGGTCGTCTGACGGGCAGGGCAGGGCGCACACGAGTGGGGCGCGACGCAGGCAGGGGATGCGCGAGGCGGCGGGAGACAGGGAAGGGCGTGCGCGGGCAGCGCGACGCAGGGCAGGGCGTGCGCGGGGCGGCGCGACGTGCTTCGTTCTGTGCTCCAGTCTGTGCTCCTCACACAAGGCAATTGCGGCCTTGTTGTCTACGTACAGAACTGGAGGAGAACGAGGCCGCTCTCCCAACTCGGTCAGCAGGTAGGTGAGCCAGCGTAACTCCTGTGCAGCCATGGCTCATGCGTAGATCTCAGCCTCACAACTGGAGTTGAGAACAGAAGACGAGCGGGTAGACCGCCAAGAAACAGAGCCGGAGCCAAGGCTGAAAGTGTAACCCTATGACGACCGCTGCGTAGCCAGGTCGTCAACCCAAGACACGTCTGAGTGTACAGTGAGGACAACTGAACTCCGTCCTCCAAGCACGAGCCCCATGCCCCCTCTTAGCGGCCTCCCACTGCTTTCGTCAGGGTCTCCCGGGCCCAACATAGCGTGCCAGGATGCTAAGAGGGTACGCAAGGTCAGGTCGAGTGCAGGTCATCAGGTACATGAGGCAGCCCACAAGCTCTGGATACGGGCCACTCGGCTCTACGGACTCGTCCGAAGGTGGAGCTGAGAGCGAGTGACCGGTAGGCAGAGGAGTGGACTGTGGCGAGGAGAACTGGAAGCCGAAGCGCTGAAGGACCTGGTGCACCATGTGTGACTGAGTCAGGGTGATGGTGCGCCGTGCTCTGTCCCGGGTGATCTGCAAGCCAAGATAGCTGCGCAGCTCACCCAGGTCAGTGCAGGTGTGTCTCTTCTGCAGCTCTGACTTCATAAGAGCCAGTCCCTCAATGTCAGCAGTGGCAAAAACCAAGTCGTCGACGTACACGAGGATGTAGAACGGCGGCAGCGAAGTGTCGGTGCGCAGAAACAGCGACGGGTCAGCAGTCGAAGGAGCAAACCCAAGAGTCGCAAGTGTAGTCCTCAGTGTGTCGTGCCACTTACGTGGCGCCTGGCGGAGACCGTAGACTGGCCGTCGGAGGCTCCACTAGGTACCCTCAGGAAACGACCCAGTGAAGCCAGGAGGACGGCGCAGCCAGATCTCCTCGTGCAGGCTGCCCTGTAAGAAAGTTGTGCTGAAGTCAAGAGAGTGAAGCTCATAGTCACGCTGAGCGGCAACGTGCAGCAACACCCGAAGAGTGGTCATCTTCGAGGTAGGGGAGAAGGTCTGAAAGAAGTCAACTCCCTGTCGCTGACTAAAGCCTCGTGCAACGTAACGAGCCTTGAAGACAGGCGGAGAACCCGCGGCTGCTTCACCCTGAAAATCCACATGCCATCGACTATGTTCGCCCCAGGAGGGGGAACTGCGTCGACGTAAGTGCCTGTGGACTTCCAGGATGCCATCTCTGCGTCCATGGCTGTCTGCCACTGAAAGGAGTAGGGACCCGAGATCGCCTCTGCGTAAGAGCGCGGGGTCGGGATGTCCAGTGCATCCGGGTCTCCCTCAGGTGCAAGCAGCATGGCCACGAGATGAGGTACAACAGCTGAAAGGCACTCAAAGTCCTCCTGCCTGTCCTCAAGGACGTCCGTGCCAAGAGCACACCCACCCCCGACGGACGGAGGACAGACAGACTCAGACTCAGCAACAAGACCAACGGCGTAGTCTAGACGATACGCGGCAGCAAAGTCAACAAGCTCAGCATTAAGAGTGTTCAGCCAAGGAATCACGTTGTAGGGAGTAGAAAGAAGGTGCACGAACTCATATGAAGTTGGAATCAGATTTGAAGACCAAGTAGAAATGCTATAGCTGAAAGATTTGAGGTCAAAAAATTGGATGTCAGAACGCTTTTTACCCAACTTCACCTCAGTTCAGAGATTTCTAAGTGTTGGTCGAAGTAGTGTAGTAGAAGATTCTGTCAGAGGTCCGTTGGAGATCCCCGATTGATCCTAGGGAAGGGTTACAGGCACGTTGGCCTGGAGGGTTATGAGCGCACTCACCCGCTACACAAACAAGTCATTTTGTCTTAGTGGTTAGTGGTTGGGATTTTGACATGGTGTCAGAGCAAAGGTCCCGAGTTCGAATCCCAATGTTGCCCCTGGGGCATCCCTCTCCGGGAGGTTGTCAGACGTCCGTCGGAGATCCCCATAAATCATAGGGAAGAATTACAAGCACGTTGGCCTGTGGGGCTATAGGAGCACTCACCCGCTATACAAACAAGCCATTTTATCCGAGAGGTTAGTTGCTGGGATTCTGACAGATTCCTTGAAAAGTAGGGTCACTTCAAAATTCGAATGTCTGCTCCCAATTTTCAGAATAGCTAGGCAAGAATGATTGAACTAGCAGAAGTTTGGGTACAAATATGAAACCCTAGTTGGGGTTGTACCCCATATTGGCTACCCCACTACAGCCTACAAGCATAATACAGTTTAACACACCCCCATAGGCAAAGTGGGGGAGAACAAAGGGTCACAAGACCAGTCCAGCAAAGCAAAGCAAAGCCCAGGGTGGATCACAACGTCACCACACTCCGAGCACAAGTAAAGGCCACAAGGCCAGTTCACATGCAGTGCTAGATATAGTACAAGACAAGCAACACAGTGATCAAAACCTAGCAAGCAAGCAACAAGATATATATAAAGTACAGTACAAAGAATGTCAAGCAGTGAGCAAGTGAGGAAACGTGGACACAAGGCCTAAAGAAGTACAGTGCCGCTGATGATCACTAGGCGGGAGCGCCTTGGTGAAGATATCAGCAGTGTTGGCCTTCGAGTCCACGTACACAAGCCGAAGCTGACCGCGCTGCTGAAGCTCTCGAGCAAGAAAGTAGCGAAGAGCAATGTGCTTCGTCCTGTGCTCCAGTCTGTGCTCCTGACACAAGGCAAGAGCCGCCTTGTTGTCACCGTACAGAACTGGAGGAGAACTAGGCCGCTCTCCCAAGTCAGTCAGCAGGTAGGTGAGCCAGCGTAACTCCTGTGCAGCCATGGCTGTGGCGTAGATCTCAGCCTCACAACTAGAGCCGAGAACAGAGGAAGAGCGGGTGGACCGCCACGAGACAGAACCAGAGCCAAGGCTGAAGGTGTAACCCTGTGACGACCGCTGCGTAGCCAGGTCGTCCACCCAAGAAGCGTCCGAGTGACCAGTGAGGACAACTCTGTCACGTCCTCCAAGCACCAGCCCCATGCCTGATGTACTGCACAGGTAACGCAGCACCCTCTTAGCAGCCTCCCAGTGCTCTCGCCTGTGTCTCCCAGGCGCAACGTAACGAGCAAGGATGCTAAGAGGGTACGCGAGGTCAGGTCGCGTGCAAGTCATCAGGTACATGAGGCAGCCTACAAGCTCTGGGTACGGGCCACTCGGCTCTACGGACTCGTCCGAAGGTGGAGCTGAGAGCGAGTGGCTGGTAGCCAGAGGTGTGGCCTGTGGTGAGGAGAACTGGAAGCCGAAGCGCTGAAGGACCTGCTGCACCATGTGTGACTGAGTCAGGGTGATGGTGCGGCGAGCTCTGTCCCGGGTGATCTGCAAGCCAAGGTAGCTACGCAGTTCACCCAGGTCAGTGCAGGTGTGTCTCTTCTGCAGCTCCGACTTCACACGAGCGAGTGCCTCAGTGTCAGCAGTAGCAAAGACCAAGTCGTCGACGTACACGAGAATGTAGAACGGCGGCAGCGACGTGTCTGTGCGCAGAAACAGCGACGGGTCAGCAGTAGACGGCGCGAACCCAAGAGCCGCAAGTGTAGTCCTCAGTGTGTCGTGCCACTCACGTGGCGCCTGGCGGAGACCGTAGACTGGCCGGCGGAGACTCCACTGGGTACCAGGGGGAAACGACCCAGTAAAGCCAGGTGGGCGGCGCAGCCAGATCTCCTCGTGCAGGCTGCCCTGCAGGAACGCTGTGCTGAAGTCAAGAGAGTGAAGCTCGTAGTCACGCTGAGCAGCAACGTGCAGCAGAACCCGAAGAGTGGTCATCTTCGGGGTGGGGGAGAAGGTCTGGAAGAAGTCGACCCCCTGACGCTGACTGAAGCCTCTAGCAACGTAACGAGCCTTGAAGACAGGCGGAGAACCTGGCGGCCGCTTCACCCTGAAAATCCACATGCCATCGACTATGTTCGCCCCAGGAGGGGGAACTGCGTCGACGTAAGTGCCTGTGGACTTCCAGGATGCCATCTCTGCGTCCATGGCTGTCTGCCACTGAAAGGAGTAGGGACCCGAGATCGCCTCTGCGTAAGAGCGCGGGGTCGGGATGTCCAGTGCATCCGGGTCTCCCTCAGGTGCAAGCAGCATGGCCACGAGATGAGGTACAACAGCTGAAAGGCACTCAAAGTCCTCCTGCCTGTCCTCAAGGACGTCCGTGCCAAGAGCACACCCACCCCCGACGGACGGAGGACAGACAGACTCAGACTCAGCAACAAGACCAACGGCGTAGTCTAGACGATACGCGGCAGCAAAGTCAACAAGCTCAGCAACTAAGGCAGACGCAGAGTGGACTCAAAAAAAGGGTCAGTGACCACAGGTGCAGTAGGGCTGGCAGCACGAACCAAGTCAGACTCAGGGTCCGGAACGTCAGGAAGAGAGGACGCCGGAGGAGACGGCAGAGGAACTCGCTGTGGAACAGAGGAAGGACGAAGTGCCATAGCGTGAGTGCCGAGGACAGGAGGAGGGCGCGGACGAGGAACACGGCGACCAGTGCGAACAGCGCGAACAGGCGAGGCAGGACGAGACGCAGGCTCACGACGCTCTGTAAGGGAGGCTGGCTGCTCAGTGTAACGAGGGGGGACAGACAGCGGTGAGTCTGGAGGAAGGGCAGTGGACGAAGGAAGACTAAGAATTTGACGAAGCGCTGAGTGAGGCGGTAGCAGGGACGGCTGTGGCGCGCGGGCAGGGAACTAGTCCGTGGGCCCTAAAAAAAAAGGACCTGCTCTGAAACCAGGTCAGAATACTGAACGAGAATGAATGCATTGAGAACAAGCTGAGTACAAGTACTAACCCTAATTGGGTTGTACCCCTTATGGGCTACCCCACTACAGCCTACACAACACAAACATTATCATGTTTTGACACCTGCTTCGTCCGTAAATCCCAACTACGAGCCAACCGCCACGTCATCGCCCACCGTCCATGACTCGCCTTGCATTGGAGCGATCGTCGAGCCCGAGAAGATTATGAGCCATCGGATTCGTCACCCCACAGGCATCAAGAGGATCGAGTTCCTCGTTCGCTGGAAGGACCGTACCCCAACCGGGGACAGCTGGGTGCCCTTGGCCAACATTGAAAATCACCCTGCCCTGCAAGTGTACCTGAGGAGCCGGGGATTCCGCGATATACACACACTCACGTAGCGGAGGAGGCTTCTTGGGGGGGGGGGGGAATTTTTTCAGCATTCCTTACCGCGTTCTTCAACATCGCGTACAGCAGCAGCCGTTGTTCGCCCGTTACTGCTAACAGGGCTTCGCCAACATTTGCGTGCTCTATTCACCAAACCATGCACCGCTGGCCCAGCCGTGTCCGCCTACGCTTCCAGCTCGAACCTCGATGCCAGCCTAGAAATAGCTAGCTCGCACGTACCGCGTAACCGTTTGCATGTTTCGCACATACCGTAAATATTCACTCATGCCTTCGCTCATACTTTGTACTCGTTTGACAACCTAGTGCAATCCTCGTCGTCTCGTTCCATAGCACTCGTTACAGTTGCAGAAGACTTACAGAATTGAGAAATTACGTTTTTACTTACAGAGCAGAACACGCTCACCGCATCGTACCTGGGGGTTGTCACCAACCATACAACATCTGCCCGCGCTGCTAGCTCATGTGGCCTTGGGAATGAGAATTTTTCTCTATCCCGCGAAATCGCGCTTCGTTTTATCATCGCCACGTGGCATGCTTTCGATCGCGGGAACCGCGATCTGTTTTATTGTTACCACAAAGTTCAACAGAATTTTAGTTAAGTTTTGAAATGCGCTGCCCGCGGGCAAAAATAAAACCCATTTGGGCCTGGCATGCGTTAGGGAGGCATCAACCCTAAACACCTTGCCTCCTCCTAGGTGTTTAGGGTTGATGCATCCATAACACATGCCATTCCTACGGGGTTTTATTTTTGCCCGCGGGCAGGGTCGTACATGTGACCCACCAAGCTTAACTAGATTTCTCTTAGAAAATTGTGGCAACAATAAAACAGATAGCGGTTCCCGCGATAGAAGGCATGCCACGTGGCTAAAATAAAACAAATCGCGACTTCGCGGAATTGAGCAAAACTCTCCTTGGGAATTGTTTACTCAGACCTCCTCCCCCTCTCCTCTGCCCCTCCCTCCTCCCTCTCCCCTCAGCCGCCGCTGCCTCCTCTTGCCTCCTCCTTTCCCCGTCTTCTGCATCCCTTCCTCCTCGTTCCAGGGCGCATTCCGAGGCCGTCGTGTATCGCTGTGACCTAATCACGTTCATTTATTCACGGATCCTTATAGCCTCCGCCTGTCTAGCTGATATAGGTTCCGTTATAAGCGGTTCTCGTTATAAGGGAGCCCGATGGGGGCGAACGTGAGTCACGCGGCGGCAGCGCCATCCGCACCTCCGCCTCCGCCAATTGCACCCGCGGGCGTTCCTCCGCCCCCCGCGGGCCCGGTTGGCTTGCAGCAGGTCGTTCCGCCGGCTGATGCGGCGGGAAACGCGGAGAAGCCTCCGGAGAAAGTGGACTATCTGAATCTGCCGTGCCCGGTGAAATATGAGGAGATCCAACGAGAAGCGCTTAGTAAGCACTCCTTAACGAGGATGCACGGAGCGATAGAAATCGCTTATTTGCGCAAGGATATTGCAGATCAGTCCAGATCAGATCAGACCAAATCGCATCGAATGAGTTCAGGCTGAATCGATCGTGGTCATTCTGACACCTGCTGCCAGCTGGCGTCCGTCCGTTATCGATAAGCCCTGGTGACCCGATTGCCACGTGGCGCTTCTCCTTTACACTCGCTCGATCCGGGTCGATCGTTCTGGTCAAGTAGGTCGCCGATCCAGGGGTCTCTGGAGAATTATTAAGCTTTGCAGAACGGAGCGCGCTATTGAATCTTCGCCGTTCTTAAATCATCCACGGCAGATCCACGATGAACGAGACCGGGTCGGACGGGGTTGTAGCGAGGGGTTCAAAATAAGGGCTAATGGGCCAGTGGGAGGGTTGCTCATCCGCGCTTAGAATGCACGATCAGGCTTCTAACGCGTTACGACTTTTTATACGTCTCAGGCTCACGTCCTCTTCCCTGACCATTTTCGACTTATCAAATTTTTCCGGCTCAGTCGTTTCATTCGAACCCCTTCGTCTGCGTCTCGAAACGACGCCTTGCCTCCTCTTCTCCCCCTCCACTCCTTCCCTTTCCTTTCCACTTCCCCCCTCTCCTTTCCACTTCCCCCCCTTCTCCTCTCCACTCCCCCCTGTCCTTTGCATTCAGTGTCGTTAAAGCCCGACCTCTTCGAGGGCCTTCGCTTCGACTTCAACAAGCCGCTCAACCAGTCGTTCTCGCTCTCGCACAGGTGACGTTTCCCATTCGCACATGCACGCAGCACACGTGCAGCCACACTGCTGCATGACTCCCCTTCGCTTGCCTCCGAAACCACAAAAAAAAAATCCCCCTCGTCTCATTTTACCCGTTGCTCCCCTCCCTCTTTTCTCCCCGTCTCCCGCCCTGCATCCTCCTCTTCCCCGTCCCCCGCCCTGCATCCTCCTCTTCCCCGTCCCCCGCCCTGCATCCTCCTCTTCCCCGTCCCCCGCCCTGCATCCTCCTCTTCCCCGTCCCCCGCCGTCCCCCGCCCTGCATCCTCCTCTTCCCCGTCCCCCGCCCTGCATCCTCCTCTTCCCCGTCCCCCGCCCTGCATCCTCCTCTTCCCCGTCCCCCGCCCTGCATCCTCCTCTTCCCCGTCCCCCGCCCTGCATCCTCCTCTTCCCCGTCCCCCGCCCTGCATCCTCCTCTTCCCCGTCCCCCGCCCTGCATCCTCCTCTTCCCCGTCCCCCGCCCTGCATCCTCCTCTTCCCCGTCCCCCGCCCTGCATCCTCCTCTTCCCCGTCCCCCGCCCTGCATCCTCCTCTTCCCCGTCCCCCGCCCTGCATCCTCCTCTTCCCCGTCCCCCGCCCTACTGCCTTACTCCTTCCTGAATCCTGATCACCTCGGGATCCTCTCCACATGCTCTCTTTTTTCGCACACTCCCATCCCTCTCTCCCTCCGTTCCCTCCCTCCCCTCCCTCCCTCCACGCCCTCCCTCCTTCCCTCTCTCCCTCCCTCTCACCCCAACCACACTCCCTCCTCCTCTCCGCTATCTTCGCTCAAAATTTGCAGATGGCAGCCCGCAGTGCCCTGCCGCTGTATAATGCTTCACATTTACAATAACTCATCTCATGACGTTGCAGGGATTTTTTGAGAATTCTAAAAAATCCCTGCAACTCATGTGCCACACATCACCCTTCAGTCGACTTCAACGCCTCCCTTTCTCCTCGCTCCCCTCCTACGCACCTCCCCACCCGCAGTGTGCTGATGGGCAGTGCGGAGGTGCGGAATCAGTCCCACAGTCACCTCTGCAACCACTCCACCCACCCCCCCCCCTCCCCCTCCCTCTCGTCCTCGCCCCTCCCTCTCCTTGCGCGCACTGGACACCCGCAGTGTGCTGATGGGCAGCGCTGAGGTGCCGAATCAGTCGGGGGGCATTCTGAAGGTGCCGCACTCGTCGTACGAGTTTGGGGCGAATGTGCTGGACGCTAAGGTCAGTGGGATGTGAGAGAGCAAGGTAAGGTGGTGCGTTTTGGATGTCTGTGGTAAATCGGAGCATTCTGAAGGTGTGGGGTAAATCGGAGCATTCTGAAGGTGTGGGGTAAATCGGGGCATTCTGAAGGTGCCGAACTCGTCGTACGAGTTTGGGGCCAGTGTGCTCGACGCTAAGGCGAGTGGGGCATGAGAGAAGGCGGGGTGAGGGGGGAGCTCAGAAATATCCTCCTTTTTTCTGCTCCTCCTCCTCCTCCTCCTCCTCCTGCTGCTGCTGCTGCTGCTGCTGCTGCTGCTGCTTCTCTGACCTGCTGGCTATTCCACACCAAAACTGAAACTCCAAATTGCATGTTTGTCCTCCACGAACCTTCTTAATTAAATTGTAATAGAAACCCACATTCCCTTCCGCATTGCCTCTCTCTCCTTCCCCTCTTCCCCTGTCCCACGTCACTGCCGCCGCGAGCAGAAGATGCTGATAGGGCGGATGGCGGACGGGGGGTTGAGTAGGCGGGTGAGCTACCAGGTATGAGCTATGAGGCAGGTTGCGCCCAGCTTGTTCATCCTTCCCCTGAATCTTTCTCCCTTGCCTCTCCCCTCCCCCTCTTCCCCTGTGCGACATCATTCCCTCGAGCAGAAGATGCTGATAGGGCGGATGGCGGATGGGAGGTTGAGTGCGAGGGTGAGCTACCAGGTGACGGACAGCGTGGCACTGAAGGTGAATGCGCAGATCGTGAACGAGCCGCACTTCTCGCAGGGCATGTTCCAGCTCGACTACAAGGTGCGTGCGTGAGAGAGAGATGGAGAGGGCGGAGAGAGAGAGAGAGAGAGAGAGAGAGAGAGAGAGAGAGAGAGAGAGAGAGAGAGAGAGAGAGAGAGAGAGAGAGAGAGAGAGAGAGAGAGAGAGAGAGAGAGAGAGAGAGAGAGAGAGAGACTTCGCCTCTGCCTCTAGCCTCTGCCTCTGCCCTCTAGCTATATATAGGGCCCTTGGGGTCATTTCTCTGCCATTAGTTCGTTTGGTGCCAGTTTTCTTCGGCGCTCGCGCCGGCTCTCGGGTGGCAAGCATCAAATCTGGACAAAACAAAACCGACACAAAGGACGCAATGGAGACAGACCACACGCGCAACAACTAGACAAACAAGATGCAACAAGTCTACGTGCGGAGGCCGCCAAATCCTACATCAAATGGGCGTCTAGTGCCGCGAGGATCCCTCGCATGGTCCTCCACATCTGGCGGACCACTAACGCGGTCGCGCCAAGAGCTTCAACGGCGCCTCCTTCGCGGAGATATCCAGTCAGATCCTGGACAGTCACGTCCAGCTCCGACACCGCAACGCCTCCCGGCGCGGGCGCTCCCAGCACGGGTAGCAGGAGGAAGGCTAGCTGCGTGGCTGCTCCGATGCAATCAGCTCGCGCCGTCGGATCGAGAGTGCTCCCTGGGTTCCGGAGGATGGCAAAGTGCGAGTTCACCAGAATCAGTGTCAGGGCCTGCTGGCACTCCACCAAGCGCCACAGCTGCGCGAGGGTCGCCGTGGGAACTTGAGCCGTCCCGGTCAGCCTCGCCGCGGCAGGAACGGGAAGAGCCGGCGGGGGGGGGACAGCCGGCACCTCATCAACGCGACGTGGAGGGCGGAATGGCCCCCTCGCCGCTCCGCCTCCAGCTCCCACAAATCCCGTGCCCGGAACGGGGGGAACCCACGGAAGAGGGGGATATGGGGCCCCAGGGGCCGGACGTGGCGCGGCCGGCCCCTGCGGATATGCTTGAGCAACCGGCGCAGGAACCGCGTGTGGAGGAAGGGGAGCCTGGGCAGCCGCAGGAGCAGGGGAGGGCGGCGCAGCAGCAGCAGCCAGCGAGCTGCCAGGAGTCGGCGCACTGCTCAGAGCCGCGCGCATCGCCGCCGCCAACATGCCAGGGAAGTCGGCGCGCAACTGCTGCATTTCGCTTGGCGTCTCCCGCCCGCGACCGTGACCTCCCCACCAGCCACCGCGGCCCCCTCGATTCGCATTCCGGTACGAGGGGGAGGGGCGACGCCGAGGAGAACCGCGCCCCCTGTGCGCCGCTGTACTGCCTCCTGCAGCACCGCGGCTGCTTGACTCCGCGCGCTGCTGCGCGACGGGCTGGACTGGCGCAGACGCAGGAGCGACCGGGTGCGCGGGGTCGTGGGCGGCGCCCACCGCCGTCCCCTGCGCAAGAACACCAGCAGCAGCTTGGACAAGTGGCGACGCCGCAGGCGGCTGCGGCGCAATAGGAGCGGGAGCACCAGGGGCGAGAACACCGCGCGCGCGTGTGTGTGTGTGTGTGCGTGCGTGCGTGCGTGCGTGCGTGCGTGCGTGCGGGCGGGCGGGCGGGCGGGCGGGCGGGCGGGCGGGCGGGCGGGCGGGCGGGCGGGCGGGCGGGTGCGCGGGCGCGTGCGCGTGCGCGCGCGCGCGTGTGTGTGTGTGTGTGTGTGTGTGTGTGTGTGTGTGTGTGTGTGTGTGTGGTGTGTGTGTGTGTGTGTGTGTGTGTGTGTGTGTGTGTGTGTGTGAGAGAGAGAGAGAGTGTGTGAGAGAGAGTGTGTGCGTGCGTGCGTACGTGCGTGTGTGCGTGCGTGCGTGCGTGCGTGTGTGTGTGTGTAAGAGCGCGCGCGCGTGTGTGCGTGCGCATGTACAATAGTGTGTGTGCACACGGCACCGTTCACCGAGTGAACTGTATTCAGAGCGTTCGCTCGCTGAATGGCCTCCGAACAATTATCACCTTAGAGCGCTCTTCTCCTCCCATTTTGGTGCCTGACTTCCCCTCCATCACTGCAGGGATCGGACTACCAGTGGCAGGGCAGCCACAGGCTGGCAACAACGCGTCCCACAGAGTGAACCACATTCAGAGCATGTCTCGAGACATTTTCCTCTCCCCACGTTTCATTTCTTCTATCACTGCAGGGGTCGGACTACCAGTGGCAGGCGCAGGCGGGCAACAATGCATTCTACGGAGTGAACTACATTCAGAGCGTCACACCCACGCTCTCCCTGGGAGGAGAGGCCTTCTGGCTCGGCCACCAGCGCCGCTCCGGGCTGGGCTTTGCAGGCCGCTACAACACCGATAAAGTGGTGAGCGGCTGTGCTTGGTGCCGCATGTGGTTGGGCATGTGCAGCTCTCATGGTCAGAACTACATTCATAGCGTTACACCTACGCTCTCCCTTTGTAGTTAGTCGATTTTTGAGTCGACTCAAAAAAGCTCTCATGGTCAGAAATACATTCAGAGCGTCACACCCACACTCTCCCTTGCGGAGAGGCTTTTTGACTCGGCCACCAGAGACGCTCTGGGCTGGGCTTTGTCGGGCGCTACAACACCGATAAAGTGGTGAGCTGCCGTGCTTGGTGCATGTGAAGCAGGGCATGTGTGCCTCCATCTTTCTCTCCTGACCAAATTATGCCACTTCCGCATCGCCCGTTCCACTTACTCCAGGTGGCAACAGCACAGGTGGCGAGCACAGGGGTGGTGTCAATGACCTATGTGCAACGCGTGTCAGATAAGGTACGAGTTGAAGACGATACGGCACGGGTCGAATAAGTTGTGTGACTCAGGTTGAGTTTTGAGTTGACTGAAAAGTCACCTCAGCACAATTACCTTAGTCCGCTCGGCCCCTCCTTTTCCTCTTCATCCATCCCCATCCTTCCATCCATCGGCATTGCCCCTCCTTGCCCAAGCTTGTCTTCACCAGGTGGCCCTAGCAGCTGACTTCCTGTACAGCTGGAAACAGCAATCACTACCCCTTGAGGTCCCCCCCCCCCCCCCCCCCCCCCCCCCCCCTTCCTTCCTCTTTGTGCCCCCAGGTGGCCCTAGCAGCTGACTTCTTGCACAACTGGAACAGCAAGGAGTCGGCCACAAGTGTTGGATACGACTATATCCTGCGCCAGGTGTGTGTCTGTGGCTGTATTGAGAAATGAGTGTACTGGGAGCCGTGCGGGTACGACTGCATGTCATGGCAGGCTCGTATGAGTGATGAGCGTACAGCAAGTCCACCGTCATGTATGTGACAGTATTGAGGGCAGCTAGGCTTCCCGAACCCCACCCCCACCCCCCCCTTGTGTGTCCACCAATCAGTGTCGGCTGCGGGGGCGGCTGGACATCAACGGCTGTGTGACATCCTGTGTGGGATTCTCGATCATTCCCAATCTACTCTTTTCCTCCGATCCTCTCATTCTCCTCCCTCCACCCCTCCTCTCCGCTTGTCGTTTTACCAATCAGTGTCGGCTGAGGGGTCGGCTGGACACCAATGGCTGTGTGGCGGCTTATTTGGAAGAGAGGCTCAATCTTGGGGTCAATCTCCTGTTCTCCGCAGAGGTATGTGTGGGGTGGGAGTTGCCTTGCGCATCGTTGTTGGTGTTTGCGCTTGTGTGCATGCGGTGCCTAGTGAGTGTTCACCCTCCCTTGTGCCTCATCTTTTTTCACGACGCTACATTCAGTGCATTACAAGTTTAGAGCTTCGTGTTTGTGCCTTATCCCTTTTGTTTGTACTTACAGGTGGATCACTGGAAAAAGGACTACAAATTTGGGTTCGGCATGTCTGTTGGGGAGTAGTTTTTAGTCGTTTCTTGAGAAACCAAACCCCCGCAATCTTGAGGTTGCAGACTAGCTTGTTAGCATGTGAACAATAACCAACAACCATCATGTATCCTCTTTTTTTGTTATATGGTACCAAAATACATATTGCAATGTAAGGACCTCTTCTTTCCATCTGGAACTTGCCCATTCTGCGAGAACGATCTGGCTATATCGGTTAGATGGGTACGCTTTGCGAGCTTGCGAAGCTCGACGACGGCTACAACGTAACATTGTACGTGCGCGAACCGTTTGCGAAATGCAGCCTCGTGTGCGAAAACGTCGGGAATCGTCGTGGATTTCGTGATATCGTGAACCTTTTTCCGCTCTGACATATCCCAGCGAACGTCACGGGACGCGCGGCTTGTTTTCAGCTTCGGAGCGCTTGAGTGCATTGTCTGATCCTTTGACATGCGGCAAGCAATAATTTTCTGATGCGAGCTTGCAAGCACCAATAATCGTGGAATGCACGAAGGGAAGAAAACTTCGATACCAGCAGCAGTTGTGTCCCCTCGACATACAAATACAGGTTTGACAGCCGAGCTGACTCGACGTTTCACAAATTCGGCAACACACACTGGAAAGCAGGGGAAACATCGCTGCCACTACAGAAACAAGCTCCTCCTGCCTGGTACAATCGCGCCATGGGTTCAGAGTCATGTCTCGCGCGAGTAGTAGGTTTTCTAACTGTCATTCTATTCTTGATTGATTCCCAGCCTGTCTTCGCCGTTCGAGTGTTAAACAATCCCGCAGCAGCCCATGTCGGTGCTGATAGCGAAGTTTCTCCTGCGGCAACTGCTACTAATACCGTTGTATCTGGAAAGAGCGGTCCAGAGGCAACGAGCGTGATGCAGAGCGGTGAAGCGGACCCGTGCGCGCTGTGGAGTCAGGAAATGGCCACGAATGCAGCGACCTGGGACGTTGCGAAGCCCTCTACAGTTCGCGAATGCTTGCGAAATTTCAAAATCAGGTAACACGCGCACAAAAAGAACGAGAGGCTGACATCGCAAACATTACCTTTCACTAATATCAGTAACCTTTGAGCAAGAATTCCTGTGTCTGTTTTAATAAATTTATTTCGCGGTATGCAGGGAGAGTGACGTGGAAGACCTTCGGTCGGTGGTCAACGGAGTCAACAACCACTACGTGTATAAAGACATCGCCGTTGAATCGCCCGACCAGGCGAACCTTCCCAGCAGCGTCGACATCGTCGCGGAGCTAACGGCCATTCTGCAGCGCGCCGAGCGGGGCGAATACGAACGGCTCATGGACGCCCACGTGGACACGTTCAACGCGATCAACGGCCTGAACGACGGCCACACCATGTTTTCTTCGAATTGCTTCTTCAGCATGGTCACCTTCTTCTTGCCGCTCCCGCTTTTCGCGGTCGTGGAGGATGGCCAGCAGATCGTTCGCGTCGCCACGCGCCGATGTGAGTCCGCGCTTCGGAGTCTTCCGCGCCGCTTCTGAAGTCTCTCACACGCACACACGCACGGCGTTCACCCTAACTCGTTTTCCAGTTACACTTCGTTGATGTGTATGAGTAACCATTTTTCGTATCCTTATTTAATGGTGCTGGTATCCCTTCAGACCTGGCGTGGTTCAACGGAATCGAAGAGGACGCGAAGAGAATATGGGGCTTCGATTTCTCCTCCTACGAGTTGCAACAGGTACACCAATGTAACTAAACAGCTGCGTTGAATGGGGAGACCATTCCTGTTTGCCTCTCCATCACACTCAAACACTCTCTCGCTACAGTGACTGCCCTCTCTCCCGCCCTCCCACTTCCCTTCCCACAGGTGCTCGCGATAGAGGGGCAGCCGGCAGTGCAGTATATCAGCAGTGGGCGGTCAAGTACGGTGGCATGGTCCGGAACCCCAGTAGCCCAGCACAATGGCTTTTCTCTCTTCCTCCTGCCCTCCCTGCTCCCCTTCATGCAGGTACTCGCCATTGAGGGCCAGCCGGCAATGGATTACATAAAGCAATGGGCGGACAATTACGGAGGCATGGTGCGCAACCCAACACCTAGCATACGGTCTCTGTCCTTGAAAACCTGCACTTGATCCTCCTCTCTCACAGGTGCTCACAATTGAGGGCCAGCTGGCAGCGGACTACATAAAGCAATGGGCGGACAAGCACGGCGGCATGGTGCGCAACCCCAGTGCGAATTTCAGCATGCACAGCACAATGAGTGCCCTCTCCTCTCCCACCTGCCCTCCCTGCTCCTTCCCCCAGGTGCTCACCATAGAGGGCCAGCCGGCAGTGGAGTATATAAAGCAGTGGGCGGACAAGTACGGCGGCATGGTGCGCAACCCCAGTGCGCGCTTCAACATGATGTTCGCCGGGCTCGACCCGGAGGGGCGCGCCAGCTTGTGGCAGCACCCGGGGGAGTTCGCTCTGAGGGAGCTGATTCCAGAGAGCGACTCGCTGCAGGTGTCCATTCTCAGAGGGTGAGTGAAATCCTTGCGTACTACCGGCGCGTCAATTGAAGCCCTGAATCCTTGCGGGCTCAAGCCACAGGAGAGAGCCAGCTCGAGGCAGCACCTGGGGGAGTTGGCTCTGAGGGAGCTGATTCCGGAGGGCAACACGGTGCAGGTGTCCATTCTCAGAGAGTGAGTGAGGGTTTTGTGAAGGGCTGCTGACGCATCCCATCCGTTCATTTTGAGTCAGACTCAATTGTTACCTCTAGGCAGGCAACACCCAAGTCTGAATCTATTTCGTCGAAACTCCTTGACCATTCACCTTGGTTCCTGGTGCCACTGAGTTCTCACTTGTTCTGTTTTGTCCGGACGGTTCCCTGTTTGGGAGCAACAGGGGAGCAGCAGAGAACGTGAGCGTGCCATGGATGGCTGTTTCGAGCTCAGAGGCTTTCACCGACTCGCACTCCTACTGGACCCTCAACTGTGCCAAGCACAACGAGCCCTGCGCTGACGACGCTGCTGCTGGCACCGCAGCAGGCACCACGAGCAGTAGCAGTAGCAGCAGTAGCAATGAAGAGAGGGATTCGCGGAAACCGCCTCCTGCGTTTCAACGCGATGTGCTGAGGAGACGACCCCAGTACAAAAAGCGCCAGCAGCCCCACAGGCGGCAGCAGCAGCCGCAGCAGCAGCAGCCGCAGAAGCAAGAACAGAAGGGGCAGAGCAGTGATGCAGTTACACCGAGAATACTGGCTGGCGAGGACGGGGCAGCGATCACCGTAGAGAGGGTGTCTGCTGATGATGCCTATTACCTGGTATGTGCATGTGACTGTATGCGTGTGTGACTGTGCGCGCGTGTGACTATGCGGGTGTGACTGTATGCGGGTGTGACTGTATGCGGGTGTGACTTTATGCAGGTGTGACTGTATGCAGGTATGACTGTATGCGTGTGTGACTTTATGTGGGTGTGACTGTATGCGGGTGTCAATGTATGCGGGTGTCACTTTATGCATGCGTGACTGCATGCTGGTGTTGACACCTTACCCCTGAACAAAATCATGCATCTCATTCAAACTCTCAGCTTTCCCCTCTGCATCCCTCCTCTCTCCCCTGTCCGTCCCCTCAACCCCTCTCAACCGCACTGCACCCCTCTCAGGTGTATCTGGTGAGCAACCGCACGGCAGTGATCGTGCTGCACACATTCGACGTGGACAGCACCACGGTGGAGGAGCTAGCAGTCACCAGCCCTGACGTGCACCCCGTTGACTACCTCGCTGCGGAGATTCTCAGAGCCATGGACGCCGCCAAGAGGTATGCGCGCCCTCCCTGCTCGCTCTCCCTGCGCGCCCTCCCTGCGCGCCCTCCCTGCTCGCCCTCCCTGCTCGCCCTCCCTGCGCGCCCTCCCTGCGCGCCCTCCCTGCGCGCCCTCCCTGCGCGCCCTCCCTGCTCGCCCTCCCTGCTCGCCCTCCCTGCTCGCTCTCCCTGCTCGCCCTCCCTGCTTGCCCACCAATTTTCCCCTCCCGAAAAGTCTCTCTCGCAGCAATTTGGACTTTCCTCCCCCAACTCCCCAAACCCCCCCCCCCCCCCCCCCGCCCCCCGCCCCCAACGCCTCCCCCCGCGCGCAGCACCAACTGCGCGGAGGTCATATTCGACGTGCGCGTGAACGGCGGCGGGTACACCGCGCTGGGCTCAGTCACAGCCGTCACCCTCCTCGGCACGCGCAACGTGCCTCTAGCGGACGCAACTCTACCCATGGACTTCATTATAGGCACAAACTTCACCTGGAGCCTCATGGCGGATCAGGCCATACCCGCTTATGCCACGGACGGCTATACGCAGCCCAGCGACGGGGCGTCGGTGCTCTGGTCTTCGCAAGACTACACGCCGCTGCAGAACATCTCGTTTACAGAGGCCGGTCGCGCCGGCACCTATACCGCGGATTTTAAAGTCTATTTCGAGAATTTCTACGGCGGATTGGCGGAACGGCCCGGGTCGGAGGAGCCGTTTTTCGGCGCGCGGCCGTTTCTGTTTCTCGCGGACGGCGACTGCTTCTCCACGTGCGCCATCCTTACGCACATGCTGGGTAAACGCTACAAAGTGCCCATGGTAACCGTGGGTGGTTACCTCAACCACCCCGTGTCCGTGAGCGCGTCGTGCCTGGGCTACACCATGCTCTCGTTAAACTGCGACGTCTCGGTTCCGCTAAGCCTCACGAACCACGCCAACGACCCGCGCGCTTCGAAACCGTTTAAAACGAACATGGATGTTTCCATGGCGTTTACTAACGGGTATGTGGACTCGAGCGTTCCGTGCGAGTTCGAATTTCTGCCGAGTCAGCGCCACATGGACTACACCGTCGATCGCATCGACAAGCCCTGGGTCATCTGGAGCGACGTCGCGAAACTCTTCCCGGAATTGCCGCTGCCACCGGTGATCGCACAGTCGCAAGCTGCCGCGTAACTCATCATAGAGTGCACCGTCGGTCACGCGAAGGTTTTGGCGAATAAAGTGAGTTGCCACCGCCACTGTCGTAAAGCAACTTGCTATGGATGCTATGCTACTGCGCGCCATAGCATAGCATGAGTCACCACCCCAAACGAGCCACCCCCCAGCACCACACAATATGCACCCTATTGCATATTCGTTATGCAGCTACCCTCTTCACTCGAGAGACGAGCAGACCCGTCACGTAGCACAATAGATTGATTTCTACTCATCCACTTAAATAGCGTTAATAAACGGTCGTCAATTATCTCCATATATGCTGTAGCCTTTATTGCGCCAATAAAAACGCTAGCAATCCGCCTCAGAAAAATCCTAATAGAAAGTTCCACTTAAATTCATTCAGTGGTTGGCTCAGATTGTTGCTGGAAAGAAGCATCTCTTTGTTTGAGATAGAAGTGATAAGCCCATAACATCAAATCATCCAGAGAAAAACAACAAACCAAATACAACTCATCAGCGTGATAGCTCACCCCCATCTGCATGACAAAGACAAAAACATATCATGATGAACTAAACACCATCAGCAGCACAGCACAACTAACCACCATCCATCAACATACCTACCCACCATAAGCACTAAAAATACCCACCACCAGCATATGCAAAGATTCTGGGAGGCTCATTTCCAGCCAACACCCCACACAGAAGGGCATGAATTAGGGTGCTGTGGTGTCAACTGTTGGGGCGCCTGTAGGAATGGACTAGGCTGCAGTGGAGGCAAAGAGTTTGGCCACCTCATTCCAAATGGCCCAGGGCTTGTCAATGAGATCAACGGTGTAGTTGATGTGATGCCAGCTGGGCAGAAACTCAAACTCGCACGGAATCTTCGAATCCACATACCCATTGGTAAACGCCATGCCAACAGACCCTTTCACCTTGAGAGGCAGCGACGCGTTCTCTGGCAATACGGTAGCGAGCTTGCTGAGGCCTGGTGCCATCGATTAGACATCAGGTAGGGTAAACCCAAGGCACGAGGAGCCCACATCAGGGGGCTGGTTGGGCAAACCACCCACAGTTACCATGGGCACTTTGTGGCGTTTCCCCAGCACGTGCGTGAGGATGGCGCATGCGGAGAAGCAGTTTCCATCCGACAGGACCAGGAAGGGGCGGTCGCCAAACACCGGCTCCGTCACATCCCAAGCAAACTGGTACTTCATCTTAAACGGCGCCGAGTAATTGCCAGCGGGTCCGGCCTCTGTGAAGCGGAGCTCGCGGAAAGGAGCGTAGCCAAAGGCGCTTGAGAGGGCAGTGCCGTTGAGGTCGGCGTATCCTCTGTAATAGTAGAGCATCTTTCGGTCGACAGCGAGTGCGCCGATGGCGCTTTCAGTGTACTGCGTGCCGATGACGAAATCCACGGGCATCGTGAAATTGGAGTCGGGGACCTTGTCTGGCCCCATGAGGAGACGGATGGCTGTGTATGAGGCTACAGCGGAACCGCCACCGTTGCCACGCACGTCTATGATGATCTGCGAGGCGTTGGACCTGAAGGGAGGACATGGGGGGATGCATGGGGGAACGCATGGGGGAACGCATGGGGGAACGCATGAGGGAACGCATGAGGGAACGCATGAGGGGAACGCATGAGGGGAACGCATGAGGGAACGCATGAGGGAACGCATGAGGGAACGCATGAGGGAACGCATGGGGGAACTCGTGGGGGAACGGACACATCGAGAACGCATTGGGGAACGCTTGGAGGAAGGCACGTGGCGGCAAGGGAGGAGGCATGGAAAGGACGTGGGGGAATGAGCAAGAGGCGAAACGCGGATGGGCAAGAGTTGAGTTTAGGTGTGAGATGTCAGGTGAATAGCATGACAAGGAATTGCGGAGGGGTGCAGGAGGGGTGAGGAGGGGTGCGGAGGGGTGCGGAGGGGTGCGGAGGGGGTGGGAGGGGGGAAGAAAAAGGAGCAGAGGGAGGAATACTGACGATGCAACGGTTTGGAAAGCCTTGGCGACCTCCTCCTCCATTTCTTTTGCCTTGATGTCGTCAATGAATGTGTGGAGCCAGATCACGGCTGTGCTGCTGTCCATCAGGTACACCTGCTTGCACGCACCCACGCACTCACGCAAAGAGACACACACACACACACGCACAGAGACACACACACACACACGCACAGAGACACACACACACACACGCACAGAGAGACACACACACACGCACAGAGAGACACACACACACACGCACAGAGAGAGACACACACACACAGAGACACACTCACGCAGACACACACACACACACACACACACACACACACACACAAACGAGTTGGACGCACGTGATAGGTCCACGTAAGTGCAGCGAGCATCTCAACACAGGTCAGATTAGTAGAGAATGTAAGATAAGATTAAATCAGCTTAGTAAAGAATGTAAGATAAGATTAAATCAGATTAGTAGAGAATGTAAGATAAGATTAGATCAGATTAGTAGAGAATGTAAGATAAGATCAGATCAGACAATGACAGATCAAATTAGGTCAGATCAGAGCATGTCACATGGCAAGTCACTTGATGACACCAGCAAACTGTGTTGCACCGACGTCAACCCCCTGGCGTCACCACGAGCAAAGCACTTACCACGCAACAGCCTATTACAACCTCCAGCATTCATCTAAACGACTAAAGCTGTCTCGCTCACCAGGTAAAGGTCATCCTTGGGTGAAATCCTTTTTATTGTCGGCCCCGCCACTGCACCAGATGAGCCGTCTGCTGCAGCAGAAAGCGAAGCAATCTCGACATTCAGGTCGTCGCTGCCATCGCTGGTATCGTCGTAGTAAACTGGATCAGGGTGACGTTTGAGAAACTTGTAAATCACTGGGGTGTCTGCATGTCCGCGCGCGCTTGCCTGCGCGCTAGTGCTTCCAGTGACAGCGCCTGATGGCTCCACGGCACAGTAACGTGCCCAGTATTCCGTGGCATTTGCAAAGTCAGTAAGACTTCCTGTCCCAATCCATGGCACCTTGACGTCCTCCGCCAAAGCGCTATTTCTGGAGGGGCAGCGATAGCAGCATAGGCGGTAGGGTGAAACACATTTAGCAGCAGCTGAGGAAGTGTGCTGATCGTACAAGCAAGAGGCAGCGAATAAACAACGCATGTAGCGACAGGGAGAGCCAATAACCATCAGCTGTCGCTCACTCACTCGGTTGCGAACGACACCAGCAGGGTGTCATTTTCGGGAGCAACGCCTTGCCGGGCGAAGTCGCCTGGCACCTGGACGATGTTTGTCCCCCCCCGACGACCCTTCCACTATATTCGCCGCGAAAGATTTCGTGAATCGCGCAGCCCGATTGCGAAACATACCCACTTCCTTGTCTGCCCAGTTCAGGATGAAATCTTCCGCCTTTTCCCCGTTTATAGCCACCACCTGAAACGTCACATTGAACACGAAGATTAGACCTGTAAAATAGTTGTATGATGTGAAGCATGCAATCAGGACGCAGTTGGACCGTCCAGAGGCTTGAATGTCATTGGCGATCCAGGTGACTCAGGGAACGTTCCTGGCCGGTGTCAGGCAGGCTGACACGAAGCTGTGAAGGGTCTCGATTCGATTGAGGATGATGTGGAGCGATCGCAGCCGTCAGTAGCCTTGTGTCAGGGAACTTGACACCGGCCAAGAACGTTCCCTCAGTTCAGTTATTGCGAACATACCTGTCGGCCCTGGTAAAGGCTGAAGTCAAAGTTGTGCAGAACTTTCGCAATCACCTCCATCCCGATGGGAGTGACATCTGGTGGCAAGAGGGAATCACGACATGATAGGAACAAGAGCGCTAAGCTGCAGAGGCCAGAGCGCAACTGAGTACAGTAAGATTTTTTATGGGTGCTATGCTTTGCATTTGAGGAATATTGTTGAAACACCAGCAATCTCCAGCAAGCTGAGAAACACTCACATCGGCGTGGCGCAACGCGAATGATTTGCTGCCCGTTTTCGACGACAGCCATGAGCGGCAGCGGCAAGTTGAAATCTCCAAAAAAGCAACTCGGCACGAACGCGCTGTGCCCGTCGTTGAGCGCCAACACCGCTCGATACGCCGCCATGTGCGCGTCCACCAGCCGCGCGTACTTCCCCTTCTCGCCGTTCGCGACGATCTTTCGCAGCTCCGCAACAATGTCGATGCTGCTCGGCAGGTTCGTCTGGTCAGGCGAGTCCATGGCGATGTATTTGTACACGTAGTGATTGTCGAACGCGTTCGCGATCGACAGAAGGTCCTCCACATCGCAGTCCTTCCTGCCAGATCCACCGTAGAAAATAAGTCAGGCCAACATATTCTCGAGCCCAGCAATCGTGGAGTTCGGGTACGGTGGCACATAGCATGGCCTTCCAAAAAAAAAAAAAAAAAAACTGCTCAGTGCACTAACAACAGCGGTACAGTACGGTACCTGAACACGAACGTGGAGAGGCACGCGCAGAAGAAAGAAGGAGCCGCGAATCCTTGCCCTCCAGTCTTGCCCCCTAATTTCCCGGCAGTGCGCTTCAGCTCTGCCGCCAGCGCAGCACACGGGTCGGGCGCGGCTCCGGACGCGATCAAACGGCCCACAGGGGCGTCGTGGCACGACACCGCAGGAGCCGGCGCCGGCGCTGGCGCCGCCGCGGCAGCCCTCGCGGCCGCTCCCTCGGTCTCTGCAGTGAACGCGGCGGCGGGATTCGTTTCGCCTGTGCGGGTGACGGGGAAGAGGGCGTCGTACCAGAACCAGTGGCGAGCGGACGCGGAGGGCGCCTGGAGCAGCAAAGCGAGGACGAGCAGGGGGAGAAGCCGCCCCGCGGAGGAGAACGTGGCGCGGCGCGCTCCGATGGCGGCCATTGCGTTGCGGCAGCTGCTGTTCAGGGGAGTAGGTCGGATACGAGTGCAAGAGAGGCCCAGCGGCGGTACTAGCACTACACGCTACTTGCTGGTGGATGAGAAAAACTGTGGGAAGGACCACGTCGGAATTGTGTGGTGTGGATGGCCAACGGCGAGTAAATATACCTCCTTGGGGGAGAGCAGGAGACGCAAATTTTGGTTCGGAGCTTCGGCGAGAGTGGAGTCAAGTCCTCGCCGCGACGCTGTCCATGGTGTGCGACGAGTCCCCCCTTCAGTCGCCCAGGGCAGGGGCGGGATGCGACGAGCGTCCGAAACGAATCTGCCCTGATGAGGAATAGGACCACATAATCCTTGATTGGAGGTCGCGCTTCCGCTGCGACACAGCCCCACTGCCATTGCGACGGACCAACGTCGCAAACCCGGTTTCATTAGGATTTTCTTCGTCGCGCGAACAGTAGTCTAGTTCGTCCGCGAGTTTCGTGGGTAGAAACCTACCAAACTGCATTGAATGTCCTGCGACCTCACTACAGATTGGAAGGGATAGTAGCTGGTGGGGAGTGACGGCCAGACTTCGCAAGTCTCGTGTGATACGGCCGATAGCAGAGGAGGAGGGTGTCAAGACTCCTGCTCGCGAGAAGCAAGACTTCACCAGCCAATAGCAGCGTGACTCACATTCTTCAAGAACTGCCTCGACAGCGGCCAAACCTTTTTCGAGCAGTGTCGCAGTGTGGCCAGAGGTTGCTCAGAAGAATGTCACTCGGAGTGGAAGGGGTGCATCGGGTGGAAGGAAGTGATCAAGAAGAGAGACTCGCTCAAATCATGCTGAGAGTGCAAGGGAAGTCATGCTGAGAGTGCAAGGGAAGTCATGCTGAGAGTGCAAGAGAAATCATGCTGAGAGACTCGTGTGATAGCAGGTTTCGAAATCAATTGTGCTAGGGGGAGCGAAACTTCACACACTGCTGTTACTGTACACAGCCGATGGCACAGGAGGAGGTGAAGGAAGCAAGCGTGATGTGATGTGAAGACTTCAGATTCAATGAGTTCAGAAGGTGTCAGCTAGGCCGCATTCCTATAGATTCCGTCACGGAGGGTTCGAAAGAATCGAGGTGACGCCTGTCGGAACAGTGAAATGCTAGGTGTCACAAAGTCAAACCGCGCATGTGTCCACACCACACGAGTCCACTCACAGTTGGAACATATCTTGGCATTCCTTCGATAAAGGGCATGTGACCTTTTTCGTAACGTGTCGCAAACACGTAGTGTGGGCAAACCCGCCCTGGCGAAGAAATTTACGTTGCAGTGCCTGCTTGTGAAAATGGGCCCTAAACGTTCTCTGTTAGGTTCGAGGTCTAGGCCCCCACGCCACAACGCGGCAGGCCAAACCAGCAGCCTAGCTTTGGATGCGTGCGTGCGTGCAAGTTCAACGTCACTTCTAGTGCAGTATGACCGTGTACACACAAGAAAGGTAAATTGATTTCCTCCACATTTATGCATCTGAATAGATTAAACGTTTCTAATTGCCACATCATATAACAGCAAAACCTTAACATACTGATATTGATTCACACTAATTCCTCCGAAACATGAGAAACAGACTTCAATCTAACACAAAAGGAAGGAACAACACCAGGGAAGCTCTAATAGCTTTGCTCTGACACAGGGGTGCCATCTCCCAAGGCAGCAGCCTCCACGCTCTTCTCCACACACGCCTCAATGTGCTCCGTGTCATCCTCCCCCTCCACCATCAGACACGCCTGGTGGTACAAGCATCGCGGGTGGGAATGGTTTAGAAAGTAGTTTGATGCAGGAGCAACAAGCACTCATCCATGTAATCACGTCTCTGCCTTTCTCACTGTCCACACTCCAAGAAAGCTGGAGCTAGGAGGGTGAAAGTGCTAGGTGGGATGTCAAGGGCAGACAATCGTACAAGAGTGAAAGGCTTGAAAGGCTTGAACAATCTTCCACACTACAGGGCGTGAAAGGCTTGCCAGCAAAAACTCAGGCTCAAAACCTTCTAACCTTGTCCCATCAACACAGCAACACACATCACACCCATTCCTCCCATTCCCATTGACCCGTGCAACTCACATCAACAGCTTCCACGCGTGCCTGCTCCACGCCCTCCGGAAACGCTCTCCCCTTCGTTGCACTCCCATTAGTAGCACTTCCATTAGTGGCACTCCCGTTAGTGGCACTGCCATTGGCAGCGCTCCGCTCAGCAGCATCAACAGCAGCCACAGTCCTGGCAGCCACCTCCACGAGCTCCCTCTCCTCTGCTGCCATGTCCACCGGCTCGTTCCGCATCACATATGCATCGATGTTGGCTGCTGCGCCACGGCCCTCGGCGATAGCCCACACAACCAGAGACTGGAGGAAGGAGAAGGCAAGGGAGGTGGGCAGAAGGGGACTTATTTCTTATGAAATAAAATATACCTTCAGCAGAGAGAGAGAGAGAGAGAGAGAGAGAGAGAGAGAGAGAGAGAGAGAGAGAGAGAGAGAGAGAGAGAGAGAGAGAGAGAGAGAGAGAGAGAGAGAGAGAGAGAGAAAAGAAAAAAAAAAAGAGTCAAGATGAATGGCACGGAGAAGAAGGAACGGGCCAAGGAGCATGATGTGAAGGCTACTAGGCCTCACCTGTCCGCGGCGGCAGTCGCCGGCAGCAAAGACGCCCTCCAGGTTGGTGGCGAACTGCCCGTAGTCCGCCTGGAAGTTGCTCCTCGCGTCCGTCTTGAGCCCCAGCTTCTCCGCCACGTTCTGCTCCACACAGGGCAGGGGGAGGAGGGGAGGGGAGGAGGCAGACAAGGGTTAAGGGGATGAGAAGGGAAGGGAGCCCCGCCAGGGTCTGGGGTAAGTCAGCTGCTCCTTGCGTCCGTCTTCAGCCCCAGCTTCTCCGCCACATTCTGCACCACACAGTGCACCGGGGAAGACGGTTGGAAGGGATTGAAAGGGGTTGGACACTGCTGACTCCACAGTGCCTCCGACTTGCACCAGTACAGGCACTTCCTCTGAGCACACTCCCTGAACTCCCAGGACTCCCAGCTCCCACACACTCCCCACGCACAACCAGCAGAGGCACTGACCTGCTCCGGGCCCAGGAAGCCCATGGCGAGAAGAGCGAGGTCGACGGGGATCACCTCCTCAGACCCGGCCACCTCGCTCATCTGGAACCTTCCGGAAGCGTCCTTGGCCCACTGCACCTGCACCGTCTCGATGCCCGTCAGCTCGCCCGCATCGTTGCCAATGAACCGCTTCGTCAGCACCTCGTACGACCGCGGGTCGGCTCCGAACTTGGTCTTGGCCTCCTCGTGCCCATAGTCCACGCGGAAGATGCGCGGCCACTGGGGGAGGGAAGGGGGGGAGGAGTGAGGGAGCAGGGTGAGCAGGGGGAAGCATGTGTGCAGATTTTGAGGCGCCTCGAAACTAGACTTCTCTCACGCGGATTTTTTGAGGCGCCTCAAAACTGGAGGGGAGGGGGGGAGGAGTGAGGGAGCAGGGTGGGCAGGAGGAAGCATGTGTGCAGAATGGCGCTTCACTTGGTCTTGGCCTCCTCATGCCCGTAGTCCACCGGGAAGATGCGCGACAACAGGGGAAAGGGGAAAGCAGGGGGTGGGAGAGTGGGTGGTGAAGAGTGGAGGGGTGGGTGGGGGTTGGGGTGTGTAGAAGAGTAGGTGAGACGAAGTCATGGCGATTCGAAGGGGAAAAGGAGGCGAGCAAGCAGAGAACAGCATACCCTACTGCCACACAAGGGTCTATCACTACTCATGAACATCAACCATGACCACCACTGTACCTGCGGCCAGGGGTTGCCATCGGCGCGGGATGGCGGCGGCTGCGGCAGCAGCTCAAGATTAACCAGCGACTCGCACCCGTGCCGCAGACTCGTGCCAATGCAGTCCGTGCCTGTGTCACCCCCACCAATCACCACCACCTTCTTCCCCTCCGCCGAGATAAACCTCCCGTCCTTCAGACCGCTATCCAGCAGCGACTTGGTATTCGCCGCGAGAAACTCCATTGCGAAATGCACCCCCTTAAGCTCCCTCCCGGGCACGGGCAGATCCCTTGGCTTGGTGGACCCGCAGGCCAGTAGCATGGCGTCATTCTCCGCTCTCAGCTTCTCCACGCTGTACTGCTCGTCCACGCCCACGTGTGCGTTGGTAACAAACGTGACGCCCTCTGCTGCCATGAGATCCACACGGCGCTGCACCACGTGGGTCTTGTCCGTCTTCATGTTGGGCACGCCGTACATCATCAGCCCACCGATGCGGTCCGCCCGCTCGTACACGGTGACCGTGTGCCCGCGCTTGTTCAGCTGATCGGCGGCGGCGAGTCCTGCCGGGCCACTGCCAATGATTGCCACCTTCTTGCTGTTTGTGGGAAGCGAGAGAGAGGGGGAGAATGGGTTACAGTTGAGGGTTTAATTCAGTAAGAACCCTGAGACACAGGTTCCCCAGCAAGCACAGCCATGGCATGTGGATTGAACTTGTGGTTATTCAGTAGAGCTCGGTAACCTTCCCCTGCCCCCACACTCATCAGGAAGGTTCTACCTCTTCCAGATACTCACCAAGTGGGCTTGGCAGGAGGGTGCGGCACCATCCACCCCATCTCATACGCCTTGTCAATAATGCTCAGCTCCATCGTTTTGACAGACACCGGGTTCTCAATGATGCCCAGCACGCACACCCAAGCCATGCACCTTCCCCTTCCCATTCCCTCACAAACAAGGCAAACACCCCATCACCTCCCCAAGTCTTATCCGGTGCGCTTGGCAAGCGGGCGAGGCACCATCCACCCCATCTCATACGCCTTAATCGATACGGGGTTCTCAATGATCCCCAGCACGCACACCCAAGCCACCCACAGCCCTGGCGTGCGCGTTCCCCTTCCCTTTCTCTAAGGCACGCACAGCCCTGGCAGACACACACTACCCCACCCTCTCCCAACGACTCACCCAGTGCGCTTGGCAGGGGGGCGCGGCACCATCCACCCCATCTCGTACGCCTTGTCAATAATGCTCAGCTCCATCGTCTTAATCGACACAGGATTCTCAATGATGCCCAGCACGCACGCGCCCTCGCACGGCGCAGGGCAAACCCTCCCAGTGAACTCCGGAAAGTTATTTGTCTCGAGCAGCCGATCCAGCGCCTCCTTCCAGCGGCCCTGGTACACGAGCTCGTTGAACTCGGGGATCTTGTTTCCCAGCGGGCACCCCGACTTGTCCTGGTTGCAGAAGGGCGTGCCGCAGTCCATGCAGCGCGCCGATTGCGTCTTGAGGAGCTCGGGGCGGCCGGGGTCAGAGGCGAGAACCTCGCCCCAGTCAGTCAGGCGCTCCTCTGCCGGGCGGTAGGGAAGTGGCTCACGCTCATACTTCATGAACCCGCCGAACTTAACGGGGGCAGGGAGGCGCGTGGGGCGCTTGGGCGCAACCTGCATGTGGAAGGGAGACCGAGGAGAGGGGGCGTGGAGGGGAGGGGTCACACACAGGAGAGGGAGGTGATTGGTGGGGGGACGGAGGCGGCCGGGGTCAGAGGCCAGCACCTCGCCCCAGTCGGTCAGGCGCTCCTCTGCCGGGCAGTACGGCAGGCGCTCGCGCTCGAACTTCATGACCCCCCCCAACAAAAACAACCCCAACAACAGCCTTCACTCACCACAGCAGCGGACCCGTTGACCTCCCCTCCGCTCGCGGCCGCAAGCCTCTTGAGCTCCTCAAAAGCGTCCTTCTCCTTGAGCGCAGCCGCCTCCTTCTCCCTCTTCACCCGCTCCTCCTCCAGCACGCGCTTGAAGTCCCTCGGGAACACCTTCACAAACTTGGGCAGCAGCTCGTCAAATTCCGCCAGCACCTCCCCTGCCAGCTTGCTCTTGGTATACCTCTGGTGCTGCTGAATCATGGACCGCAGCAGCAGCACGTCTGCCTCTGCTACCACAGGGTCCAGGTCAACGAGACCAGTGTTGCACCTCTTGTGGAAGTCTCCCTCCCGGTCGAGGATGTACGCGATTCCGCCGCTCATTCCCGCAGCGAAGTTCTTCCCAGTGCCGCCCAGAATCACCACCGTGCCGCCCGTCATGTACTCGCACCCGTGGTCCCCCACGCCCTCCACCACAGCCCTCGCACCGGAATTCCTCACAGCAAACCGCTCCGCAGCCATGCCACAGAAATACGCCTCACCAGACGTGGCGCCATACAGCGCCACATTCCCGATAATGATATTCTCCTTGGGGTCAAACGTCGACGTGGCCGGAGGGTAGATGATCAGCTTCCCTCCAGACAGCCCCTTGCCCACATAATCATTGCTATCTCCCTCCAGCTCCAGAGTCAACCCCTTGCAGGTAAACGCGCCGAAGCTCTGCCCAGCGCTGCCAGTCAGCTTGAAATGGATCATATCAGCAGGGAGACCCTCCAGGCGATGCACCTTGGTGACCTCGTGCGACAGCATGGTCCCCACCGCGCGGTTCACGTTCACAATCGGCACCTCCGCAAACACCGGAATCTTCTGCGTGATTGCCGGCTGCGCGAGCTGAATCAGCTTCTGGTCAAGCGCCAGCTCAAGCCCGTGGTCCTGCTTCTGCACACACCTCTGCGCGGCACCCGGGCGAAGGGTTGCTGCAGGAGTGAGCAGCACAGAGAGATCAATGTTCTGCAGCTTGGGGTTGGAGTTGCAGAGCTCCATGTCCTGCTCCAGCATGTCCGCACGGCCGATCATCTCATCCATGGTCTTAAAGCCCATCTGCGCCATGTACTCGCGCGCCTCCTCCGCCACCATGAAGAAATAGTTGATCACGTGCTCCGGCTGCCCGGAAAACTTCGCACGAAGCACCGGGTCCTGGGTCGCAATCCCCACCGGGCACACGTTCTTATGACACTTCCTCATCATGATACACCCGAGGGTGATCAGCGGGGCCGTCGAAAACCCAAACTCCTCCGCACCAAGCAGTGCGGCAACTGTGATATCCTTCCCGGTCTTCATCTGCCCGTCCGCCTGCAGGACAGTACGGCCGCGCAGGTCGTTGGCAACGAGGGTCTGGTGGGTTTCGGCAATACCGAGCTCCCAGGGGAGACCCGCGCTCTTGATGCCGGTCCAGCGGGAGGCGCCAGTGCCGCCATCATGGCCCGAGATGAGCACGTGATCCGCGTGGCCCTTCACCACTCCGCTCGCGATCACTCCCACGCCCGCCTTGGACACTAGCTTCACACTCACACGGGCACCAGGGTTGGAGTTCTGGATTCAAGGGGGATGGTGGGAATGGAAAGGACAGGGATGAGACAGAGGTGAGCACGTGATCCGCATGGCCCTTCACCACTCCACTCGCGATTACTCACACACCCGCCTTGGAGACGAGATTCACACTCACACGGGCACCAGGGTTGATGATGATGGGACGGGAAAGGACAGGGGGAAGAGGGTTGAAAGGCAGCAGTGGGCGCGGAGAACAGAAAAATAACGGAAAATGAGTTCAGAATTGGCATGGTCAATACCAACTCACCTGCCCACCTCGCCAGCTGAGACCATGAGCTCATACCCGTACTCACCCTGAACCACACCACACCTCCTCTCCCACCATGCCTAGCGAACTCTCGGTTTAAGATTACAGATGAGCTCATCTGTAATGGACCTGGTAAGGTTTTCAGTTGAGTACGTGTCGTGGTGGGGGACCGGGCTGATGAGCCCCTTGTGACCCAACCTATGCATACACAGGCACACCCTTCCCTTCTTCCACATCCTCACGCCCACCAGCAACCCCTCACCTTGAGATCATAGATCAGCTGCGCCAGGTCTTCAATGGAGTAGATGTCGTGGTGGGGCGGCGGGCTGATGAGCCCCACACCGGGCGTGCTGTTCCTCGTCACAGCGATGTCGCCAATCACCTTGTGCCCGGGCAACTCGCCTCCCTCCCCGGGCTTGGCACCCTGCGCCATCTTAATCTGCAGCTCGTCCGCGTTCGTCAGGTAGTACGCCGACACGCCAAACCGACCACTCGCAATCTGCTTGATAGACGACCTGAGGATATTGTTACTCCCGTCAGGGTTAGGGACCAGACGGGACGGGTTCTCGCCTCCCTCGCCCGTGTTCGACTTCCCTCCAATCGTGTTCATAGCAATAGCCAGGCTCTGATGTGCCTCCAGGGAAATAGACCCGTAGCTCATGGCTCCTGTGCAGAACCGCTTCACAATTTCGCTAGCCGGCTCCACCTCCTCCAATGGAATCGCACCACCTGGCGCCGGCTTGAACTTGAGCATGCCGCGCAGGTTGCACTGCTGGTTCAGCGTGTTCGTAATCGCGGCATACTCCTTATAAGCCGCCGGGCTGTTCGTCCGCGCGGCCTCCTGCAGGCGCGAGATCGCCACCGGATCGTTCAAATGCACCTCGCCACCCTTCCTGTAGTGATAATCCCCAGGGTTCGGCACAGCAGTCGCATCAGCGGAATCCTCCGGAAGGTTCTTCTCAGTCCCCAGCGGGAACGCCTGGTCGTGCATGCGGATCGCATCCGCGGCCAGCACATCAAACGACACCCCCTGAATCCTGCTCGCCGTGCCCCGGAAGCAACGGTCCACCACATCGCTCGACAATCCCAAGGCCTCGAAGATCTGCGCGCCCTTGTACGAGGCCAGGGTCGAAATGCCCATCTTGGCGAGCACCTTGAGCATGCCGGCGTTGCTGGCGTTGAAGTAGGTGCGGATGAGCTCGTCCTTGGTGCGGAGGGAGCCGTCCGCCTTGGGAGGGATCTTGCCGTCCACCTGCAGGCGCCAGATGGCCTCCGTGGCCACGTAGGGCGAGATGGCGTCCGCGCCGAACCCCACGAGCGTGCAGAAGTGGTGCACCTCGCGGGGCTCGCCGGATTCGACCACGATACCAATCCGCGTGCGCTGCAGCGTGCGCACCAGGTGCTGGTGGACCGCGCCCACGGCCAGGAGGGCGCTCACGGGCACGCGCGTGGGGGACGTGGCTGTAGGGAGGGGCGGAGGGGGCGGGGGGAGGGCGGGGGAAGGGTGGGGGGTGCATGGTGGGAAAGGGACATGAAGAGAGGTGTGAGTGCGTGCGCTGCAGCGTGCGCACAAGATGGTGGTACAGAGCGCCCGCGGCCACCAGCGCACTGTTTGTACTAGCTCCTACCGGCGTAACGTGGCTCACACGAACAAGAAGCATCTAGAGTGGTTTGGATAGGCGCAAACCCAGTTACCACTTTGGCACAGAAAATCCCTCTCGAGATTTGCAAGCACTTGCTAATCCCAGCCCCTAAACCCGAAACCCTTACCCCTGAGAGCACCCAATACCCAAGCCCAGCAGCACCCACGCACCCCTGAAACCCCGCTCACCTCGGTCGGACAGCACGAGCATCTTGTATCCAGCCTCAATCGCCAGACTCGCCTCAGCACAGATCCGATCCAGCGCCTTCTCAAGCCCATCCGGCCCTTCACTCCGCGCGAACGTGATATCCACAACAGCCGTGCGCCACCCGCGGTAGTCCATCTTCTTCATCGCCTCCGTCTCCTCCGGCGTCAGCAGCGGCCCCTTGAGCGACAGCCTGTGCGCCTGCTCCTCAGTCGTCTCAGTCAAATCCCCCTCGGGCCCCACCATGCACTCAGTAGAAGTCACAACCGCCTCGCGGATGGGGTCGATGGGGGGGTTGGTGACCTGTGCGAAGAGCTGCTTGAAATACTCCGACATGAGCTTTGGCCGCGTGGACATGCACGCCAGCGGGGTATCATTCCCCATGGATCCCAGCGCCTCGGACCCCGTCTGAGCCATGGGCAGCAGCAGCATCTCCAGAGCTTCAATCGTGTACCCGAACGCCTTCAGCGGCGTGGTGAGCCCGTTGATACCCATGGTCTCCATCGTCTCATCTGCAGACGAATCGACTTCAGTCGCGCCCGCAATAGCCGGCGGCACGCGGTCCGCCTCCGGGACAGACGCCACGATGTCGCCAAGCGTGAGCTTCTGATTGGCCAGCCACTCGCCGTAGGGGCGCTGGCTCGAGTACTGGCGCTTAAGCGCCTCGTCATCGACCACCTCGTGCTTCTCGAAGTCCACCAATAGCATCATTCCAGGGTTCAGCCGCCCCTTGCGTGCCACGTCAGCAGGGTCCACGTCGACGACGCCCACCTCGCTGGCCATGATGACGCGGCCGCTGTGCGTCACGTAGTAGCGGCCGGGACGCAGCCCGTTGCGATCAAGCGTGGCACCCACGTACTTGCCATCGGAGACTGCGGAGAAGGGAAGACGGGAGCGATGGGGGAGAGGGAAGGGGTTGAGTTTAGAGACGTCTCAAAACACGCACCACGTCCTAGTGGAATCGCTTTCAGGCGATGAGAGCAGGGCCGTCCCAGGGCTCCATGAGCGCGGAGAGGTACTCGTAGAGATGCTCACACAGACAACGAGACCGGTGGAGGACTCACATGCAATGAGAGCAGGGCCGTCCCAGGGCTCCATGAGGGCCGAAAGGTACTCGTAGAGCGCCTTCTTCTCGGGGTACATGTTCTTGTCGTTTTGCCACGCCTCGGGAATCATCATCATGACGGCCTCGGGCAGCGTGCGGCCGGCGCGCACGAGCATCTCGAGCACGCCGTCGAAGGCGCCCGAGTCGGACGAGTTGGCGTCGATGACGGGCAGCACGGCGTCCAGCTCCTCCTTGGAAATGCCGAGCCCGGGACACTTCATCAGCCCCTCGCGCGCGCGCATCCTGCGGCGGGGAGAGGAGAGACGGACGGGAGGCGAACGGGGAGATGGGAAAATGGTGGTGCGGTTTAAGTTTATGAGATTCCACGAGCCATGATTTAGTGAGTGCTTTTTTCAGAAGAGCCTGACATGCCGAGAGACCCAATACTGGAACCAGTGTACGAAAGACCCAATGTGCGACATGCCCTGTGTACGACAGGCCCAGAGTGCGACTGACCAAGCGAACGACAGACCCAGCGTGCGACAGACCCAGCGTGCGACAGACCCAGCGTGCGACTGAACCAGCGTACGACAGACCCAGCGTGCGACAGACCCAGCGTGCGACAGACCCAGCGTGCGACAGACCCAGCGTGCAACAGACCCAGCGTGCGACAGACCCAGCGTGCGACAGACCCAACGTGCGACGGGCGCAGGCCAGGGCAGCGACTGACCAGTTGACGTTGCCCTGCAGCGTGTTGATCTCGCCGTTGTGCCCCAGAATGCGCATCGGCTGCGCGCGCTCCCAGCTCGGAAACGTGTTCGTCGAGAAGCGCGAGTGCACCTGGGGGAGCGGGAGGAAGGGGGGGAAACGGGGGTTAGCGAGGGAGGAAGCGACGCAACGTATCGTTGGAAGCAACAGAATCTAGCCTGTCTCAGTAGCATGAAAACTGAATGAGAGCAAGTTCCCCGTGAATGTAGATTCACTGTGCGATCAATAGCGAGCAAACGGGAAATCGTGCGGCCGCGCGGGTGGACGAGCGAGAGAGCCGGCGGGCGGCAGAGGGATGGAGGGTAACTCACGAGGCCCATGTAGGAGGTGAAGCGATCGTCGTCGAGGTCGGCGTGGTAGTAGCCCTGCAGCTGCTCCGGCTTCAGCTGACCCTTGTACACGATCGTCCTGCATTGCCCCACGCGCGGACACGCGCACACGCACACAGGAAAGATGTGTCAAACACGCGCACGTCCGTCTCCTCTAACTCCTCTTCAGTGTGAAGCCTCGAAGTCTGACTCGGTAGAACATGTCTTCTCTAATGAGACCCTCAACGAGCCAACAAGCTAACAAGCGAAGGACAAGAATGAAGGGACGAATGGACTACGACACGATCAGAGCAACGGGACAACCACGGGGGTCAACAGACCGACAGACCAAGGACAACGGACCTGGTGGAGAGCGAGCAGATGTAGAAGTCACGCGTTCCCCCAACCTTGAGGCCGAGCGCCTCACGAACCGCCTTCATGGCGGTGCGGCGCAGCAGCCACATCTGCTGCTCGGCCTCGAGGTGCGAGTCCTTATTGACGAGCAGGAACACCTGCTCCACGATGGGTTCTGTGTCCAGCGCCGCCTTGCCCAGATCCGCGTTGTCCGTCAACACGCGCCGCCACCCCAGCACCTTGCACCCCATCTCCTCCGCCACCTGCGGCGCAGAAATAAATTCCAGAAAGGACAAACAAACCACCACCAGGGGGAGTCAGAGTCGAGCGAAACGAAAGGGAGTTCGGTCCTGAACGAGCATGTAAGCCGAGCATTTGGAAACATGAGCAAGACAGAAAGTTGGAGGTGGGAGGTACGACGCGGCTGGGGTGTGGAGAGCCGAACCTTGTTGAATGCCTCCTTGCCGAGGTTCCTGCGCTTTTTGTCCGTTGGGAGGAAGCACATTCCCACGCCGTACTCTCCCAGCGCCGGGAGAGTCACGCCAGCATCCACCTTGGCAACCTGCACAGTAAGAAAAAGGAATCATCAAAACAAACAAACAAAGAAATACGCATAGTGACTTTAGGAAAAAAATCCGTAAAACATATCTAGGGAGAGAGGGACAAGAGGGAAGCAGGAAAATGCAGTGGCCATAATTGCACTTTTTGTGGCACGAACATATCGTATAGCTCGAATCCAGAGACGCGGAGGCTGGGGTGACGGCAGTCACCTTGACGAAAAAGTCGTGCGGTAGAGCCACCATGATACCAGCACCATCACCGGTGTTAACCTCGCAGCCGCACGCGCCACGATGCGCCATGCGGATAAGCATCTCGAGCGCGTCAGTCACCTGAAAATAAACACGATGCACAGCACCGAGGTAAGCTACGACGGAGTTGCATTGAATACAAGAGGACAAACCCGCGTACTCCGATGGAGATTCACGAATTACGGGTCTAGCTACCCTGCTACAGGAAGATCTGACTTTTTTGTAGCAGGTTTGCGGACAGGAGGATGTGAATCGTTTGAGAAGATTCGTAAGCAGCTTACAGTCTTGCGCGTGGGGATCTTGGAGAGCTCGGCGACGAAGCCGACACCACAGGCGTCGCTGTCCAATGCAGGGTCGTACAGGCCCATGGGCTCCTGGGGAACCTTGGAGAACTCGGCCGTCGTCACGAGGCGTCGCACGGGGTCGTTGGAGGCCTTGCGCGACATCGCAGGGGATCGCACGGCCTGCTTCGACGACGGCAGGCTGGCGGTGCTCTTGAGGCCATTGAACTTGAGAAACGCACCGCGCGGCTGGAAGGGGGTAGAGGAGGCCTGCTGCTGGCGGGAGGACGCGGTGAGGCCTGATCCTGACACTACCGCTGACGGCAGCGACAGCGACAGAGCACGGACAGCCGCCATTACTACTGCTTAGCTCTTACAAACCGAAAAGAGAAACCCTATGGCAGGTCGTAAGCACATGCAATGAGCACACCAAGTTGTGAGACCTGTAGGGTCCCTTCTCGAGAAAAGCTTCTTCAAAAGAGAAGCTAACCGATAAGAGCAAGAATGAGGAAACAGGGTTGAGAGTCAGGACATCATTTCTTCGAATTCAGCTTTGCTGTGCTCATCTCCAACCTGTTCCGCCTAGCCGATGGACGGTTGGATTAGCTTCGATGCTCTCAAATATAATCTAGGCTAATCCATCCGTCCATCTTCCCATCATCCAACCACGGATTACACGCTCCAAATCGCGAACCACGAGTTCGGGGTTTTTTTCCGTCCTCTTGCTGCTTGCCACCTCTTCCCGTGCGTGTGGCGGGATGCTCCTGCAGGCAGCACAGCACTTCCTGCACCCAGCCAAACCATGGCTCCCACGACAACCATCTTCCTTGACTCGAGCCGAGTGGCTCGGGCTAGGTATGATTTAACGGCGCAGATGCGGCTTGAGTGGTAAGCTTGCGATTGGTAAGCTTTCGCTTCTGACGCGTTGTCCGAATATCATGCGTGCCGAGCCTCGTCTCCACCAATATCACCACCTTTTGCTCCTCCGAACCCGCAAAGGCTCACCTTCCGTTGGAGGTTGCTACCATACCACCTCAACATACCCACGGATCTGGTTCGGCAGGAACAGGTGCGGGGGCTGAAGCTTGGCGGGAGGTGTGTATCTATCTTTGGCTGCTCCAGCTGGGAGGATTCGCAGTCGTTGATTGGTGAGCCGCAATAGAAAAGTTCAGTTCCACATCGGCACCCTGTGAACGTGTCTGACGCTTACTCGGCAAATTCCAAGGTGGGCCAGCACGGGCTCATCTTTAGCCAACCACGCTCCAGTATTTATACTCTTTACTGGAGAATGTTATAAGAGGATTAGGACGTCAATGTTTATGTCAGGACGTCAATCCCTGATTAATCTGCATGACACACAGGTTGTTTCTAGTGGGGAGGGGACTCTCATATTTACAAGTGTCCACCCCACCACGCTAGAAAGGCAGAACAGGAAAACACGTTATTGGGCTGGGACACAGGCATTGACAGTTGATCTCTCTCCTCTTGGTTCGAGGGGTTGTTCTTCCAGATCCATATAGTGATTACGGTATTTCGCAAAATTTTATGACCACGCACGCATCACAACTACGTATCCATTCCAAAATCTAGCTTTGATTGTTCAACTTGACTACGCTCACAGATACAGTATGTGGTCATATTGCCATCATCTCAATCACCAACACGCCTTCATTCCATGGCAACTGGCAATGGCACGACTACCTAGTCAGAACACAAATGCCCAAGCAAAGCAAACCCAGAGCACTATGACGAGCTGTATGTATCACATCACACTGTTCGGCCGTATGTAGGCTAAAGTACACCGCTCAGCCGACGAGCACCTTGGTTTCATCCAAAAACTTGTAACTCGGCACTTCCAGATTGGTAGGAGCAGGGCCCTTGCGAATACGCCCCGAGATGTCATAGTGCGACCCGTGGCACGGGCAAAACCAGCCGCCATAATCCCCCGCATTCGGCAGCGGCACACACCCCAGATGCGTGCACACACCAATCACAACCAGCCACTCTGGGTTCGGCGCCCGGGCCGAATCAGGCTCGGGGTCTCGGAGCTCCGCGAGGTTCACATCATTGGCCTTCGCCACGTCAGCAGGCGTGCGGCGGCGGATGAACACCGGTTTCCCGCGCCACTTCACGGTAACCGTGTTACCAGGCTCGATGTTTGCAAGGTCCACTTCGAGCGACGCCAACGCCAGCACATCCTTGCTAGCACTCATACTGAGAATGAACTTCAGCACGAGCAGGCGGAGAGCTGAGGCGTAGATGAATCGGCCACCGGTGAGAACGAGGTAGGTGAATGCACGCTTGGACGGGTCACCGGGCGGCAGGCGCTCATGGATGGTCGTGTCGTAGGTGATGGTGGCGGAGGGGGTTTTCAGGGCGAGCTCCGTGGGAGAGATGGGTGGGGCCGTGGTGAGCGCTGCATCTGCTGCGAAGCCTGCAGGAGGGGAAAGGAAGCAAGGGAAGGATGGAGGTGGTGAGGGCCGAACTCCGTGGGGAAGATGGGCGGTTTGGAGGTCAGTGCTGCGTCAGCAGCAAAGCCTGCAAAGGGACGGGTGGGAGGGACAGAGCGCCCAAAAGGGGAGGGGAGGGGTGGGAGGCACGGAGCATAACCGTGGTTGTTTTGGTCGCCTAGGAGATGGCAGCGGCGGGCATCTTGAGGGCGAGCTCTGGTGGGGAAATGGTGGGGTGCTGGTGGCCTGGCCACAGGTGCGTTCCGCAGCGAAACATGGCAGGGATAAGATGAATGGGAGGCATGAATGGGAGGGAAGAATGGGCGGGGGCTGGTGAATGACAGGGTTAGTGCAGGGATGGGAGGGGTGCGGCAGGATGGGAAGGATGGGTGTGAGGATGAGTGCTGGGATGAGAGCTGGGACAAGTGCACGGATGGAAGTGTGGAAGGGGAAGGTCTAGCGAGAGGAAACGGAACAGATACGAGGATCGTAAACGGTAGAAGAAGGTTGAGAGGGTTGGTACGCATTGAGTTGGTGGAGGAAGAATATGGCGCAGGTATGAGGAGGAACAGGGAGGGACGCAAAACCAAGCGTCGGAAAATGAATGAAGAGAGAAAAAAAGGATGTAAGAGACGGATCGGATTGGGATGAAGGAAAACAGGAAAGCGTTCTTCTACTGTCATTTGAAAGAAAATGCAGCAGCCAGCGACTCAGCCCATTTAACTGCCTCATGCGCGAACAATCAGACACGTTGACGCTCGCATGTGCCATGCAAGCTTGCACGTGCCATGCCCCGTGCAATGATGTGCGAAAGGTCGGCAAAAGGAAGACGAAAAACGGAAGGAAGAAAACAGGCGGAAGGGAAACAGGACAGCCGAAGTCGATAGATCGTACGACGACAGCCGTGCTACGAATCCGACACAAAAGACGCGAGCCATTCAGCGGAAGCCGTGTCCTAGATGAGAGGGATTTGGAGAGAGAGAAGAAAAGGCACTGCCAGCAATAGTCCACCAAAGTTTCTTTATTACTATAACGGATCGATCGAATGCGCTTGCGCGACAGACAACGCGGGAGAATCTCCGTCGCGTGCATCCGCGGCCAGGAAATCCCAAGTGCGGCTGTACTTGCAACAAAGGAAACCCTAAAAGCGGCTGCACACGCGAAACGCTCCATCGACTTTTGCGAGAACGAACCTCGGGAGAAGCTGAAGTGGGGAGGCGACGGGATCGATGCAGACGAGTCGGTAATGGAGGACGGAACGGGCGTGAGAGACGGCGACGACACGATCGCATGGCGGTCGGCGATGGGAACGGTTGCGATCGATCGCAACAGCGCTGGAGACCGCGCGATCCCGAGATCCGCGGCCTTGCGGCCCAGATGGCGCGACAACATGGCGCTACTTCCTATCAGATGCGCGCGAGGGAGCAGGTGCGATGGTTTAGGAGGCACCGACGCGACCCTCCTAAAAAAGACGTAGCACGGAGTTACCGCCTGGACTCGACGCTGTTGGGGGGGAGTAGGAGGGTGGTTACTTACGTATCCGTTATGAATGGAATTCGTTTCGAGTTTGTGCTGCTGCACCCCTTCGCAGTATTAGACAAAGTCCATCATCCCACTCATAAATATATTGGCACACGGCGCAAGCAGAAGACGATTTTTAAGACCAAACATTATCACGTGGTGCTCAGAATTTAATGGAAGAGGGAAAGTATGACACACAGGCTCTGATGCTTCGTACATTCAACTGCACATGGTGCCTACGTGCGATAACCCTTACTTCACACTTACCTATGCTGATATACATACTATCTGCCTCTTTTCAAAAGTAAGCAAACAGACCGAGAATCATCTCGAGCAATATAACTACAGCTGGTGTACCCTTATACCCCTACTCTTATGTGCCACTATGGGGAATTAGGCAGTGCTGTGTGCAGTCAATGCTGAGGACCGCGTACAACAGCGCGTAACAAATGGCCGAATATGCCATTTTGGACATCACTTCACCATTTTGTGGCGCCAGGATCGCATGGCACGAGTGAGAGCAGCAGCACATTTCAATCAGAAATCACTCGGCCTTCTTGTGGCGCCGGGAGCGCGTGGGAATGACGGAGAGCAGCACGTTGAGAAGAATGGGGACGATCGTGCCCATGAAGAAGAGCGACCGCCACACCGCTATGGTCTGACCCCATTGCAGCACCTGGGGGGTGTGGAGGCAACCAAGGGGACACCGAAATGTGAGTTCACGGATGGGGGAGGATGAATGGGGTGAGGAAGGAGAGAGTGCAACACTGTGGTTTGCCCGCTTCCAGCACCTGGGGGGGAGTCAATGGTGAGCTGCTTCAACACGGCTTGCAGCACCTGGGGGGGAGTCAATGGTGAGCTGCTTCAACACGGCTTGCAGCACCCGGGGGGGAGTCAATGGTGAGCTGCTTCAACACGGCTTGCAGCACCTGGGGGGGAGTCAATGGTGAGCTGCTTCAACACGGCTTGCAGCACCTGGGGGGGAGTCAATGGTGAGCTGCTTCAACACGGCTTGCAGCACCTGGGGGGGAGTCAATGGTGAGCTGCTTCAACACGGCTTGCAGCACCTGGGGGGGAGTCAATGGTGAGCTGCTTCAACATGGCTTGCAGCACCTGGGGGGGAGTCAATGGTGAGCTGCTTCAACACGGCTTGCAGCACCTGGGGGGGAGTCAATGGTGAGCTGCTTCAACACGGCTTGCAGCACCTGGGGGGGAGTCAATGGTGAGCTGCTTCAACACGGCTTGCAGCACCTGGGGGGGAGTCAATGGTGAGCTGCTTCAACACGGCTTGCAGCACCTGGGGGGGAGTCAATGGTGAGCTGCTTCAACACGGCTTGCAGCACCTGGGGGGGAGTCAATGGTGAGCTGCTTCAACACGGCTTGCAGCACCTGGGGGGGAGTCAATGGTGAGCTGCTTCAACACGGCTTGCAGCACCTGGGGGGGAGTCAATGGTGAGCTGCTTCAACACGGCTTGCAGCACCTGGGGGGGAGTCAATGGTGAGCTGCTTCAACACGGCTTGCAACACCTGGGGGGGAGTCAATGGTGAGCTGCTTCAACACGGCTTGCAGCACCTGGGCGGGAGTCAATGGTGAGCTGCTTCAACACGGCTTGCAGCACCTGGGGGGGAGTCAATGGTGAGCTGCTTCAACACGGCTTGCAGCACCTGGGGGGGAGTCAATGGTGAGCTGCTTCAACACGGCTTGCAGCACCTGGGGGGGAGTCAATGGTGAGCTGCTTCAACACGGCTTGCAGCACCTGGGGGGGAGTCAATGGTGAGCTGCTTCAACACGGCTTGCAGCACCTGGGGGGGAGTCAATGGTGAGCTGCTTCAACACGGCTTGCAGCACCTGGGGGGGAGTCAATGGTGAGCTGCTTCAACACGGCTTGCAGCACCTGCGGGGGAGGCAATGGTGAGCTGCGTCAACACGGCTTCCAGCACCTGGGGGGGAGTCAATGGTGAGCTGCTTCAACACGGCTTGCAGCACCTGGGGGGGAGTCAATGGTGAGCTGCTTCAACACGGCTTGCAGCACGTCGATGGTGACCTTCACTGCACCTTGTGAGTCGACTAAAAGGTGGTTAATCACAGGCGAAAGCATGACATGGAAGGTACATCGTACCAGGAAGCCAGCGTTGGAGTAGTTGACGATGAGCTGCTTGAAGATGGCTTGCAGCACGTCGATGGTGACCTTCACTGCTGCTGACGGCTTCGGGAACGCTGCTGCCGTGTGCCGGAACACCTCTGTGGTGTTATGTGGCGCACCATGCCATGCCATGCCACGCCATGCCATGCCATGCCATGCCATTCCATGCCATGCCATGACATGCATGCCATGCCATACCACAAGAAGACACATGAGGGGGCGTGAAGGGAACGTGCATTAGGTTCAAGAAGATGGAGCGAGAAAAGAGCGAGTGAGGATGCCCAATAGGGTCATGCTGCTGGCTGCTACTTAAAGAAAATCAAAGGGGGAAAACCTTAGAGCCCTCTAAGCACCTTAGAGAGTGAAAGGCAAGGCACGAGAACCTGCCAGTGGCAGAGACACAGGCAGTTAGGTTAGGAGACGTACGCTTGGAGGTGTGTTGGCCAATGGCAGCGTTGACAAAGAAGAGGTAATAGCCTGGGTGAAGACCCTGGGGGGAGAGGGAGAGGCGAAAAGGAGTTCGGTATGAGGGGGTGGAGTGTGGTGGGAGGGAGTTAACGAGCCGATGGCGGCATTGACAAACAAGAGGTAGTAGCCGGGGTGAAGACCCTGCAAGGAGCCGGAGGTGGGCGAAAGGTATATGGGTACAAGGGGGTGGAATGCGGTAGGGCTGAACCAGCCGATGGCAGTGCTGACAGTGACAAAGAGAAAAGGGGTGCAGATCGTGCAGAAGAGGAGGGAGTGGGACACGAGGGAGTGGAGTGCAGTGGGACTGGAGAGCTGGTGGCAGCACTGACTGGCTGTGGAAGAGAGAGGGCGAGATGGTAATAAAGGTGCTGATTTTGGGATGAGCTGTTCGGAACAGTCTGTGTTTGATTCGGCTCAAACACCCGAGGACTTATCAACACAAGTCGCTCAAGAGTTATCGTGAGGCGACTCACATGCCAAAGGCGACTCACATGCCAGAGCGCGGAGACGACTTGAGTGAAAACGAGCGTCCACATGGTGGGCTTGCCGGATCGAGGTGTCACCCGGTCGTACACATCTGAGGGAGGGAATAAAAAAAATAAGAGAAGAGGGACGGGGGAGGTGGGTGGAGAGGGAAGGTGGAGTGAGGGGGGATGAAACGGGGGCATTGAGAAGTTTTTGAGAATTCTCAAAAACCAGCTCGGGGGCATTGAGACGTGGTTGATTCTTTAGTGAAGATTTGTTTTAAACTGGCTCTCTCAACAACGTTTTCAAGCTAAGCACACCAGGCTCCTTCCGCCATTTCTCATGGAGTTTGTTTCGTTGTCCTAAACAACACGAGTTGATGGAAGTAAGGCCTCCGCAGCCCACCTGTCCTCTCTTGACAGCACCAGCTCGGGGGCATTGCGAATAAGCTCGGGGGCATTGCGAATAAGCTCGGGGGCATTGCGAATAAGCTCGGGGGCATTGCGAAGTGGTTGATACAAAGAGAGAAGAATAGCCACGTGTTTGAAGAAGTGTTTTGAGACGTCTCAAAACACTTCTTCAAAAACGAAGTGGTTGATACAAAGAGAGAAGAATCATAGGCCAACTACATGAAGCCGTAAGACCGGGTCAAGAGGAATCATGATGGAAAGAGCCTGCATGGAATGCACGAGAGAAGCTTGTTGAACCCCCTTCCTGCTTTCACCCTCGTGTTCGCGCCTACCCATCGCTACCCGCTCCCATTCCCATGCACTCATTAACATCCTACACACAAAAATCCAAAAACAAAGGGCATGTGATTCCCAAATGTCTACCCCGAAGTACCACACACCCCAGACCAAGAGTCCCACGCACAGGTTCGGAGCCACGTGCCGACGCCCATGTTCCAGTAGGCAGGCATCTGTGCCAGACTCGTGGTGACCTCACACTTGATGAAATTGGCGTTCTCTGCCCGGCTCCTGGTGGGGAAAGGAGTGAGGGGAGGGCGGGGGAGGATGGTTGTGGGAAGGGAATGATTCACAGCAACACGCTTCACATATCGGTGATCTCACACTAGTTGAAATTGGTGTTCTCCGCCCGGCTCCTGGTGGGGTGGGGGGTGGACGGAGCGGAAGGTTGGGGAGGATGGTTGTGGGGAGGGAATGATTCACAGCAACACGCTTCACATATCGGTGATCTCACACTAGTTGAAATTGGTGTTCTCCGCCCGGCTCCTGGTGGGGTGGGGGGTGGACGGAGCGGAAGGTTGGGGAGGATGGTTGTGGGGAGGGAATGATTCACAGCAACACGCTTCACATATCGGTGATCTCACACTAGTTGAAATTGGTGTTCTCCGCCCGGCTCCTGGTGGGGTGGGGGGTGGACGGAGCGGAAGGTTGGGGAGGATGGTTGTGGGGAGGGAATGATTCACAGCAACACGCTTCACATATCATCCCCGGAAAGGAGCCCGTCCAGTCCAGGTGGGCTTTGAATATTCTCAAGAAGCACTCGCAAACACATCCCACACACATTTTGAGTCGACTCGGACTCACCAGTCGGGGCGCGGTGGGAAGGAGTCGGTCCAGCCGGAGAAGCCGAATCCAGAGAGGATCACAGCAGCCTCTGCCACACTCCAGATGAAGTAGTAGGAGCAGCGGAAGCAGATACCCGCCATCACCAGGCAGAACCACCTGTGGGATGCAGTGGAAATCAAAACAAGGGGACGGGGTGCAGAGAGACGGGTGGGAAGGACGGATCGCTCAGCTTTTATCAAGTGGCAAACGCTGCTCTGATCTGAGCTGCACTGCACGCACTCACTTGTATGCAAACCCCTAGGTGAGATAGCGACTTTTGAGGCACCTCAAACCACGCTGCTCCGATCTGATTGCACGGCACAGACTCACTTGTATGCAAACCCCTAGGTGAGGAAGCGGGGTTCAAAGAGCAGGGCGGGGCTGAAGTGCTGAGAGAGGAAGTGGTACATCGCCAGGCAGATGATCGCCTTCCCCAGCGCCTGCGCCGCATACGGCAGCAGCAGAGGCTGCGGAAAGCAATTATGATCCATACGGGGTGGCGCAGCTTGTGCTGCTGACGCTGCTAGTGCTGCTTGTGCTGCCGATGCTGCCAGTGCTGCTAGTGCTGCAAACGCTGCTCAGCCCTGCAGACTCACTTGTATGCGAACCCGTAGGTGAGGAAGCGGGGTTCGAAGAGCAGGGCGGGGCTGAAGTGCTGAGACAGAAAGTGGTGCATCGCCAGGCAGATGATTGCCTTCCCCAGCGCCTGCGCAGCATAAGGCAGCGGCTCCGGCATTTTACGCAGCTTCCCCTCGCCCTTGCTCTCGCCCTGCGCCCTGTCCGCCTCCCCGTTCCCGTTCTGCGCCTGCTCCCCCTTGCTGGCGTCAGCTGCCTTGATTGGCACCACGGCTCCAGAGGGCGACCATAGCTGGGAGAGGCACGGGTGAACACAGGTTGCAGGTACAGGGTACAGGACATACAGGACACATGACACAGGACGCAGGAGTTACGAGAACGGTACACAGGACACAAGAGTTACGAGTCAGGGGACAGACGCCGAAGGACAGGGTACAGGAGACAAGAGGGCAGGAAAAAAAATGCGAATGCCTCTTTGGCCGTCTCACTGCGAGGATAACATTTCATATTTGGAAAAAAAAAAAAGGAGGAAAAAGCACTCACTCACCCCTTGCCTTGCAGCGTAAGCGTGGTACTTCTTGAAAGTGAACACAGGCCCCATCAGCACAGCAATATTTGAGGTGGCTCACTTCCTCCCACCCTCTCGCTTCATTCTCCCCCCTTACAATACAAGGGTCTTTTCTAAGCAAGCCCATACAAACCTTGCATTTTGCTAGAAGCCGCAGCCATGTAAAGGTCATGGCTCCTACTTGGGGCTCTATTGCGCTTCATTCTCCCCCCGTACTCACCCCTTGCCCAGCGGCGTACGCCTGGTACTGCTTCAAGTTGAACACGGGCCCCACCAGCACGGCGCCCGGGAAGAACACGAACGACACAAACTCCACCACCGACGGCAGCCGCGCCAGCCTGTTGCTGTACATGCGGTGGTGCGCCTGGGGGGCGGGGCGGATTGTGGGAAAAGGGAGAACAATGTGGGTGGAATGTTGCATCTCCTGCACGAGGAGCCGCAGCCTGTTGCTGTACATGCGGTGGTGCGCCTGGGGGGCGGGGCGGATTGTGGGAAAAGGGAGAACAATGTGGGTGGAATGTTGCATCTCCTGCACGAGGAGCCGCAGCCTGTTGCTGTTCATGCGGTGCTGCGCCTGGGAGACGAGGGTGCCGTGGACAGACAGAGGAAGGAGGACGGGATTAGAGAGGAGGAGGAATAAAGGGGAAGAAGCGCGTCAATTTGTTGGTAGAGTGTTGTGCGCCAGCCTGTTGCTGTACATGCAGTGCTGCGCATGGGATGTTACCTTGTTTCAACCATCGCGGAGCATACCTTCCTCCGGCAGTGCGCCGTCCTGGTAGTAAATGGCGCAGCCGGTTATCTTGAGCTCGAACACCATGAAAGCCAGCCTTGTTACAATGTTACCACGATATCCTGTAACCTTGTTACCACCGCAAAGCATACCTTATCCTCCGGCAGTGCGCCGTCCTGGTAGTCCATGGCGCAGCCGGCGATCTTGAGCGTGAACACCATGAGCGTGCCCGTGAAGTCCACGCCTCCCTGCCTCCACACGTCCGCTCCCAGGTTGCTTATGTGACTGAAGGGTTCAAGCAAAACAGCGCGCACACGAGATCAAGAGTTCTGGAACATGAACTCCGTGACTGCTCGTGTCATGCCAGGTTCATGCGAGAAAAGTGCGCGGTCACAGAATCGAGAGCCATATCTTTGGTTACTTCTCACAACGACTGTGCTTCCACTCCTCCGCACCTAGATTGCTCATGTAAGTGAAAGCTTCATGCAAAAGAGGACGCGTTCACACGTTAAAAGAAAATTCTCCCTTCATTTGGACGTCTCACAACAGTTCTTCCTCCAAACGTACCCTTTTAAATTACCCGAGAAAGTGCGACAGGTATGAGATGGGTGCAGAAGACAGCAAAGCGAGGCCTACCAGTAGGTGAGGTAGGTGAAAGAGCCATAGAGCACGCCGTAGCCGCTCCACTTGCGAGGAAGGACGAGCATGAGCGCGTACGACGCGAGGGTGAGGCCCCAGAAGTTGAGGCTCGCTGCATTGACGAACGCACGCAATGAAATGGCGATTTCGATTCAATGGAGCGAAGGAAAGGACTTGAAGTTACGCAGCGAAGAAACTGATTGCAGGTCGGTCGAACTTGCTTTGCGGATTCAAGTGGAGTTTCAAGCCAACCAGCTGACTGCATTTCACTAGAATGTCGCTTGCAACGAGAACCACTGAAACGGGATGAGAGCATGGTGTTTGCTACCGCAGAAAGGTATCAGACTTGCCGTGAAGGCCGCCATACGCCACGAGGTGACTTTTGAGTCGACCTCATTTCAGTCGCTTGCACATCGAACCACTGAAATGGGATGAGAGCATGCTGCTAGCTAGCGCAAAAAGATTTTGAACTTGCCATGAAGGCCGCCATACGCCACCCAGCAGAGAGCCCCTCCGGCTGCAATGCTGTAGAGATGCTTCAGCGTCGGGCCGGGGAAGAAGCGCACGACCAGAGCAGCGGGGACGGAGGAGAAGAGGCAGAGCAGGAGCGTGATCAATGACGGAGCCACTCCCAGCGATGCCGCTATATCTTCTGAGATCGACATGCCTGCCTACTCAAGCTGGTGGCTCGGTGAAAGTAGATACGCGTTTAAGAGAAAAGAATGTGTGTGTGTGTGGTTTCTGATGGCTGCTAATATATCTGCCGGGTTTCGGGATCTGGCGAAGGCTTGAGCAGCCTTCGCGGAAAGTCGCCACTACGATGCGATCATGCAGTCTCCACCACCTCGTAACTGGAATGGACCCGAGGTATTGCCTGACAATAACGGCCGATCTGTGCTGCCTACTGCGTGATTGAGGAAAGGGCTTTATTGCTGGCAGATCCCGTGAAGCGTTTACAAGCATGGACAACGAAGAGGAGAGAGAGAGGATTGACGATGTGGCAGATGGACGGATGCGATGAGCTGGGGAATGCAGTGAGTTCTGGACCCGCACGTGACCGTCAAGAGTAGATTGGATTGTTGGATTGGGTTCCCGCGCTTTGCGCATTCCACAGCAGCATACTTTGGAAATTGGCGGGCCGTGTCAGAGTGTGACAGGCAGTCTGTAAGAAAATTTCCGTGTTTCCTTACTGGGTCACACTGTACGCGTACAACTCTTTTCGGAAAACAGGCTAGGTCCTACGACCTCGCCCTCCTAACCACCATCGCGTCGCCTTCGGGTCCCCCAAATCCGAACCTGCATCCAACCATCTCGCAACCTGCTCAGACGTTGTAATCATTTCCGCGTAATTCCATTCTGCGCACTCTTCCCATTTACAACTCATACCACAGTCCAATCCCAAATGCTATGTACAAATTAAAACACCTAATGAAAATGTCAGTTATACTATATATACGATGTCTATAGGAAGTAAAGCGTACTTCAATTTCCAATGTTAGGATCAGATCAATATTTTATTAGTTTCATATCGGATACTGCTGGTGTATATTCGAGATGATTACGGTACTACTCTTAGACGAATGATATGGTTTTCGTGATTCCTTACATGCATAAGCAATCATATTCATTCCGTAGATATGTCACGTACCATTACTCAGCCCGAATCTGCGTGAATCAAGTACAGTTTTAGCACGCTTGCCCTGGAACCCAACAATGTTCAAACTCGGCTGGTGTTGAACAGACCATTCAAAGAAAAATGGCCGCAGCCGACGCGGTGCTGTCGCCTTTGGCCGTTGCCCAAATTGCTGTGTCTAAGAGAGAACCGCCCGAAAGGTACGTTGCCTATAGTCCTCGCACTCATCCTCGCCATTGTCGCTCTATCATTTTCAAAATTCTCCTACTAAACCCCGAATCCTGATTCGGTTACACCCTGACCCCTGCGCGTCTTAAACCGCCTCGCAGAGTGCTCTCGTGCGCGGTCAATCTCCTCCAATATTTCGCGGGAGAGGATGGAAAGCGCCACGTGGCTCGGCCCTGTCAGCAGCCACAGCAGGTCACACTGGGCGAAAATGGGAACCACCCACCCCCTGGTGACACAACCCTTGGGGAACCCTCTCAGGCGGAAACCGGAGCCGGAAAGCGGAAAAAGAAGAGCAAGAAGGTCGCTGGTAACACGGTTACCACCGACAGGGATAACGCTTCCGCGGAAGGCTTGGCAGGGGAGCAAGGCTTCCGGCCCCTCGCGGATTCCGCGGATATGTGGGGGGAATGGGGCTCCCAGGCGCGCCTACACGCACTGCGCGCCGTTTTCGAGTTTGCGCAGCTGTCCCTCCTCCGATCCATCCGCCCCGGACCTGCTGGCGCTGGCTCGGGCTCCAAACGAGCCAGGTCTGGCTCGGGAATGCCAGGCTCGGCAGAGAAGCTTGACGGGGAGAAGGCGGGGAAGAGGCGGAAGAATCAGGCGGGAGGAAAAGCGGAGGGGGAAGGGATAGGGGGAGGGGAAGGGGAAGGTGACGGGAAATGTAGGGAGGCAGCAGGAAAGGGGAGCGACGGAGATTCGATTCCCGCTTACATGGATGCACACTATTGGTTCGTTCTGTCCGCGTCTCTCTCGCTGCTGCAGCACCACCCTGGTTGGCTGGTCCTCTCGTCCAACCTTTTCCAGCCAATCACAACGCTTCTCTCCGCACTAGCTCAAGACAATGCCCTTCACAAAGTTCTAAATGTATCAGTACCAGCAGCACCAACACCAGCAGCAGCAGCAGCAGCAGGGGAAGTGCCATCTATAGGACGGAGCCTACACGCCCTGCTCACTGTTCTCTTGATGCCGAGCCTGGCAGGCAGGCTCGGCACCTTGGATCTGAAAGGCCTGGGAGCGCCGGGCGTGAGGTTCAAAGTGTCAAGTCCGGTGGCGTTCCATCCGAGCCTGGAGCACTGGGTCGGCCTGGTCCGAGCCTCCCTGCAGCTTCTGCAAAGCTTGTTGAGACTCGAAAATAATAGCAAGTCAGCGGGAAAAGGACCATCACCAGCATCAGCACCATCAGCAGCGGCAGCAGCAGGAGCATCAGCATCAGGAGCAGCGGACGTGTGGGGAAAGGTGTCCGCCGTGTGTCTGCATGGGTTTGGTGTGTTCGCATCAAGCCACCCGCAGGGCAAGAAGGTGTTTGTGGCTGTGCTCTCACGCCTGCTGCCCCTCGTGCTGCACCTCAGGACGCACCTCCTGCACAGTCAGGAGCGTCTGGGGAAGGGGCGTCTGGTTGAGGGTGGAGAGTTGGGGGAGGAAACGGTGGGTTTTGTCTTGTCTGCAATGGAAGTGATTGTGAAGGAGGCGTTATTTGGTCGCGCGCATGCAGAGGGGTATGTTTCCCAGTGCGCGGGTGTAGCTGCTGCTATGGCTGCTGGTGTGGGTGGTGGTGTGGGCGGTGGTGGTATGGGTGGGGGAATGGGCGGGAAGAGAGCAGGCAACAGAGGAACACCTGAGAAAACATCTGGGGAGTCAAGACATGGAAGGAAGGGAGGAAATGTTGGAGGGGCGGCAGAGGATGAGGGTGAGGGAGATGGAGGTGTGGAAGGGTTGGGGGAGGAAGGCAGGTTCGGCAGCTACCACCGGCAGTTCCTGGCGTTTCTCGAGGCTGGGATTAGGTTCGGGAACGTGCCGATCCTGCACAGCCTCGGGTGGATGTTCGGAATCTACTCTCGGAGTGTGGTGGAGATTGCACGAGAGAGGGTAAGCGAAGTGGGAGGGAGGGGGAAGAGGAGAAAAGCAGCAGCGCATGGGGGGAAAGGGGGAGGGGTGAGTGGGGATGGGGAAGGAGGGGAGGGAGCAGGAGAGGGGAAGGCAGGGGAAGGGGGTTTGGAGGCGGGCGGAAGCAGAGTAGGAGGAGGCGGAGGGCTGGGAGGAGGTACAGGAGGGGTGTTGGGGGCAGATGATCCCGAAGTGTCTCAGCTGTTGCAGTCGCGGTTCAGTCTGTTTGCTCACCTGCTGGGCCCGCTGATGGGCAAACTGCGAGGCCAAGTAGTGGCGCTCACTCAGGGGGGCGCGCAGGCAGAACCGCAGCAGCACCAGCAGCAGCAGCACCACCACCACCAGCACCAATGGTCCCAGCAGCACCGAAAGCAGCAGCAGCAGCAGCAGCAGGGCAAACCAAGCCGAGGTGGTAACCAGTCAGCAGCAAGCAGTGCTGCGGATCCTGCCAGCCTGGCAGGCGTGCTACGTGGCACAAGGGCTCTGGTGGACGCAGCGATAGAAGAGGGTATCTACGATGGCTTGTCAGACGTGAGTGACAGCAGCACCATCAGCAGCCGCAACAGTGGACGAGGCAAGGGGAGGCGGGGAGGAGCAGAAACAGGAGGAGCAGGAGGAGGAGGGGAAGCAGGGGGGGCTACAAGACTGGGTCTGCTGTTGTACTTGGCTGGGCTGGCTGGGGAGGTTGGCAGTGCTTGGCGCATGAGGGAGTCAGAAAACAAGCATGGGTTTGGAGGCATGTACGGTGGTACTGCTTCTGCTGTTGCTTCTGCTGCTGCTGGTAGTGGTAGTGATGGTGATGGGAGGCAGGAGCGGAACGGGGCAGGAGCTCAGGTCTGGGCCGAGCTTCTCCAGCTGCTTTGGGGGCTGGTTCGGCTGGAGCCTCGGGTGGTGGTGCTTGTGGATGGCTTGCATGACGCCACGTGGCAGCTCGTGATTGGGGCATGTTCTGCTTGCGAGCGGGCACGAGTAGAGGGATTTGATACCGGTGGTAACCAGCTGATGTTGGAGGAGCAGCGGGCGGCAGGGTGGGCGGCAGAGTGGGTGGCAGTGTGGGCGGCGGCAGTCAAGATTGCGAGCCAGCTGGTGATGACGTGGAAAGATATGCGACAGGTGTGTGCATGTGCATGCATGCAAGCAGGCGTGCATCTGTGTGAATGCAACACACAACCCCTCCTACATCGTGCTTTGCCCTGTTCATCCCGACCCACCCTGTGTGTTGTGTCGCTACTCATCCCCCTCTCCCTGTGCAGCTGCTGGTGATCATATGAGCCGTTTTCTCCTCCACCCAACCTCTTCATGCCCTGCCCTGTCTGTCCCTGCTCTTCCCTGTCCCTGTTCTGTTCTGCTGTTCTGTTGCTACTCGTCCCTCCGCTCATCCCTCTGCTTATCTCTCTGCTCATCCCTCCGCTCATCCCTCTGCTCATCCCTCTGCTCATCCCTCTGCTAATCCTTCTGGTTCCATGCAGTTAGTGGTGGCCATCCGATCCATCCTCTCGTTTTGAGTCGACTCAAAATTGTCTGTCGCTTGTCATCCCTCTGCTCATCCCTCCGCTCATCCCTCTGGTTCCATGCAGCTAGTGGTGGCCATCCGAGCCATTCTCTCTTCCACCCTTGCCTCCAGGCGACCGCTTCTCGCTCTACCTTCTGCCCTGCCCTCCCCGGTAGCATCAGAATCGCCAGCAGCAGTGGCAGCAGCTGCGGCGCTCCTATCGTCGCCTGACCTCCTCTCCGTGGTCCGGGAGGCTGCTGCTGCAGTCCCTCCAGGCCAGGTGCCGAGCCTGCTGCTCAGCTTCGGGGAGGAGCAGGTCAGGCTGGTGTTTGGTCGGGTAGGGGACGCTGAGGGAAGAAGAAAGGAGGGGGACGAGGAGAGCAGGGGAGGGGGCGAGGGGGAGAAACTGAAGGGGAGGAAGGGAAAGAAGGGGAAGGCTGGTCAGGTGGTTTCTCAGGTGAAAACTCAGACGCAGGAAGCACAGGATCGGCTCACCTGGGCGGCGGCCAGCTTCGTTGCCACAGTGCTCCGCAGCCTGCCTGTTGCACTGGGAACCGCCATCCAGGTGGATGGCAACCTTTGTCGTCTAGTGCAGGCCCTTGGGCGGTCAGTGGTTGGGAAATGGGTGGCTGCGGTGCTGGCGGCAAGCATGCAGGGGGAGGAGGACGGAGGGAGAGAGGGAGAAGGGGAGGGGAAGGAGGGAGTGAAGGGAGGTGTGAGAAAGGGGCACAAAGGGAGGAAAGGGAGGAAAGGGAGCGAGGGAAGCCAGGGGGAAGACAGAAGCAAGATGGGGGGTGGTAACCATGCCTTGGCTCTTTCGTTTCTTTGTCACTCGACAGCAAGCGTTTGGGCAGGCCTTGAAATGTTTCTAGCTGCCCATGAGCTGCACCTGCGGTGTCTATATAATGCACCTCCCTCAGAAGAGTCCAAAATGGGCCACCGCTTCAGCCTTGCCTTTCCCCTCCCTCTGGACCCTGCTGTCAGCGGCCCAGTCTCGGCAGGAACTGGTTCGGCAGAGTTAGGTTCGGCAGGGATAGGTTCGGCAGGGGAGATCGCTGGAGGGGCTGCTTCGGAGCAGCCTGCTTCCAGATGGCGGTTTGTGATTGGCTGGCTGAATCGAGTGATGAATGAAAAGGCAGAGGAGACACAAGAGCAGCAGGAAGAGGAGGAGGATCAACAAGGGATGGAAAGCAGTGAGCTGCTTCGGCTGCGCTTCCTGACTCTCTGTGCTGCCATCACTGCCCTCTCCTCCCTCTCCCCGGTGCTGCCTCTGGGTGCCAGCAGTGCGGGTGGAAAGAGGGGCGAACTGGGGGGAGAGACGGATGCAGCAGGAGAGGCGGGGAAGGGGAGGAAGAAAGCGAACCGGGGAGGAGCAGAGGGAGCGCGGGGTGTGGGGGAGGGTGGAGTGGTGGGGAGTGGTGTTGGTGCGCTGGCTGCTGCTGTGGCCCATGAGCTGTCGTTTGGGTGTGTGGGGGCGGGCGAGGGGCGGAGCCGGTGGGTGGTGATGGGGAGAGAAACAGGCGGGAAAGGGGAAGCAGGTGCGGGAAGGACTGTGCAAAGAGAGGAGGAGGGAAAGGAGGGATGCGCAAGCAGGGAGAGGAGGCAGCGGGGCGGGAGGACACAGTGGGAGGGCACAGCGTGCAGCATCAGCAGCCGTGGGTCACTCAACGCGGCTTACCTCTCCCTTGCTGCGTCCTCCGCCCTCCCCCTCTGGATTCCCGCTGCCCCTCGCCCTGCTGTGAGGGAGTTTGTGCTGCTGCTGCTCGCACTCGCTGCTCGGGAGGTGCTTGGTGGTGCGGGGGGTGTTAAGGAGGAGGCTGGGGGTGCAGGAGAAAGGGCCCAGGCTGCTCTGGCGGCACTACGGAATCCTGTCTTTTATGAGATTGAGGTGAGTGCCGGAGGTGCAAACGAGGAGGCTGGGGGCGCAGGGGGAAGGGCTCTGGTGGCTCTGGTGGCTCTGGTGGCGCTACAGAATCCCGTGGTCTACGAGATTGAGGTGGGTTGCTTGGCTGGGTAACATGCCGCGACCTCTTATGCGTTGACTGCGTTGACTTGATTGACTTCTCGCCAGCTTTCTTACATCCCGTCGTCATCCCCTCATTGCTCTGTGGAACCCTGTGTTTTGCGTCCTTTGACTCTTCACGTTTACTTTAGTTTCCCCCCAACGCACCTGTGCTTGCAGAATGTTCGTCACGTTTTGGCCAAGTCATTTGTGACTAATCTGCGGGCAGCTGTGAAGGGCAGCTTGAAACTCTCCACCACCTGCCCGCCTTCTGCCCTCGCAGAAAAATGCAAGGCTGGCTTGGTTTCCCTGCTGTCTGACCGAACAAATCCAGCCAATGAGCACGCCGGAAGAGAAGGACAAATGACTTCAGAGCGTAGTTCAAAAAAAAGAAAAGGATATAAGAAAAAAGGGAATGAAGGAGATGACTCTACTGGGGTGGGTGGTAGAGGTGATAGTAACGTGAGTGATACTAACGAGAAGAAGTTTTCAGACAGTATGCTCACCATGTTGGCTGATCAGGCAGCTGCTGAGCTGGCAGATTCAGTCCGCCATCTCGTTCAAAACCCTGATGCTGACTCAGCAGGCACAGATGCTGACTCATCAGAAGAGGAGGAGGAGGAGGAGGAGGAGGGTGGGAGAGGAGTGAGAGAGCAGAAGGGGAAGGGTAAGGGGGATAGTGAGGGGGACTGGCAGGTAGATGCAGGGGAGGTGGAACTCGTGCTGGTGCTGCTACAGCTGCTACAGGCGGTTCCCCCTGACTGCTGGACGGCTGCAGATGCGCTGCGATTGGTCGAATGCCTTGCTGGCGTGGAACGATGCTTCATGGCGCCTCTGCTGCTCCCTTCTCTCTCACCTGCACCTCCCTCTCGTTACAGTCACATTCACACTCTATTGGACCGCCAACAGCAACAACAGCGAGCGTTTTCCTCCTCCTCCTCCATCTCCTCTTCTTCCTCCTCTCCCTCCTCCCTTCTCATGCACTGCTCCCTTGCCTGCAGAATAGCCCTCCTTCGTTTCCTCTCCCTCCACCAATCACTCTCCCATCCCACTCATTCCAAACCAAGTTGTCCCGAGCCTGGGTCCAGTCTGGTGCCGAAGCTGCTACCATGGCTGGTGGTAGGCTCGGTGGGAGCAGGTGTCGTGAAGCGATGGGAGCTGCAGGAGGGACGGAAAGGGGAGGAGATGAAATGGATTGGGGGGGCATTGGGGGATGGGGACGCATTGCGGGATGAGGAAGCATGGGAGGGTATGGTGGCGGCGAGTGGAGCAGCAGTGGGCATGGCAGTGCATGCAGTCATGACGGATGGTGGCGCGGAGGGAAGCAAAGAGAGGGTCGAGGAGAAGGGTGAGGAGAAGGGTGAGGAGAAAGGAAAGCATTCACGTGGGAATGCAGAAGCTGAGGATGATGTTGATGGTTCAGCCACAGATGTGGGCACTGCTATTGCCCGCTTGTCTCGCTCCCATCCCGAGACGGCCACTGCTCTCATTTCCTCTGTTGAAATCCTCGCCTCCCTCCCCCACTGCAACCCCACTCTCACCACCGATGCTGCATCAGCTGCTCCAGCTGTAGCAGTAGCAGCATCTGTCGCACCGGCAGCTGCACCTGCGACGTCTGCAGCGGCTGTAGCGGCGGCTGTGTGCTCGGGAGCGCTGTGGGAGTTGGCAGCTGTAGCGGATGGATTGAGCCGCACTGGCGATGAGTCAGCAGCACCGGCTGTAGCGCGTGCTACAGTGAATTCTGCAACAGCTGTTCGTGAGGTGCGAAGCGAGGGGTCATTGCTGGCACGATGGGGTGGTCGGATCCCTGCCACGTGGCGTGCTCTGATTGGCTGCCTCGAGCCTGCTGTTGAAGGGGGGTTGAGGGGGATGCTGGGGGAGAGTGAGAAGGGGAGAGAGGAGGTGAGAGAGGAGGGAGGAGGGGAGGAAAAGGAGGTGGGAGGAGAAGGCATGGACGCTGGTTTGGATTGGTTGTCGCTGCGTGAACTCGGATTCGCTGTGGCGAGGGATGGTGGTTTGCTGGACATGCATGGTGGGGATGTTGCTGGTGATGGGGATGGGATTGGTGATGTGAAGGGGAAAGGCAGGGATGGGGTGGGGGAAGATGTCGAGGAGAGCGAGAAAGTGGAGAGTGAGGAGGAGGATGATGATGGTGAGAGTGAGGAGAGTGAGGAAGAGGAGAGTGAGGAAGGGGAGAGTGTGGAAGAGGAGAGTGTGGAAGAGGAGAGTGAGGACGAGAGTGAGGAAGAGGAGAGTCAGGACGAGAGTGAGGAAGAAGAGAGTGAGGAGGAGAGTGAGGACGAGAGTGAGGAAGAAGAGAGTGAAGAGGGCGAGAAGGAGAGTGAGGAGGAGAGTGAGGAGGAGAGTGGGGATGAGATGGAAGTGGATGGAGACACAAATGCCAGCCAGGGAGGGAAGAAGCCACGCTCCCCTTCACCTTCCAAGACAGAGAGAGGAGCAACAGGAGGAGCCGGAGGAAGAGTGGGAAGAGGAGGAGAAGGAGCAGAGAGGGAGGAGAGCTGGTTACGCAGTTACGACCTCCCAGACTCTCAAAAGCACGCCCTCAGGCGCCTCCTTACAAGCACATCTGAATGCGTCACAGCTGCCCACCTGTTCTCTGCTGCTGCTGCTGCCCTGCACCTCAGGTGTGCGCTGGCCATGTGTGAAGGGGATACGGAACAGTCTAGAGAAGGCGGGGCAGAGAAGGCTCTGCAGACGGCTCACGAGGGTGGGAGAGGGCGAGGGAGAAAGAAAGAGAGAAGGGGGAAGCGGGGTGCACAGGTGGAGGGAGAGGAGGAGCACGAGGAGGAGGAGAAAGAGAAGGAGCAAGAGGAGGAGGAGGAGGAGGAGCGGAGAGTTGTGGGAGGAGAGCAGGCAGAAGCACTGAAGAGGTACACTCTGTCGCGTGCGTTTGTCGAGAGCGCCGTGCAGCCCAGGCTGGCATCCGCCCTTTTCATTCTCCACCACGCCTCCCTGCTGCTGCAAGGGCAAGAAGAGGGCGGACCATGCCATGCACGTGCTGTGGCTCCACCACGCTGGGTCAATGGGTCTCCTTTATTTGCCGCAGCCGCCATTGACCCAGCTGCCCCAGCAGCCACAGCACCCACAGGAGTGGCAGCAGCAGGGTCAGGAACAGCAGGGGCTGGTTCTGTGTCCGGCCCCTCTGTGTCCGGCCCCTCTGTGTCCGGCCCCTCTGTGTGCGGCCCCTCTGTGCTGCGCTTTGCAGCGCCTCTCCTCCTGGCGGTGCTGCAGTATACGCAGGTGGCTGGTACCCGCATGCTGCGCTGCGTCAACCCCCACCCTCCTGCCTCCGCCTTCCGGCAAATCGTGCGCGTCCACCTGGCGTTCCTCTCCGCCCTCTCGTTACAGTCACAGTCACTATCAGCAGCAGCAGCAGCGGAAGCAGCACCAGCACCAGCAGCAAGAGCGGCAGAAGAATTAGAAGCAGCAAGGCAGCTGGTAGCAGCGCTGCTGCAAGCCACAGACAGGGCGTTGAAGCAGTTTGTGCAGTGGGCGTCGCACGGGTGGGTGGCCGTCATTTTCCGTACCTGCAGGCATGAGCTCGCCTTGCACGTGGAGGGGGGCAGTGGAGGGGAGTGGCAGGGTGGCGGCATCAGAGGAGGGGTGGGAGGAGAGGCAAGGCTGCAAGCGGTTGTGGGGACCAGCGGGCAAAGCGCTCAAGCGCTCAGCGGGCGGCGCATGAGCACTCCCCTTAATATTAAGGGGAGTGCTCATGCGGAAGGGGACGGTCAAACAGAGTTTGACAGCGCAGCTGGACTGGACGGTGGAATAGGGCTGGATGCGGTGGCAGTGTTGGCGGAGAAGCTCATTCACAGCTGCCCCAGCGGCCACTCCCTTCACTTCCTCGCTGCCCGCTCTCCCCTCCTCGCCTCCCTGCTCTTCAAGGCTATCACCTCCTACACACACTCTCACTCTCACTCTCTCCCTCACTCCCTCCCTCACACTCCCATGCACACCCTTCCGCACACGCCCTCACTTGTATCTTCACTTTCCGGCCTCTACACATCCTCCAACTCCTCTGCCTTTCACGTCCCCTCCATACTCTCACTCGCTCCCTCACTCGCTCCCTCACTCACTCCCTCGCTCACTCCCTCACTCACTCCCTCACTCGCTCCCTCACTCTTTCCTTGGCTCACCCCCTCACTCGCTCCTTCCATAACTCCCGCCAGCTTTTTCACCATTTGCCATCACAGCCTGTCAGCGCTCACAACTCTTGCTGCCCGAAGCGCAATTTTCCCTTTCCGGGCAGGCCACGTCAGCCTGGGCCTCGCGTGCCCGAACCTCATTCTGCCCGCCATCTCGTCTTCTCCTGATTCGTCCACTGGCATGGGCCTTGGCGAACGGGCGGCGTTGTTTGTTGGTTTCTGCCAGCTGCTTTGTGCGATCATTCGTCAGCGCAGCCGGTGTGTGCCCGTTCTGCTGCGAGTTTGATTGTTCTGGTGCTCGTACCGGCATCTGTTGTTCTCTCTGTATTCTACTGGCGTGATCAGTTCAATCTTACATCTGTTTGCATGCAAACAACTCAAGGAGTTTGCATGCAGAAATTTCTCCTACCTTTATCTCTTGTGAACAACTCCTGAGCACAATGCTCTTGTCAAGACTGGTTTGATTCGACATGCTGTGGTTTGATTCGACATGCTGTGGTTTGATTCGACATGCTGTGGTTTGATTCGACATGCTGTGGTTTGATTCGACATGCTGTGGTTTGATTCGACATGCTGTGGTTTGATTCGACATGCTGTGGTTTGATTCGACATGCTGTGGTTTGATTCGACATGCTGTGGTTTGATTCGACATGCTGTGGTTTGATTCGACATGCTGTGGTTTGATTCGACATGCTGTGGTTTGATTCGACATGCTGTGGTTTGATTCGACATGCTGTGGTTTGATTCGACATGCTGTGGTTTGATTCGACATGCTGTGGTTTGATTCGACATGCTGTGGTTTGATTCGACATGCTGTGGTTTGATTCGACATGCTGTGGTTTGATTCGACATGCTGTGGTTTGATTCGACATGCTGTGGTTTGATTCGACATGCTGTGGTTTGATTCGACATGCTGTGGTTTGATTCGACATGCTGTGGTTTGATTCGACATGCTGTGGTTTGATTCGACATGCTGTGGTTTGATTCGACATGCTGTGGTTTGATTCGACATGCTGTGGTTTGATTCGACATGCTGTGGTTTGATTCGACATGCTGTGGTTTGATTCGACATGCTGTGGTTTGATTCGACATGCTGTGGTTTGATTCGACATGCTGTGGTTTGATTCGACATGCTGTGGTTTGATTCGACATGCTGTGGTTTGATTCGACATGCTGTGGTTTGATTCGACATGCTGTGGTTTGATTCGACATGCTGTGGTTTGATTCGACATGCTGTGGTTTGATTCGACATGCTGGTGCACCTTCAGATCTGCCCTTGTGCTCACTTCTGGCCGTTTCCATCCTCGTCGCATCTCCTCCCTTCCCTCTATTGCTCCCCACCCCACACTCCCATGCCATAACACATCATACCATCTCATGCCATGCCATGCCATGCCATGCCATGCCATGCTATGCTATGTGCCACGTCATGCCATGCCACATCAACAGCTATGTGCGATACAGCATGGCTCTCCTCGTTCAGTCTCTCCGCTGCATGCTCAACCTCCTCTCGCCCTCCTCCCCCTTCTTCTTCTCCTCTTCCTCCTCCCCTTCCTCCTCCTCGCAAGCACTCCCCTCTTCCTCCTCTCTCTCCTCCAACCTCGCCCCGCCGCCTCGCCCTCGTGATTATTACGAAGCCACAGCTGCCAGCTGTGCCCTGTGGCTGAGACGGGTGTATGATGAGGTCAGTGTGGTGCTATGCGGTTCTGTGTGGTGACTGTGCGGTTCTGTGCGGTTCTGTGCAATAACTGTAAGCCATTACACCCCATCTCCCACTCTGCTCTTGTTGCTGCTTTCTCCTCCCTTTTTTCCTCCTCTGACTACCTAACGCGAACTCCTTCCCTCGCATTCCTTCAAGACAGAAGCTCACTCACGAGCGGTAATATCTTTCTCCCATCATTTCATCCTCCTCTCTGCGCGCAGGTATCGGAGCTCACGCATTTCTCTGTGCTCTTCTCTCAGCAGGATCTGCTATTGGCAGTCTACATTAAGTGACCGATTTCATTGAACGGTTTCATGTCACTCCCCTCCTCAAATCAGTTCACTTTTCTCGTCCCCTGCACAACAGGTATCAGAGCAGCGTTTTGAGACGTCTCAAAACTTTTCTCCTCCCCTGCACAACAGGTATCAGAGCAGCGCACTAAGCTCAGCAAGATCTGTCCGCTGCTATTAGCCGACTACATCATCACCATCACCACCACCGCCACCATCGCCACCGCCTCTCCCACCACTCCCGCAGCAGCCCTGCCCCAGCAGCTTCAGTCGCCCTTCACCACTGCTAGCTTCGCTCCCAGCAGTGCCGGTGCTGGTGCTGGTGTTGGTCAGCAGAGCAGCCAGCAGCAGCAGCAGGTTCTTGGGTTGCCCAGGTGCGTCTACACGATAATTAGGAGTTTTTCTTGTTTCCATCCTTCGGCTGCTCATGGGGTATGTGTCCCCTCATGGGTCAACACGAGCACATATTTACATCACCACATCACCACTTAAAGCATCATCACCACATCACCACTTAAAGCATCATCACCACATCACCACTTAAAGCATCATCACCACTTAAAGCATCATCACCACATCACCACTTAAAGCATCATCACCACATCACCACTGAAAGCATCATCACCCCTTCAAGCATCATCACCACATCACCACTTAAAGCATCATCACCACATCACCACTTAAAGCATCATCACCACATCACCACTTAAAGCATCATCACCACATCACCACTTAAAGCATCATCACCACTTAAAGCATCATCACCACATCACCACTTAAAGCATCATCACCACATCAAAGCATCACCACATGGAAGCATCATCTCATCAATGCACCGTCTCCACATCACCCTGTCAACCCATCCAACCAACCATCTCAAGCAACCATCTCCCATCCACCCCATTCCAATTTCCACTGCATTCAACCCCTCAGCACTGTGGAGGCAGCGTTGGAGCCAGGAGCATTCGCGCTCATGGATGTGTGTGCACCGCACGACCTGCAGTTCCTGCACATGGCGCTCGGATCAGGTCAGCTCAGCACCTCTCTTGCTTCCATCCTCGCATTTATCACCCCCCTCTGTCCTCCTTCATCCCTTTATCACACCTATGCCTCGCGCACATGGATGTGTGTGCACCTCGCAACCTGCAAGCACATGTTGTTAGGATCAGGTCAGCGCCTCCTTTCCCTTCTATCCTCGCCTTTATCACCCCCCTCTATCCTCCTTCGTCCTGTTACCACACCCATGCCTCGCGCTCATGGATGTGTGCGCGCCGCACGACCTGCAGTTCCTGCACATGTTGTTTGGATCAGGTCAGCACCTCCCTCCCTTCTATCCTCTCTGATGCCCTCGCTTCAATCCTCCTCTCCATCCTTCAATTGCCCACTGCCTTGCTAATGTTTCCCAGAGAGTACTCTCACGTGCTCCATGGCCTGGAAAGATGGAGGGAAGGAAAGGATCGAGGCGCTCCAAGTGCTCCATTTCCTCCCCACGGCTATTGGAGTAAGATCGGTGCTATTTGGGAATCACTTTTGAGAATTCTCACAAGCCTTTCCTTTTCTTCCGTGATCCCCTCTCTCCTCCCCTCCACTACCCCTGTGCAGGTCATTCCCGAAGGGCTGCTCTGGCCCGGTTGAAGCAAAGTTACGACGAATCGTACAAGTACGAAGGCAAGGTGTAGTCACTGCTACTGGTATCGCTGGTTTACCTGCTTTTGCGCTGGTTTGGTCATTTTTTCTTGTGAGGGTACTGTATTGATGCCCTTGACCATTTTACCGTAGCAGAGAACAAAACTTTTTGAGTTTTAACTGTCCGTATCATGACATGAGCATTGACACTTCTGCAAAACATTGTTTTACTGATACACGAGCGAACTCAGGCAGGAAGTAACTCAGATTTTCTACACAGCCCAAGCTGCAGATACTGTGAGCGTGGGGAGAGGGAGGGACACAAGTTACACCCAGCTGCGAGTGTAGACATGCCGCACAGGAACCGCGTGCGATGCATGGTAACCCTGCACACGTGGACAGGCAGCAGAAGAGGCAGATAGAAGGGACAGGCAGCAGAAGAGGCAGATAGAAGGGACAGGCAGCAGAAGAGGCAGATAGAAGGGACAGGCATCAGAAGAGGCAGATAGAAGGGACAGGCATCAGAAGAGTAAGGGCACAAAAGCTGTGCGATGCTACAACAAGCCATCGTTGGGACTGGCTTGGCATGCCCTTGTAGCAAGAACCCTTGCCTCATTTCAACTCATAACAGCCAGTCGCCCCAGGTTCCACTCTTGAAAATTCTCAAAAGTGACTCTCTTACCTCACCTCAACTCATAGCAGCCAGTCACCCCAGGTGCCACTTTTGAAATTTCTCAAAAGTGACTCCCTTACCTCAACTCATAGCAGCCAGTCACCCTGGGTGCAGCTTAACAGCCTTCAGTTTCCCCGCTGTCGCCCGCTGCACCAACCATGCCACATCCGTTACCCAGCTTACCTTACCCATTCTTTCTCAAATCCCTAGCTCACCACATGTCAAGCTCACCTCCTCTCGCACGGCAGAAAGCCTTCCCAACTGCTGCTCCGCGGCCTTAAGCTTCCCCGCTGTCGCCTGCTGCACTGCCCGTGCCTCTACCAGCTCCTGCTGCAGCCGTGCCACTCCCTCACTGTCCCACGGCCGCACCACCAGCACCACCCCTACCTCCGCCACCGCCTCTGTACCCAACCCCCCATCCACCCCACTATCCTCAGCAACAACCCTCCCCATCCCAGTGTTCATCCCGGCGTTGCCTCCCAGAACTGAATGCGAGCCCATGGACAAGCCCTTGTCTCCCCGCCCCTCGTGCTGCACCCCTGTGAACGGTGTTTGAGTCGATTCAAAGATAGGCTCTTGCTTTGCAAGGGTTGGAGGCTTGGGTGGATGTTGCGGTGCGACAACAGGTTTGGGAGGGGCTTGGGAGGCGGGGAATGGCATGGGCGGGCGGGGGATGGGCTTCCAAGGGGAGGAGGCGGAGGGGAGGCGGGGGAGAGGAGACTGAATTGCACGGGCCTTGAGTAGCCTCTGGATTCGGAAGGGGAATAGGGGTGGAGTGGGGGAGAGGAGAGGAAGGGTGGTGGGCATCGGGGGTAGATGTATCACGCGGAGAGACGTGAGAGAGCAGGCCGACCGGCGAAGAAAGCAGCAGCACGCTGGGGAAAAGAGTGACAACGTCAAGGAATGCAACGGCAAGGAATGCGACGGCAAGGAATGTGACGGCAAGGAACGTGACGGCAAGGAATGCGACGGCAAGGAATGTGACGGCAAGGAACGTGACGGCAAGGAATGTGACGGCAAGGAATGTGACGGCAAGGAATGTGACGGCAAGGAATGCGACGGCAAGGGACGCAATAACAGGAAAACCGCAGCAGCAGCGACGTTATTATGCACTTCTAGGTGACCGAGGAAAGATGGGAGACGAACGCGCGTACCTGTCACCATTGCCAGTGATGCTCTCAACCTCTCACCTCCAGTACAGATTTCCTCAAATGAGCTGCTTTTTTTCAGAATAAACTTCAGAACCCCACCACCGCAATCAGCCCACACGTGCGTACCTATCCACGGCCAGGGAAGCACTCAGCCTCTCACCTCCAGCAGCCTCTCACCTCCAGTACCGCTATCCTCGCATGAGCTGCTGCCAGCTGCAACTCCAACGGCATCCCACTGCTGCTGTAATCGCTGCTGGTAACACCATCCTCAACAGTACCCATGTGCTCTCCTCTGCCTTTCACCGCATCCTCTCTCCCACTCTCCTCGTCACCGCTGATACCACTGCTTCTGCCGCTACTGGCGTCGTTTTCACCTGCATCCACACCGCTGCTGCTCTTGCAGCCGCTGCTGCTTTGCTCAACAGAACCCCCGCTCTTGCTCTCACCACTTCTTCTGCTGCCTCTCCCTTCCACGCCAACACCGCCAATCCCTCCTCTCATCTCCGCTTCTCCTGCTGCATTGGCTGTTGGGGATGAGGCAGGCAGTCTGGTCTTCACCACTTGCGGGCGCGGTTCTTTATCCTTGGCTATCAACCGAGCCTGCAGCTCCGTGTTCCGCGCTTTCAGGAAAGCTGTCTCTACGTTCGCTTTCTCCAGCTGTTCTTCAAGCGCGCGAATCCGAGCTTCCCACGTGTCGCTGTCAGCAATACTGCTGTTCTCACTGCCCCCGCTGTTCCTGGTGCAATTGCCTTTGTCGCCAATGTTACTTTCACTTGCGAAAGCAGCAGCAGCAGAAGCAGCAGAAGCAGTCCGCAACAGCACTGTAGCTGCCAGCTGGAGGCCTGGTTGCCGACGTGGCAACAGCAGAGCCCTCCTCCTTCATACCGGGCCTAGGGACGAACTTCGAGTCACCCCGGTGCACGGCGTTTTTCCCGCCCTTGGTTACCCAATCCACAGCTATCGATGTGTTTGGCCGAATCGGCGCCTTTGGCGCCAAGGGCACCCGATCGTTCGTCGCGTTGAAACGAGCTCTCATTTCCCTGACCGATAGCCGTTTGGATCCGTCATCGTTTACGTCACCGTCGACGTCTCCAGCAGAGCCTTGCAATCTAACTGTAACTGCTTCTGATGCTGACTGTGCTTCCTCAGTTACCGATTTTCCGGGAATATCAACCGGAGTCTGCGACTGTGACGAAATTATTCTTGTTTCGGAGAAGGGTTTTAAGGCAGCCGCAGGTCTTGACGCGTCCAATGGCGACGGTTCTGCTTTCGCCGCCGGAGTCGACGTACCCGTCACTCCCTTCATTCGCGAGAGGTAGAAATTCACTGAGCTCATTGTCGACTGTCGAGAAAAAACTTCGACGCCGTAGCCTAATTGGCGACAACGCGAGACTTCACGTTCCAACGCGGCAGTCAATCCTGGACAGTCAATTAGGTAGTCGTTCGTAAGCCAGTTGTAGCCACGCAACAATTCCACGCACACCAAACTGCTACCGTCCCAGTCCAACGCCGATATGATTGAGGGACCGAAAAGAACGGCAACCTCAAGAATTCTCAGAAAGAGACATTCAGGGATTGGCGCCGTCCACGGGAGACCCCTTGAGGTTGCCTCAATGCCGACGACAGAGGTCAAATTTCGGTTTTTGTAGGGAATGACGACTAGTCTGGAAGAACTGTGTTTGATTTTACTCCACGAGACTTGTTTGGGGCTCCCAGTCTGGAAGAACTGCGTTCAGGAGAACTTGGGAATGCCAGACTGACGTGCGCCTGACTGAATTACTGTGCAGCTGAATTGACGGTCAAGTGTTGACGAGAACCGTGGGAATCAGTAGGGATTTTGTCCGCGCTACGACATCAATGGACATGATGTTGGGGCAGATAGACAACAAAAATGTGCCCCCTCACATAAAACACTAAAAACACTTCCTATGAATGATTTCAAGAATTCACGTCCTATGCCCCATAACCAAAAACTGCACGAATCCTAGCAAAAATGAGATCTCTCCAGCCACGTTCGGTTGTTTCAAACACCGTGGCATTCCCAAACCTGCAAGGTAGGCAAGAGATAACATTAGCTAACACCATAACAATGGCCAGTGTTTTGAAGGCACACATGTAACTCCGACAATGCATATTCCACTTGAGAAATGTTGATGCCCGTGGCACTCACCTGTCCTCCTCAGGCACGTTGGTTTGTGTGAGCCGCAGAATGGTGTCACCAACTTGAGGCTCCTCAAAGGTTATGCACACCTGCACAAGTTAAACGAGTGGAGCACAGACAAATTCAACAATTTGGCATCTAACGCAGAGAGTCTGGACATGGATAGAGTGAAGGTGGTGAAATGATGACCCACTACCATATGCACCCAAATTACCCACAACTGTTATCACCCACTACATCCACATAACTACCATCCACTACTATCACCAACTCTCATCCTCCACTCTTATGACTCACTCATAACCCACTCCTATCACACACTTTTGTTACCCTCTACTGTCGGCTACTACTATCTCCCACCACCACCATTCACCCACACTCACCGTAGAGTAAACCCCATCAGGCCAGCTGCTGAACCGCCACTTCTGCATGATCAGCTTGTTCTCGTCCAATCGCTGGTTGACACCTGTCACGGACCCATCAAACAAGGAAAAGGTACCCCCAACATCCCGCGACAGCTTTGCCTTGGACTGAGTGAAAGCCATCCACCGCTTCTCATCCATGAGTGTCTCGTACAGATCTGACGGTCGGCAGTGGAACCTCTGTGTGATGGCAATCGTCTTCTTTCCAGTTCCGCTGCTGCTGCTGCTCTCTTTCTTGGTCTTGCTGGCTGGGGCTGTGCTCGCAGTGGTTTTAACAGCAGCAGATGCGGACCCTGCTGCTGCGGCTGCTGGTGCTGCTGCTGCTCCTGATGCTGCTGATGCTGCTGCTGCTGCTGCTGCTGTTGCTGCTGGTTTCACTGCCTTAGCCTTTTCTAACTCGTCTCTGGCCGGTCCACCAGCCTGGATGTCTTTAACAAAAGAACGAATTCTCTCCAAAATAAGCGGCTTGCCCTTCGCCAGCATCGCATCTCGCAGCCGATTGGCTGCTGCAGACCCTCCACCGTTGCCGTCCGCGGATTCCGTGGCCAGAGCGATCTTCACCTCGGGATCCTCATCGTGGTTCTCGTCCGCGATATAAGGCAGCTCCACGAAGCCCTTAACGGACGCGACAGGCTGCGCGTCGGCGGAGTCCTTGACCTCGCCCTCCCAGCCCAGGCGGACGTGAAGCTCGTAGCTGATTGGTTGACGGGGACGGGGAAACGGGGAAAAGCAACGGTAGAGTTTGTTGAGCTAGCCGCTGGTTGGCGGAGAAGGTTTGAGAGGAGGGAAGCCAACGGGAGACGGAAAAGGTAGGGTTCATGCGGCTCATAGCTGATAGCCGGAAGGGATGGTGGATTAGGAGGAGAGGGGGATGGAACAGGGAAGGAAAAAAGTAGGGTTCCTGGTGGGACTTGGTTCTAGTTGTAGGTATGCTGTGCCATGATATTCAATGGGAGATTTCGCGTGTTCGCGTGTTCACGATATACGCCTGCATGTGTCAGGATTCCTTTCAAAACCTGAACAAGGTCGAACCTGAAGTTATAAACTCCTTTTCGCATGTTCACGTCGTGTGATGAGACAAGTTACGAGGCGCCTCAAACATCGTCATAGCCTCAACATCGACCTCCTCGATAGTGCTCGTGCTGATCCAGCCTCCACCACCCCAGACCCCAAAAATCCTGACAGGAAACTCACCCGGGAATAATCTTTCCTTTGCGAATGTTAACATACGCCTCGCCGTCCACCTTCTCTATACCCCCCGTGCGGATCCAGCATCCGCCTTCCCCTTCCAGAACCGTCAGCCCGCCAATCAGCTCGCCCAAGCGCCGCCGCGACCATTCCATGCAGTCCTTCTCCGCCCAGTGCCAGTTGTGCACGTTCGCGCCGTCCGCTCGATCCTGCACGATCCAACGGTTGTCGCCCTCGCCGTACTTTGCCATGGAGGCGAGTGTTGCGAAACTGGACGAAATCGATACGAAGCTTAGGAGAAACGGACGTTCCGGCGAGGCCAAAAGGTAATCGGGAGTGAGTGGTGGTGGTGAAGACGCAACAAGTCACCTCTCACACTGAAAACGGACGAATGTGTAGACGATGAGGATCTGACAAAAACTAGTGTCCATCGACTTATCAACAATACAAACTCCAACCAGTGTTGACCTCTGAGATTTGCGAAATGAGGTGTCCAGCCTGGAAGTACGTTGCTTCGCGGTAAAAAACGTTCAAATGCGGTACAGCGCATTGCATTACAGCATATTGCGCGGTGGAATATGGTGACGAGTGCCCGACTACCATCTGAGATTCGCGAAATTTGAATCAGGGCGAGACGTGGGAAAACGGTTCGCTTGAGAAATTCGCGAACCGTCTGTGTCGCCCTTCTAGAATACACGATTATGCCACGTGGGGCTTCGAATCAGAAAAATGAACCTCATTTCGAGAATGTTCATTGTCATATCGGAAATCATAAATACCACACAAATCAATCCATGAAATACTACATGTGGTGCATATATGCACCAATCTTACGGTATATCATTCCTACTCTCCTCAAATGCCCCACTGGCTATTGCCTACTGCAAGGTCTCCTTTGCACAGGAGCTCCTGGAGCAAAATCTGTGCAGCCTCTTCACCAATGAGACCTGAAATTGCCTCCATCTCCGGAGAAATTCCAAGGGAACCTACACCATCTATTGGAATGTCCATCATATTGTTTCCTTCACTTTGTCCCATGTATGGCGGACCACTTGCAAAGTTACGGATCCCCATCATAGAATCACCCATTAACGAAGAAGCAGCTCCTCCTTGTAGATGCTGCGCGCCTGCAGCAGCATTCAGCCCTGGAGACCCTGGGATTTGAGAACCCTGTGGTTGATGTGCTACTGTGCCTGTAGCTGCATTCCCCCCGGGTGCTCCAGCCCCCGTCCCGAACCCCTGACCATGCACAGCGTCATGGCCTCTGTTATTTATGCCCGTAGTGGCGAGTGCCGATGCCAGGTGACAATCTGTCACTTGCAGCAGCCCGCTCACATCTCTCAACTGCTGTGACACGAGAGGCGACCCATTCGGCACACCGGTTAGGTCAGTGTGCGCCATTGATGCAGTTCCGGGAACTGTGTACGGGGCAGTGGAAGGGCCAGCATCTGTCGCTACCCCTCCTGATGACAGCGTCTGGTCCAGGATAAACCTGGCGATGTCCTTGCTGCTCACCAGAGCCTGTGCTAGGAGCTCGTCGGCGCTCCCTGGAAGACCAGCACTTTTAGTTTTACCAAAACGGCTCATGTTTGCAGCATTTATGATAGTAGCGCCTTCCCTAGCGGCCCCAGGACCAGGCTGAGTAGCCTGCTGCAGCTGCGGCTGAAACTGCAGTTGCTGCTGCTGCTGCTTCTGCTGCGGCTGCTGCAGCACAGAGGGTATCCCCTCCTGTGGGCCCGTCTGCAGCATCTCCCGTTGGTGCACGATATCAGCCTCTGACAACAGCTGCCGCACCTGCTGCCGCCGCTTGTACTTCTCCAGCAGATCCTCCAACTCCCGCATCTCCCTCTGCTCCTCCGCCATTGCTCTCCTCTTCCGCTGGTACCGCTGCCACTTCACTTCTTCCTGCTGCGACTCCTCCCCTGGTCTCTCGCCGCGATCGGTATTCGCCCGTTGGAATCCCGCGCTTGGCGACTGTGCTTGAAACGAGGGGAGCGCGTCGAGGCTGTGGGCCTTCTCTAATGGGAGCTCCACACCAACTCTGCCGGGACTCGCAGGCTCGGTGAAGCTTGTCGCGCTGCCGCTTGGCACACTGGCTGAGCGAGTAGCCATGGCCATCATCGTTCCAACTTGAAGAGCATGGACTCCATCCAGGTGACCCGCCACTCCTTGGACTGGCCGATTGACTGCCCCGCCCCCAGAAATAACTCCAGCGCCACCACTGAGGCCGGCGACGCCACCACCACTAGCAGCGCCAACGCCAACTAGACTGCCCGGGCCGATGCTTGCTAGAGCTGCCTGCGCTCCCGGTGATAACTGGCGCCATGTGCCCTCCGACATGGGGTCGCTGAGAGCATCAGGTGACGCCCCGTGGTTCCGGAGCCTATTCAGGCCTGCTGAAGTCAATCCAGTCAACCCTGTCAACCCAGTCAACCCAGTGAACCCAGACAATCCAGTCAATCCAGTCAACCCAGTCAATCCGGTCAACCTGGACAGGTCCCTCAAACCTGGCGTGACGCTTCCGAAACCGTCAGCCAAGCCATTCAGACGCGCCTTGATCATTTCCCGGTCGAAGTTCTCTCGAGCGACGTCCAGATCCGGTTTCGCCGCGCGTCGCTGCGCGCCAATCTCCGCGGGATCGTTTTCCCGCGGCGGGGGGAAGTTGAGGTGCGCGTCGGATCCGTACAGCTTCAGCGCCGCCTCGTCGTACGCGCGCGCGGCCTCCTCCGCCGTCGCGAACGAGCCCAGCCACTGGCGCACCTTGCGCTCGGGGTCGCGGATCTCCGCCACCCACCGCCCCCACGTTCGCTGGCGCACCCCGCGGAACCTGTAGAGCGCGTTTTGCGGGCCTCCCCGGCTCTGAATGTGGGGTAGCATGAACGGGTCCGTGTTTTCCATAAATGCACCAGATTTACTAAGCCTGCAGTTTGTCTCGATGGCGTATTTTACTTCTAGAAATGGTTCAACTAAAACGTTCTAGATACGCTTGAGGGAAGGAGCCGCACTCTATAAGAGACGGATTTCTGCTCTGACCGGACAAAGACAGAAGTACATGACAAGGAATTGGATGCAAGGACTGTCGATAATGAGAAACAATTCCTTTCCTGTAGTATAAGAACCCACAGCAGCGGCGGCGGAACCTAAAGGGACGAGCTTGAGGACGCGTCGATTTCTGGCTGTTGGGGAAGCGAAGGATTCTCATGAGGACTCTTTCGGCGACGCTGAGGTCAGCTCAGCTGGCAATGGCTTCCGTGACTTGCCCACCGTGCAAGAGGTTTGTTTGGTTGGGCCTGGCGCCTGTCCAAACCAACAAACACAACTTTCCCCTACCGTCCGTACCGCGCCGCGTCGCCCCAACCTACCAAGAATGTGAGATTTGGACATTTGGATCAGCACTCAGCGGCTCGACCTGGAACGCACACGAGGGTCCCATGTGCGAAGATCTTCCCACGTCGAAGATGTCTGCCACGTGGGTCGGTACAGCGCTGGATCTTATGCGGCAAGCGATAAAGCTGTAATGATGCTGGAGATCCTACTGTCCCTATTCGCCCGCGGGGCAGTGTGAGACGAACCAAACCTCATGGCATTCTGGTGACGCGTTTCATTGTAACCGTTCGGGACGTCCGCGTACGCCAGTTCATTGGCCAGCCACGCTAGCAAATGCAGAGTGAAAGACATCTGGATGTACACAAATTACATCCAGCTTCACCTGGTTTCATCTTCTATGTAGCGTTCGTGGGATCAGATGGACAGCTACAGTTACTTTCCAGGGGTTGCATCGAGGCATAATAATCTCTCGAAGCACCCACAAATCTCGAATAAAATAATAATACATCTAGAAACATCCATTCAAGCAACTTGGTTTCAGTGAGTGAATTGTGTACCAGGACTTGGAGAGCTACACTAGTCCATGAGAACTTTCTCGTAAAAACAGCAGCCGCTCCAGGTTCAGCATCAACTAAGCCCCGCAATATGGCAGTCAGAAAATGGCAAGGTTGAACATTTCGATGCCCGAAACTACTGTTCTTCAGCCTGCAGGGATACGAGAAGCTGACAAGTCGGTATTATTTGGAGGATCATCTCAATGCATTTGACGTGTCCTTTTCGCCAAAGCAGCAAAAGACCCTCACCTCCCGCGTTCCATCTGTCACGTGGTTCGTAACGGATGATTCACTCTTCATGATTCCGCAGGCTCTGTATTGTACGGTAGCGACTTCGACGGAGAAGAGCAAGCGTTCTAGGCAGGGAACATGACACGACATAACAACACGATGATCTCCGCCAGAAGCATCTTCACCAGATCCTGTATGAGGAACTACATAACTAAAAAGCCCGTCCTCGATGAATATCAATTTGTGCATAAGTTCGCCACAAGCTCACGCTGAACTTCGCAACCGACGATATCCGGTTACCCGCTCAACAAACCAGCGCAATATTCGCTCCATTCGCTCCCTATTATGTGCTCCATAATGCAATAACGCGGAAGTGATTACAACTACTGAGCAAGTAATGAGGCCTACTATTAATATAGCGATGCTAGCTAGGCCGACATCGCGGAGTCGCGAGATGGTTGGATGCAGGTTTGGGGTTGAGAAACCCAAAGGCGACGCGGTGGTAGTTCGGAGGGTGAGGTCGTCGGACCGAGCATATTCTCCGAAAATCAGAGTTGTACGCATACAGTGTGACCCTATAAGGAATCACGGAAAATTCCTTACACTACACCTTTAAAAAAGGTGGTGTAATTCCGGGATGCCCCGGCGGGTTAGGTAAGCATCCATAACCGGATGTCCCTGTAGCGAGCTAGCGGCGACGTGCGTGTCGTCCTCGCTCGTGCGATCCTTACAGCGAAGCAGGGAGATAACATTGCGTCCAGCAGACGTCAAATCCACGTGATGGTTCGAGATCTTCCATGGCTCGAGCGTGGGTTCTACCATTGGTAGGGGGGTCGGTGCGATGGTGGGTTGTGCGATAGTAGGCAACTGTGGCGGCTCATAATGATGCAGCAGGCTGACGTGGAATGCGTCATGTATTTTCCAATCGTCGGGCAGCAGGAGTTTCGCCGTGACAGGTGTCACCATCTAGAGGATGCAAAATGGCCCTACGTAGCGTGGTCGAAGTTTTACGAGCTGTGGCAGGCGAAGGTTTATCGTTTCCAGAAGAACCACTTATCCCGAACGAGAGGGTCTCGTCGGTGTTTGTCCGCATTGCGACTGGCAGCAGTATTAGCCCTCCGTATAAAATCCGCGGCCTTATTGCGGGGAGTCTGGAGTTTTGCGACATACTGCTGTGATCGTGGTATCTGGTTGTCAAAGGTCATTGGTGTGGGTACCACGGGATCTTTCGTGTAATTCAGGTAAAACGGTGATTGCTTAGTCGTTGCTGAGGGTGCGTTGTTATTTGCGAACTTCAGCATCCGGAGTGAATCCTCCCACTTGGTCAGGTTGGAGCAGTTGGTGCGTATCAGCTGCTCCATAGTCTGATTTGTCCTTTCTGTCTGGCCGTCGGTTTGCGGTTGGTAAGACGGCGAAAACTGCACGCGGGTTCCGTACTGTGCCTTTGTCTCCTGTCAGAACTTCGGCGTGAATTTCGGGTCTCGATCAATGATAATCGCCAAAGGTAACCCGTGTAGGTGTTGGACGGTGGAGTTGAACAATTTTGCTAGGTCTTCGGCTGTGATCATCGTTCGGCATGGTGCGAAATGCGCCATTTTCGTTTATCGGTCAACGACGACCAACACAGAGTCGTTGCCACTCGCACCAGCTGGGAGCCCTGTGACAAAGTCCTTTGTGACAGAATCACTAGGCAAGAATGAATGAACTAGCAGAAGTTTGGGTACAAATATGAAACCCTAGTTGGGGTTGTACCCCATATTGGCTACCCTACTACAGCCTACCAACATATAACACATTACAATTTAACACACCCCCATAGGCAAAGTGGGGGAGAACAAAGGGTCACAAGACCAGTCCAGCAAAGCAACGCAAGCCCAGGGTGGATCACAACGTCACCACACTCCGAGCACAAGCAAAGGCCACAAGGCCAGTTCACATGCAGTGCTAGATATAGTACAAGACAAGCAACACAGTGATCAAAACCTAGCAAGCAAGCAACAAGATATATATAAAGTACAGTACAAAGAATGTCAAGCAGTGAGCAAGTGAGGAAACGTGGACACAAGGCCTAAAGAAGTACAGTGCCGCTGATGATCACTAGGCGGGAGCGCCTTGGTGAAGATATCAGCAGTGTTGGCCTTCGAGTCCACGTACACAAGCCGAAGCTGACCGCGCTGCTGAAGCTCTCGAGCAAGAAAGTAGCGAAGAGCAATGTGCTTCGTCCTGTGCTCCAGTCTGTGCTCCTGACACAAGGCAAGAGCCGCCTTGTTGTCACCGTACAGAACTGGAGGAGAACTAGGCCGCTCTCCCAAGTCAGTCAGCAGGTAGGTGAGCCAGCGTAACTCCTGTGCAGCCATGGCTGTGGCGTAGATCTCAGCCTCACAACTAGAGCCGAGAACAGAGGAAGAGCGGGTGGACCGCCACGAGACAGAACCTGAGCCAAGGCTGAAGGTGTAACCCTGTGACGACCGCTGCGTAGCCAGGTCGTCCACCCAAGAGGCGTCCGAGTGACCAGTGAGGACAACTCTGTCGCGTCCTCCAAGCACCAGCCCCATGCCTGATGTACTGCACAGGTAACGCAGCACCCTCTTAGCAGCCTCCCAGTGCTCTCGCCTGTGTCTCCCAGGCGCAACGTAACGAGCAAGGATGCTAAGAGGGTACGCGAGGTCAGGTCGCGTGCAAGTCATCAGGTACATGAGGCAGCCTACAAGCTCTGGGTACGGGCCACTCGGCTCTACGGACTCGTCCGAAGGTGGAGCTGAGAGCGAGTGGCTGGTAGCCAGAGGTGTGGCCTGTGGTGAGGAGAACTGGAAGCCGAAGCGCTGAAGGACCTGCTGCACCATGTGTGACTGAGTCAGGGTGATGGTGCGGCGAGCTCTGTCCCGGGTGATCTGCAAGCCAAGGTAGCTACGCAGTTCACCCAGGTCAGTGCAGGTGTGTCTCTTCTGCAGCTCCGACTTCACACGAGCGAGTGCCTCAGTGTCAGCAGTAGCAAAGACCAAGTCGTCGACGTACACGAGGATGTAGAACGGCGGCAGCGACGTGTCTGTGCGCAGAAACAGCGACGGGTCAGCAGTAGACGGCGCGAACCCAAGAGCCGCAAGAGTAGTCCTCAGTGTGTCGTGCCACTCACGTGGCGCCTGGCGGAGACCGTAGACTGGCCGGCGGAGACTCCACTGGGTACCAGGGGGAAACGACCCAGTAAAGCCAGGTGGGCGGCGCAGCCAGATCTCCTCGTGCAGGCTGCCCTGCAGGAACGCTGTGCTGAAGTCAAGAGAGTGAAGCTCGTAGTCACGGTGAGCAGCAACGTGCAGCAGAACCCGAAGAGTGGTCATCTTCAGGGTGGGGGAGAAGGTCTGGAAGAAGTCGACCCCCTGACGCTGACTGAAGCCTCTAGCAACGTAACGAGCCTTGAAGACAGGCGGAGAACCTGGCGGCCGCTTCACCCTGAAAATCCACATGCCATCGACGATGTTCGCCCCAGGAGGGGGAACCTCGTCGACGTAGGTGCCTGTGGACTTCCAGGATGCCATATCTGCGTCCATGGCTGTCTGCCACTGAGAGGAGTAGGGACCCGAGATCGCCTCTGCGTAAGTGCGCGGAGTGGGGATGTCTAGTGCATCCGGGTCTCCCTCAGGGGCAAGCAACCAGGCCACGAGATGAGGTACAGCAGCCGCAAGAGAGTCAAAGTCCTCCTGCCTGTCCTCAAGGACGTCCGTGCCAAGAGCACACTCACCCCCGACGGACGGAGGACAGACAGACGCAGACTCAGACCCAGCAACAAGGCGAGCAGCGTAGTCTAGACGACAGGCAGCAGCAAAGTCAACCAACTCAGCGACCAGAGCAGACGCAGCCGAGGACGCAAAGGTAGGGTCAGTGACAACAGTAGCTAGGAGACGCGTGATAGTAGGGTGCTCAGCACGATACCGGTCAGACTCAGGGTCCGGAACAGCAGGCAAAGAGGACGCAGGAGGAGACAGCAGAGGGACACGCTGAGGAGCAGTAGAGGGACGCAGAGTCATGTAGTGAGTGCCTGGGACAGGAGGAGGACGCTCACGACGGACACGACGACCAGTGCGAGCAGTACGGACAGGCGACGCAGGACGAGACTCAGGCTCACGACGCTCTGTAAGACCTCCTGTGGGACCAGTGTAAGGAGAGGGAGCAGGGAGAGGCGAGGCAGGCGGTAACTGTGACTGCGGCTGGACAGTCGGAGGACACTCTACGGAGGGAGAAGGACAAGGAGGAGGAGCCTGCCCAAGAACCTGCTGAAGGAGCGGTACGAAGTACGGCCGCGGCCGCGCAGCGTCTCCAGAAGCAGAAGAGACTCCAGCGTCCGGGTCCCCAGCACCAGCAGCAGCGCCACCGCTCGGGTCCTCAGCTCCAGCAGCAGCTCCACCAGGTGGGTCCGCAGCACCAGCAGCAGCAGCACCCCCAGGGTCGGCAGCTACAACTCCGCTAGCGCCGCCAGCTCCAGAGTCCCCAGCTCCAGCCGAGCCACTAGGACGGCGAAAGCGTCGGACGTACCAGTCACGAAGCTGCTGTGGTGTGAGAGACTGCTCAGCACCCCGAACCGGAGCACCCCCAGACGCAGCAACCCGAGGCTCCGTAGGCTCAGTAGCAACACCCCCAGGCTCAGTACCCGCAGGCGCAAAACCCCCAGACTCAGCACCCCCAGACTCCGCACACGCCGGCTCAGGACCCCCAGTCGCAGCACCCCCAGGCTCAGCACCCCCAGGCGCCGAACTCTCAGGCACAGTACCCTCAGCTCCAGCACCCGTAGTCCCAGCACCCCCAGGCCCAGCACCCGCAGGCTCAGCACTCCCAGCAGCACCACCTGCAGCAGCACCTGAGTCACCTGTGACCTCGACAGGCTCAGCGACGGGAGGAGGGTCTACCTGAGAGACACCTGAAGGAGCAGGACCCTGAGGGGGAAGGGGGTCTACCGGAGGGGGACCAGGAGCAAGGAAAAGCGGCGGGGGAGGGAGGGGGGCAGTACGGTAGGGGAAGAGACGGTAAAAAGGGACCGACTCGTCAAAGGTGACGTCCTGAGAGGCGAAGACCCGGCGCGAGGTGGGGTGGTAAAACTGCCAGCCCGGCGCGTCAGGGACAAAGCCAAGGAAGACACAGGGAAGCGTGCGGGAGGAGAGCTTGTCCGCGGACGTATCGCGGACAAGGGCACGAGCACCCCACACCCGGAAGCGCGACGCATCGCCAACCTCCCCCGTCCAACGCAGTGTGGGCGAGGTCTCCGGCAAGGAGACACGGGGCCAGAGGTTGAGCTGATGCGCGGCGTACCGGACAGCAAACGGCCACAGAAAATGGGGAGCCGCCGCGTGGACCAAGGAGGTACGAGCGACCTCCATGACCAGGCCAATGCGGCGCTCAGCAACCCCATTCTGCTGTGGGGAGTCCGGAAGCGTGAAGGTCTGCTCGATGCCCTCCGCCTGACAGAAGGTCCTCAAGAGGTCGGAGGAAAACTCACCACCTCTGTCAGAGTGCAGACGCAGGACAGGAAGATCCGTCCGGAAACGGCGGCGGAGCTGGAGACGAACTGTGCGGATCCAAGGGATCAGAACAGCAGGGACCTCACCCTTGGTGCGCAAGGGGAAGACCGTGGTGTAACGCGAGTAGTCGTCGACAACCAGCAAAAAGTACCGCTCACCGCCCTGACCACGAACGCGGGCTGGGCCCCACACGTCCAGGTGGAGGGTCTGCAGAGGAGCCTCTGTCGGGGGGAACGAGGAGGAGTGAGGAGCGGCGCGCTGCCGCCCCTCGACGCAAGGAAGGCAAGGCGGCGCAGGCGAGGCAGGGAGGGGAGGGAGGGACCTGGGAAGACCAGACACAAGGTGGCGACGGTGCATGCCACGGAGGCGTGGCAAGGAGGGGTGACCCAGGCGGTGGTGCCAGAGAAGAGTCTGGTGCGACAGGGAACGACACTCACAGGCGTGGGCTACCAGACCTGACGCGGACACCTGACCGACAGCAGCGACCTGAGGAGACGCAGTGGTCAGTGTGTAGAGACTCGACCCCGGCCGACGAGTAAACGTAGCCAGGTGACGGCCGGTCCTGGAGCACGTGCAGATCGCCACACGCTGTCCTCCAGGGGTAAAGGTGTCAACCCACTGATCCTGGATGACAGCGTTGCTCACCAGGTTCGTCGAGAACGAGGGGAGGTGGAAACCCGTCAACGAGCCAGACGGAACCGCCGGACAAGGGAGCACAGTGGTGGACCGGGCAAGGACCGGGCCCCCAGAGGGGTCAGCCAAGGAGACTGGGACCGGTGCAGGAAGCGGTGTGAGCTCAGTACTGTCTCGAAAGAAGCAGCGGGAAGCACCTGAGTCAAGGGTGAAGGTGTGACAGGTCTCAGCCGGTGCAGTACCTGAGAGAGGAGTCTCTGTGGGTGCTGTACCTGAGAGAGCAGACTCGCAAGCAGCAGGGACAGTGCTGGAGGGAGCAGGTACAGGGGGCACCATACCAGAGAGAGCAGACTCACTAGTACCTAGGGCAGTGGGCCCTATACCTGGGTCAGGCGGCACACACAAGTAACAGTCCCCTCGGCACTAACAGTCAATGCATACATGGCAGCAATAATAGCATCATAGTCAAGAGCAAAGATATCAACCCCAGCCCTCATCAGCTCAGCCCAGCGAGGGCGCTCAACATCCTCACCCATCTCCTCACGCCAAGCGTCGTCAAGGCGGAAGAAGCAGCGGTACTGAGTGTGGAACTTTCCACACGTCTGCCCCTTGCGATCACCTGTGCGAATGACATAGGAACAGCGGCCACTGCCCCCCGACGTCCCACGCTGAGCAAGCCACTCACGAAGCTGCTGGGTCGACTGGGGACGCTGCTGCTGCTGGGAGCTCTGGCCCGAGCCGGTGCCTCCACTCCGACCTCCACCGCCGCCACTACCTCCGCTCCGACCGCCACCACCGCCACCGCCACCGCCACTACCGCCACCGCCGCCACTGCCGCCGCTGCCACCACCGCCACTGCTCCCGCCGCCGCCCCCGCCTCCGCCGCCGGCCCCACTCCCACCGGCACTCCCGCCACCGCTCCCTCCAGCACCGCCTCCCCCCCCACCTCCCCCACCCCCTCCCCCCCCAGCGCCACCCCCGCCACCCTTGCCCCCCTTGCCCTTGCCGGTGCGGCGCCTCCCACCAGGAGCAGAAGCAGCGCCAGCAGTCTCAGCACCAAGGAAGTCAACAGCAGCAGCAGTAGCATAGGAGGGAGCGAGGGGAGAGGGAGAGCATCCCTCAAAGATGGGGGTGCGAGGAGCGCCGCGAGCAGCACCTACAGCTACAATGCTCTTCTCGGCTGCTAGCAGCTTCTCCTCTAGGAGGGCGACAGTGAGCTCAGTGGGACAGCGAGCAAGGAAATAGTCGCGCACTGAGCTGAGGGTGTCAGGGAGACGGGTGACTATGAAGTGGAGTGCCCAGTACAGGGGAGGGGGGTTCTTAGCGCAGAACTCGGTGGGAAGGGCGGCACGCAGGCGAGCATCACTAGTGCGAAGGTGGGTGATAAGATCGGCGACTGTAGCAAAGGTGGACAGGTCAGGGAACAGGTAAGGCAGCATGAGACGGCTAAGCTCGGCTGTGGCAGGTGAGGAGTAGCGAGCAACGACAGCGTCGTATAGGGCTTTAGCGGTTTTGCAGTCGCCAAAGTGCTCTAGCTCAGGGAACGGCAGGTGACTGCGAATAGCCAGGCGAGCTGCAGCGTCACGAGTCTGCCACTGTGAACGTACACTAAGCTCGGCTGTGGCAGCAGGAGCAGCGGCAGCACCAGACGCGTAGTCATAGAGGGAGATGTGGTCCGTGCTATTGCTCATAAGATACAACTGCAGGTCGTCGAGCCAGGAAGTGAACTGCACGGGACGGCCCTCAGCATCGAAGGAAAGAACGCGAATAGAGGCCATAGCTCAGGCGTGAGGGCACAGCAGAGCAGCGGCAGCAGCAAAGGGGACGCGCTAGAGCGAAGCTAGCAGCCACAGCAGGAGCAAGCGGCGGTGCACAGGCAGGGAGCAGCAGGCGAGGCGGGCAGCGCTGCAGGCGGGAAGTGCGGCGGGCGGGCTGCGAAGCGGGCAGCGGGGCGGGCGGGCGACGCGGCGAGCGGGCAGCGCGGCGGGCGGCTGCGAAGCGGGCAGCGGGCGGGCGGGCGGCGCTGCAAGCGGGCAGCGGGCGGGCGGGCGACGCTGCAAGCGGGCAGCGAGGCGGGAGGGCGACGCTGCGAGCGAGCAGCGGGCGGGCGGGCGACGCTGCGAGCGGGCAGCGAGCGAGCGGGCGACGCTGCGAAGCGGGCAGCGGGCGGGCGGGCGACGCTGCGAGCGGGCAGCAAGCGGGTGGGCGACGCTGCGAAGGAGGTAGCGGGCGGGCTGCGAAGCGGGCAGCGGGGCGAGCGGGCTGCGAAGCGGGCAGCGGGGCGAGCGGGCGACGCTGCGAGCAGGCAGCGCGGCGGGCGAGGGGCGAGCGGGCAGCGTGGCGGACGGGCGACGCTGCGAGCGGGCGGCTCGGCGGGCGGGCGACGCTGCGAGGGGCGCGCGAGGGCGCTAGCGAGGGGCGCGCGAGGGCGCTAGCAAGGGGCGCGCGAGGGCGCTAATGAGGGGCGCGCGAGGGCGCTAACGAGGGTGCGCGAGGGCGCTAACGAGGGGCGCGCGAGGGCGCTAACGAGGGGCGCGCGAGGGCGCTAACGAGGGCGCACGAGGGCGCTACGAGGCTAGGGCACGGGGTAGCGTGGTAACCGCATGCGAGCGGTGGTGGGCCCTTAAAAAAAAAACGGTCGGTAGGTCCTAGGGACCTCCTGCTCTGAATACCATGTCAGAATCACTAGGCAAGAATGAATGAACTAGCAGAAGTTTGGGTACAAATATGAAACCCTAGTTGGGGTTGTACCCCATATTGGCTACCCCACTACAGCCTACCAACATATAACACATTACAATTTAACCATTGTCACGTCTTGCCACGGTCGTTCGGATGGCTCAAGGGGCTGCAGCAATCCGGCTGGCCATTGTCGCGACGACTTCATTACTTTGTACGGAGGGCATGTTGTCAGATAGCGCTGCACGTCCGTCAGCATATCGGGCCAATAGTAGTTCCGCTGCAACAGCTTTAGTGTTTTATCGATGCCGAAATGCATGGACACGTTGGAATCGTGTACCTCCTTCATCAGCAACTCTCGTAAGGGCTTGTAGGTGGGTACCCGAATCCGGTTCGTACCGGCTTTTAGGTAATATTTGCCATGTTGCGTAATAGCCCGTCGGTGAAGACTCTTGAAAAACGTGTCGATCTTATACCCGTGGGTAAATAGTCCCGTCAATATCGGGCTGGTACGGGCGATGAGCATTGCCGCTGTCCGCATGGATGGGCGGGTCAAGGCGTCGGCGATGTTGTAGGCGCCTTTCTTGTACGTGATCGTGTAGCGAAAATTGGACTCCAGGTAGTCCAACTACCTGATTTGTCGCGGGTTGAGTGTCGGTTGTCTGCGCATGTACTGAAAAGATTTGCGGTCGGTTCGGATCATCACGTCGGCTCGCGTTAAGTAGCAGCGCCAAATACGAGATGCATGGACGATGGCCAACATTTCTTTGTCGTGGACCGGGTAGTTGCGCTCGGACGGCTGCATCCTGCGTGATAGGTTGCAGCCCTTTGCCGAAGTCCTATAAAAGGACGGCACCAACGACGAAAACGTTGGCGTCCGTGATGACTTCGAAAGGTCGAGATGGGTCAGCGAGGCGAAGTACCGGGGGTGAACTCAAAATGTTTTTGAGTGTGTTGAAGGCGGATTGCTCTCTCTCCTTTTACTGAAAATAGGTGTCCTTGTGCACCAGGTCGGTTAAAGGCTTGGTAACCACCGCCAAATTGGGTACGAACCGGCGGAGGTAATTCACAAAACCCAGAAAATTCTGGAGCTCGGTGACGTTGGTCAAGCGACTTCCATTTAGCGATGATTTCCACTTTTCGGGGGTCGATTTTAATTTCTTCGCCCGAAACCACATGCCTCATGAACTCCAACTCTGGCTACAGGAACTCGCACTTAGAACCTTTCGTGATGAGTCGGTTTTCCTGTAAGCGCCAGAACACCCCCTCCAAATTATTTAAATGCTCTGCTTTTGTCTTGCTGTACACCAGGATGTCGTGGAGATAAAAGATGACTTTTTTGTCCAACATGTCCCGTAAGACCCCGTTCATTGTCAGTTGAAACGTCGAGGGCGTGTTGGTCAGCCCGAACGACATTACTGTATACTTGTAACTGCGGTAGCGTATCCGAAACGCAGTCTTCGGGTAGTCGACAGTGAACACGCGAATCTGGTGGTAGCCTCCTCGCAAATCGATCTTCAAGAAGAAGCGAGCACCGCGAAGTTGGTCCAACAGATCGTCCGCTCGCTATTGGCTGAGCCGCCACTGTGTTTGAACAGTAGGCTGCGCGCCGGGTTCCAGCTGGATCATGTGGACTTCTGGACGCTGAGGTGGCAGTCCGTCGGGCAGGTCGTCCGCGAAAATTTCAGGATACCTCTGAATTATGCTCGCCAACTCCTCAGGGATTGACGCACAGAATGTGTCGATGTCGGCGTGTTAAACTGTATTATGCTTGTAGGCTGTAGTGGGGTAGCCAATATAGGGTACAACCCCAACTAGGGTTTCATATTTGTACCCAAACTTCTGTTAGTTCATTCATTCTTGCCTAGTGATTCTGACATGGTATTCAGAGCAGGAGGTCCCTAGGACCTACCGACCGTTTTTTAAGGGCCCACCACCGCTCGCATGCGGTTACCACGCTACCCCGTGCCCTAGCCTCGTAGCGCCCTCGTGCGCCCTCGTTAGCGCCCTCGCGCGCCCCTCGTTAGCGCCCTCGCGCGCACCCTCGTTAGCGCCCTCGCGCGCCCCTTCGTTAGCGCCCTCGCGCGCCCCTTCGTTAGCGCCCTCGCGCGCCCCTTGCTAGCGCCCTCGCGCGCCCCTCACTAGCGCCCTCGCGCGCCCCTCGCCGAGCCGCCCGCTCGCAGCCCGCCCGCCCGCTCGCTGCCCGCTTCGCGGCCCGCTCGCTACGCAGCCCGCCCGCCCGCTCGCTGCCCGCTTCGCGGCCCGCCCGCTTCGCAGCCCGCTCGCTCGCTGCCCGCTTCGCGGCCCGCCCGCTTCGCAGCCCGCTCGCTCGCTGCCCGCTTCGCGGCCCGCCCACTTCGCAGCCCGCCCGCCCGCTCGCTGCCCGCTTCGCGGCCCGCCCGCCTCGCAGCCCGCTCGCCCCGCTGCCCGCTTCGCGGCCCGCCCACTTCGCAGCCCGCCCGCCCGCTAGCTGCCCACTTCGCGGCCCGCCCGCTTCGCAGCCCGCTCGCCCCGCTGCCCGCTTCGCAGCCCGCCCGCCCGCCCGCTGCCCGCTTCGCGGCCCGCCCGCCTCGCAGCCCGCTCGCCCCGCTGCCCGCTTCGCAGCCCGCCCACTTCGCAGCCCGCCCGCCCGCTAGCTGCCCGCTTCGCGGCCCGCCCGTTTCGCTGCCCGCTCGCAGCGCCGCCCGCTCGCCCGCTACCTGCTTCGCAGCGCCGCCCGCTACCTGTGCACTGCCGCTTTCTCCTGTCCCCTCTGCTGCTGCCGCTGCTCTGCTGTGCCCTCACGCCTGAGCTATGGCCTCTATTCGCGTTCTTTCCTTCGATGCTGAGGGCCGTCCCGTGCAGTTCACTTCCTGGCTCGACGACCTGCAGTTGTATCTTATGAGCAATAGCACGGACCACATCTCCCTCTATGACTACGCGTCTGGTGCTGCCGCTGCTCCTGCTGCCACAGCCGAGCTTAGTGTCCGTTCCCACTGGCAGACTCGTGACGCAGCTGCTCGCCTAGCCATTCGCAGTCACCTCCCGCTAGCTGAGCTCGAACATTTTGGCGACTGCAAATCCGCTAAGGCCCTGTACGACGCTGTCGTCGCTCGCTACTCCTCGCCTGCCACAGCCGAGCTTAGCCGCCTCATGCTGCCGTACCTGTTCCCCGATCTGTCCACCTTTACTACAGTCGCCGATCTTATCACCCACCTTCGCACTAGTGATGCTCGCCTGCGTGCCGCCCTTCCCACCGAGTTCTGCGCTAAGAACCCCCCTCCACTGTACTGGACACTCCACTTCATAGTCACCCGTCTCCCTGACACCCTCCGCTCAGTTCGAGACCACTTCCTTGCTCGCTGTCCCACTGAGCTCACAGTCGCCCTCCTAGAGGAGCACCTGCTCGCGGCCGAAAAGAGCATTGTAGCTGTCGGTGCTGCTCGTGGCGCTCCTCGCACCCCCATCTTTGAGGGGTGTTCTCCCTCTCCCCTCGCTCCCTCCTACGCTGCTGCTGCTGCTGTTGACTTCCTTGGTGCTGAGTCTGTTGGCGCTGCTTCTGCTCCTGGTGGGAGGCGCCGCACCGGCAAGGGCAAGGGGGGCAAGGGTGGTGGTGGTGGCGCTGGGGGGGGAGGAGGTGGGGGAGGTGGGGGGGGAGGCGGTGCTGGAGGGAGCGGTGGCGGGAGCGCTGGTGGGAGTGGGGTCGGTGGTGGAGGCGGGGGCGGCGGCGGAAGCAGTGGCAGTAGTGGCGGCGGCGGCGGTGGCGGCGGTGGCGGTGGTGGCGGTGGTGGCGGTGGCGGTCGGAGCGGTGGTAGTGGTGGCGGCGGAGGTCGGAGTGGAGGCACTGGCTCGGGCCAGAGCTCCCAGCAGCAGCAGCGTCCCCAGACGACCCAGCAGCTTCGTGAGTGGCTTGCTCAGCGTGGGACGTCGGGGGCCAGTGCCCGCTGTTCTTATGTCATTCGCACAGGTGACCGCAAGGGACAGACGTGTGGGAGGTTCCACACCCCGTACCGCTGTTTCTCCCGCCTTGACGACGCTTGGCGTGAGGAGATGGGTGCGGATGTTGAGCGCCCCCGCTGGGCTGAGCTCATGAGGGCTGGTGTTGATGTCTTTGCTCTTG